TTATGTAATCACATAGCCACAAGCGCGCTCAATCTTTTCCTACTACCTCAGCACTCGCATTATACATCGAGGCTGAGGTGAGTACCTACTGGACTCCTTTACTTAGTCTTTACTGATATACTGTAGTCACTCGTTTTCCTATGTGTCTACAGGTATTTATATAGCACTCGCATTATACATCGAGGCTGAGTCACTCGCTTTCCTATGTGTCTACAGCCCTCGTAAATTTTCACCTCGGACAATAGTACGTAGAAAACGCCATCGAGCGACGTGAGCGGATAGAAAGCAAGAAAGCTCAACAGGGGCAGCGCGATGACGAGGAGGAGGGGCGAACGTTACGTAAACTACTTCCTAAAAGGTGTCGAACTGCAGCGACGATTATTACGTAAGCCATTCGCGTCCACATTCTGTCAATAGCCAAATTACTTTGTTATTTGGAATAAGCGCCCAAGCTTTGTGACGACGTTGATATTGAGTCAGTTCGTCGAGCTCCGACTCAGTTAATGAGATATCATTGACCGAGTCTGATCAAGCTCGACGAACAGCTTATTCTTCCAGGAGATGTGGTTCTGATAGAAAGTCTTATTTTGATAAGCTTGCTGGCCAGTCATATGCATGACGTCCTCTTTACCTGCATTTGCAGGGTTCAACGCAGATGACACATTCACTCGGTCGGACTGCATTTACAAACATCATCACTCAGAGCGCACTTGGCAAGTCTACATTTTAAAAGCGGACTGTATCCTTCCGTGGGGTCAGCACTACAGGTCATCGTAGGTGTTATCGAGAAGGAAGTCGTTCAAGCGAACGTGTGGGCGTAATGGCATCCTGCCACATCTACATGCCATCGGCTGTACCATCTTTCAGGCAGTGTCAATCTTGAGTTCCGCAACAGTCAATGCATATCAGGAATTCTGCTTGTTGCACCATTATAGAAGTGAGTATCATCATGCCAGAGATGATTAAGCACATGCATTCCGAACACTCACACTTACGCCTTTCCTTCCTCAGTAGTACTATGTAATCGAGATGGCGTAAACTCGGCAGCATCATGTTACAATGTTCGTGGTCTTGGTGCTCCCTCCGCATCCCCTCGCCCCGGAGACAGCGCAGGAGACGGATAATGATCATGACCGTACGATTATAATCATGCTGGAGCAGTCCGAATCATTTCACTTGCCTGATTCGCTAACTCATCATTTTCTTGACTAGCAGACTGTTTGTGAATCTACGGTGTATATATTGCGGGTATGCGCGTCTTGAAGGTTCAACACCTCTTATTTCCGCCCTCCATCATCGCCTGTCCTCCCACCTCATAATCCACACTTAAAGTCCCTCTGCTGTACATAATGGCTTACACTCACGCGACGAAGTCCCTCGCTCAGCGCCTTGGCCTGAAGACGCAAGGCAAGGGCACGTCCCGCAGCCGGCCTGCGACGGACATAGCCGACTTCAAGCTCGAGTGCGGCCTGACCTCTCTCGACGCTGCGCAGAAGCCGCGCCGGCAGATCACCAAGGTCGGCGAGGTCGTCGTCAACTGGGGCGCGTGCGGCGCATACACCCTGGACTGCACACTCTTGCCGCTGGACGTGGCGCGGGAGCGGATGGAGATCTCACACCGTGCGTTCTTCTGAATGATGATTGCTTGCTAGGCATGTGTGCCTGTTGATGAATGCGCCGGACGCGGTGGGGACCTGGGGATGCGGGACGTCCGCCGAGTTTCTAGGCCTCGGTGGATGGCTCGGAATGTCTCTTGGGATGAACCTCGCTGTCAGGCCAGCACGGTATGATGCAGATTCGTCTGTTGTCATGCTCTATAACGTTTCTTGTCTCGGACTCTTTACTAACCCTACTTCATCCCCCTGCACCGTTCCTTCCCTAGCCTCCTTGCCGCATTTTTGCCGTCGCCGCTCTGCATTGCCATGTTACATTACTCTCTGATCGATGTTCTTCCCCTTGAGACACACATTCAGCTTTTCATATGGAAATCTATGGCAACGACGGTGCGCTGCGCAGCCAGAAGACAAGATCCGGACACGCGAATGTCACACCAGGTATGGCTGACGGTGCCGACGAGGCGTCAAGGGAAGGAGTCATGACCCTGATGACCGCAACGTCGCGACTGGTGCCCGATGCCTTTCTAACTTGCATTCCGTCCTTAACACCTGCTCAATGAGCTTGCCTTTCCACCCTTTTCCATAGGCTGCAGTTCTTCGAAACGAGAAAAGATTATTGGCGCATGCAAACTCAGGACCGAGCGGATGATGGGATGTGCTATGGGAGCCGTCGGCGAAGCGGAGGAGGGCTTGATCACCCCGATGAGCCCGTCTTCCCCGACGAGAGGTATACAACCAGTGTTGCCACAAGCTCTTTTTCGTCGCAAAGGCTTGCTCATCGTCATATTTTCACGCAGGCGTAGATCGGACCGAGCGGCAAGTAGACGAGGCTGGACATACATCGCGTATTTCTTTGCTCTCAACCTCCCTTGCTTTGCTTATTGATTCATTGTTTCCTCGGCATACAAGACTATACAGCGCATCATATTTCGGCGTATCCCGACCAGCCGACGCGTATTTGGCAGTTTCAATGATGGAGGCGCTCTGTCAACTCAGTGTGCGTATGAAATCTCTCTGCCTATTCGCCTCTTGTCCATGTTCTCTCCTCGTGCACTAGTCATTTAAATCACACCATAACGAGACTGAGGCTACACGAAGGGATAGATGGTACGGGAGGGACACCAATGGCGGGGCGGCGTGTGCATCAGGAACTGGCCACTCCTGGTGCATACATCTTCTTGTAGGCGGTGTTGTGGGGGCCGAGAGGGGAACCAGAGAACGTTAAAAGCTTAATGTTACGTATTTTCAGACTGGTCCCAATCGTAACCAGAATTCTAATCCAGGCTGTTGTATAAGGATTCACGCATATGAAGGCGAAAGGCTGGTTCGGGTGACCACACGCGCGCACGGTGGCACAAGAGACAAAGGGCCAGCCGTAACTGGCAAGCGCCGAGCGCTCGAGCGCTCCCCTCAGACCGCGTGTTATACACGTGTTCTCAGCCATCATCTAGCCGCCGTCGCCGCTGCGCGAAGCGCCGCCGAATGTCTGCCATCTGAATCGCGATGGCAAGACCCACACTTTCATGGAAAGCAGACAGCTGAGTCGTCTGCATCTCAGCTTTTCGTGCCACTTGTTACTTGCTGTCTAGGCATTTGCATGACTGCCGTTCAGACGGTTGAGGTGGCCGTGTCCCATATAGCCCGCCACCTTCAAGACTAGGCCTTATTGTTCTCATCGATCAGAGGCGATGCATACGACTACATAAGGTCGCTAACACGCGTGTTCCTGTTGTTTCCCCCCTCCTCTCTCCCCTCACCTTCTGCCTGCGCGCTGTTGTTACCACGTCCCAATCTGTGGCAGCGTCGCATCCATTGTCCACCTACCTCTTGGCTCGTCCACATATCCTTTTGCGTCTTTCGCTCTCTCTGCTTCTTATTCTCGCTGCGCGGGCTGTCTGCACTGCTGTTAGTTCTCGCCTTGTGCTTCGACCCACCCACCAAAACGGTCCAACACCTCGCCCCGTCTCTCATGCGCCAGTGTACACACTGCCAGCCTCGACACGCTCGGCCCTATCCTGAGTCTCGGGATCCTGGCCCTCTGTTAGGCGACGTTTACAGCATCCGGGAATCAATGCACGCGCCTTTGATCCTCCTTCTTGGCTTGTGCAATATTCCCTCGATGACTCGGTATTTCACGGACTTGTTGGTGTCCAGAGGCAAAATCCGGCCCTGTGCTATCATAGACTTGTACAAGGAGAACGGCAACACTATGGTAACCGTTTGTGCAATGGGGACCTTTGGAGGCGCCGATATCGACTCTTTACCTTTCGTGTTCCGACACTTTTTGGTTCCGATCTATCCGAACGGCGGCTCCGGGGACGCTCTGCACATACACACAATTCCTGAATGGAAAGCGGGAAGACCTGGATGGCTTCTGGCTGTCAAACTCAATACGGATCGCACGTTGCGAAGGCGGTGGCCATCAGCCACTGGTCCATCACCGAGCTTCAGCAGCGCCACTGTAAAACACATACGCGACCTCTGTCACTGGAAGATGAAACAGTGGAAGGACATGTGTCATGCCGATCCTTCTTTCCTAGATGAGCAGCGAAGAGAATACATGGTAAGCCTCAATCTCAACCAACGAACCATGAACCGCTGCCAACGCCCACGCCCTCCTGCAGGATCACGTCACGATGCCAAGATCATGGCCCTCAGTACGTCCCTTCGTTAACCTAGGTGCACAGTATAATGTTGATCATATGGTCGCTTGTTTCTTAGGTTACGCATCGGTCGCGTTCGCTGCAACGCTCGCACTCTGCAACCATTGTGCCGTCTGTATGCTCACATCCTCGGGAATCCTCTCTTCGGCGCGCTTCTAGCCTCAATAATCCACATGATGAGTTGCCTCGGGCTCCTCTGGGCGATCAATCATACACAAGCCCTCGAAGCCCTCGTACGGCATCCTTTGACAATACGGCTCACTGTTCATGGGATACGCTTGATAAGCATGATTGTGGTTCTAATTATATGTCTCACGACTTCTCCGGAAAGATATTGCGCGAAGAATTACCTCCGAGTCCTGACGGGCGACGTTTGTATCGCAACGACAGGTCTTATGACTACGCGGAACGTGATCATTTCTTCGATTCTGTCCACACAGATGACAGGGCCCGGGAGGACTACGCCGACCACTGGTATCGCTCTGATCCTGTCTATCAATCTGATAGCTTTTGGGGTGACGATGCCGAACGTCGATATCATTCTGGCTCTGCCTACCTGCACAGTAGCATCTCAGACTGCGACCATTATCATGCATGGGAACCCTCTGCGTATCGTGACAGAAGCGCTAATCCCGCGGAAGATCCACTGCAGACGTCCTACAACATGGATACAAGGCGTTCCGTCGGGGAACATGCCGAGTGGCAAAGACCGGGTTACGATTATCAGGAGGACACCCTTAACCGTTCAGAATGGCACTTCCCTGCATCAAATGGAGAGTCCGAGAGTGACCGTTGGCATTCGAGACATGAGTATGGATGGTGACGAGTTACTCGGTGTGCTGATATTGCGCAGACAAATTTCGGCGTGCTCTGAAATGCTATCAGGAGCCGGTCGGTGTGGTTCGGTATTTATTATCAACGTTAATTGAACATGGAAATCACAACAGAATTATCAAGTATTCGTATGATATTTGGTGTATACTGGGGTACATTACAACTTACTCTGGGAAGATGTACAGCGTATCAACGATCTCGATGCAGACCGCTCGACAATCAGAAACCCAACATGCGAGAGAAAGGGGATGTATCCGAGCCTCATCGCTAAGGATGCATCGCTGTAGGGGACGTGGATCATCGAAACGATTGGTTCTCTCTACGCGGAGCTTTGGATCCTCAGGCTCGCAAGCGATGACGAGATAGCCTGTAGTGCCATCGCGGTCGATAGACCTCTGTTGCCGATCTTCTCCTTGGTGCTCGGGATAGTGTACATCCACCCAATTTCCCATCCTCCGTCATCGCATTGCAATGTTAAAAGCGTGCGCAGATCTACTGCATCGTATACCCCTGCAACGGCACATGCTGTGATCCGCATGGCAAGCATAAGGGGATCACCTGCCGCACCTATACGCTCCTCAACGCGCACCTTGAACAAGGTTGCAAGCCTGCCGTGGAGTTCGGCATCTTTCGAAGAGCTGAGTAGACGTTCGACGAAGTATAGGAAGCATTCAGGGGTGGCATAATAGCGCGTTCCATCGACGTATGCGCGGTGGAGGAGCACCTTGTGCACCCAGTCAAGAGTGCCTGGCAACTCGTGCCCACGACCATTCTTGTAAAATAATGTGAGTGTATTCGCGCATGCGCATGGATCAATGCGAGGCCGTGTGTAATCGTAATATATCTGTTCACGATGAGAATGAGTACGGTAAGCTTCCTGAAGAAATGAGGATCCAACCTGAATGATGCCATCTTGGTTGACGTATTCCAACATCTCATCAAGCACAGCGTGAAGAATGGCAGGATTACTATCGACGACACTGAATGCCAACGCAGTGGTGTCGAGATCATCAGGGACTGAATGGAAGTTTGCATTGTTATCGTCTACGAGAGGATGAGAGGGGCGATATATTCGTGAGCCCGTGGTTCTCCGCACAGATGTTTGACTTACTGTTAAAGAAATTCCACGTCCTTCGAGGGGTAGTGAAGGATGCAACAGAGCTAGTTGATAGGATTAATGAGATTATAGCAAGCCGTTGCGAATAACGTACGAGTCCCCGGTCGCCTCCCGAATGAGCAGCAGAGCAAAATTCTCGTACACTACATTGCCAGCATTCGTCATGGAGTATAGCCTTTTCGCATTGCTTCGCAAGTACTGGAGTCCTCGTTCGACGGGGTTTCCGCATTTGTTACGCAACTGTTTGATCAGGACGCGTGTGGACTCGAACACTATGCCGTGGAAACCGAGTGAACGAGCGCAAACCACGTTGTCGATCTTGTCGTCGATAAACAAAACGCAGGATGGATCCATACTAGTTTGAGCAATCACATACTGGTAGAATGACAGACTTGGCTTGCGGTAGCCAGCTGAAAAAGACGTGAAGACCTCGTCGAAGAGGCTCCAATCGATGGTATTAGCGGCACGCAGAAAATCGTACTCCGGAGCAGGGATGTTGGTCATGAGGTAGATATGTGGATACTGGTTGGATTGACCCTTCATTTCGCGTATAAAGGCTATCAGCTCGTCATTTGCCCGAAGCGTTTCTCGCGCTTCGTGGAGAGCGCTCGCAATATCCTCGGGATCCACGCAATGTTCCTCGCCCAAGCGATTGTAGCAGTCTCGCTCGCTGAGCCTACCACATTCATACTCGCTCCAAGTGCTTGTAGAAAGCATCCGATGTAAGAGTTTGGAGGAAAATTTGCCTTGGCCGGATGGTTGGTCCTGAGATGACCATGTCAGCAACACATCACCGAGGTCGAAGATAACAGCAAAGGGTGTTTCCAGCGCCATTTTATGGGAGAAAGAGCGCACATGTTGTGTAAGAATGTAGTACCTACTTATAGCGTTGCATAGATCGGCACTGAAACACGCACGCTTGCGAGACAAGGCAATAGGTGGATCCGTTTCGTTCGAATTACCCGATCAGAAGGTGGGTCTGTCCGACTAACTATATCAAGCGTTATTAGATGCGACTAGTTTAGACAGTATTAACGTTACGACAACCATAGGCCCTGGAATGATGCGAGGCAGCAATCGTGCCACAGGAAATGGTATACTCAACTTTGAACCAATAGTCACTATAACATCACCGTCCGTGGTCGCGACAGAGGAGCTGTCTGGAAAGGTCTTCGCGAAACATATGCCTGTTCACACATGGATCAGGATCCGCCGGGGAGTGGGGAAGCTCACGGTCATTCAGAGGAAGAGAAACTGCCTTGTGCAGTACAATGGGCCTAACTGTGGCGTGGTGCAGTAAAGTTCGAGGATGTCGAGCTCTCACACTAAGTATGCTGCCGAAGCACATATTAGGTCTGCTGCCATTGACCGAGATCGCGAGGATGAGTTCGCGGCGATGTGCACAGGTGTTGACGTTGATCGGTAAAGAAATGTGGCTTATGAGTACGAGAACGTGAAGCACAACGTTAGTTGACAGTACTACGCGAGCACCTGTTCTTCGGTATTTTTGCAGCGACGTCCTTACCTAAAGAAATACGATGTTCAATGTCGGGCGGACTATAGAGGTAGGTCACTGATAAAACATACTGCAAAGCTTCAAAGCTTCATGGTGTATCGCAGACTTCGGGGCTAATGGACAAAGTAATGCATCATAGTCGTGGGAGTGACTGCCTGTTTCGGCAACTTGAGCGACAGGCGCCAATCTATCATGAGCGCCTTCGTCTTGACCATTCAAATTGGCACGCGTGTTAAACAGCCTCGCACCATGCTCATCGAAGCCTGTTCATTAACGTTGCATGGTTACTTGGCAGTTCCTCTCACTTTTGTGGGGCATTCGTTCGCTGTCGCATCCGTCGCATCGCGGCATGAAATCGACTGCTCTTCAAGGAATCTTTAGATCACATTGATCCGCTTGCGGTCGCCGTGGCAGGTCCCAAATTCATTACTATCCAAAGTCATAAGCAATGCCGGGCATTGTTCCGTCTATTGGGACGTACCTGGCCATTCGCCTCGATTCAGAGGCAATGGTTAAGCACTTCGAGGATGCTGAACTGTCGAGTGCAGCTCGAGCAATGGACCCAAAGTTGTACATTGGATACGTTGCACAGGTACCGATTGCTTTCTCGCGTGCGTATTTGATCATTTGCAGGACACTGACACCTCATGTTCTCCAGTCGCAACAGCCGCCTCTACCCAATAGACCAACGCACCAATGTCAGATTGCATTCGTTGGCCAGGGCCTTCCACAACGATCGAAAGATGAATTTACACCAGCCGACATGTGCGTTCCAATCTTCCCAAACACCGAGCACCCGCTTTCTCGCGACAATCTTCGACCTTCGACACCATTTCCATTCCCGAACTGCTACCAATACAACTCTGTTCAGTGCACCGTCAGGATTCCCACCGCGGTATACCCGATTGAAGACGGACTCTTTCTTCCGCACACAGAGGTATCCAAGCATGATCGATATGCGGTAGAGGATGTCTATCGCCGCATGGCGCTGCGTGATGGTAGACAATCAGGCTTGGGAGGGAACGAGGGGACCTTTTCGTATGATTCTGGCACGGACTCTCAGATAGAATCCGATCTACTTTCGAACGATCGCGATGATCGAGACAACGCAGCTCAAGTAGTCCACAGAAAGGCGGACTCTGCTAGTCATCTCGCGTCCGATGATGTCTCTGCCGCACCGCTCAACGACGGCCCTCCATCCGGCGTCGACAGCAGTAGTCTCGAAGGCAGTAGTCGGCCCGAGTCCATCACCCCGCCGGACACAGAACAACGCCAAGGCGACGTTCAGAGCGATGACGACTCCGCTGTGTCAACGATTGGAAGCGGAGCTGGCGAGATGATTCGGACTTTCACTTCATCCAATATTGTCACGACAGACATTATTGCGGACGAGCCGGGCGCGGATCCCGACGTCGTGCCATTGGTTCAAATATCTCTCAAATTGTCAGAAGTCGACATCGTGAGGGACCCATCGGGGTTCCTGGATGAAGTGGCAGAGATCGTACAGTACGCGCAATTCCGCTTTTGAACATCTGCGTTGTTTTAAGGCACACTGCAGACTGATCAAGGCGTTCCGGGAGAGAGAACAGCACGAACTCGCCACTCGTAGCGTTCAGCGAATGCATGGGCATACGGACAGCTCGAACGGTTCCTGGGTCGATGTGGATTCTTATATGGCCTCGCTGATGAACAATACAAATGTCGAGGAGAACCAACAGTCACAAACGCCTCTGAATTGGCAACAGAGTTCGTATCTATGGCCGCGCAGCTCTTCTCCGTGCAGCTGATGTGGCATCTCTTTATAGAAACGCGCGCGCGTGCTGCACGGGCAATACGAAATCCACAGCGGACAGCCGAAAAGGTGCTGTTACGGGTCCGGGGTGCACTGAGATCTCATTTGTGTTTGCGATGAATGGGCTGCTGGCACTGTGTTCGTCTCCTTTGTGCGTGCTCGTAAGAGCATCCTTTCTTACAATCTGGCCTATTTATTGCTGCATTCATACTCATGGTGTTTCTTCATGCGAACTCTTTCGTCGATGTTCTCGGAATATCCTGGGCTGTAGTAACATTTCATCAATCTTTCTACTGCACGCTATCTCTCACATGTTCAATATTACCGTTCAATGCCTTATCGTAATGGAGTAGCAGTCGGGGCTTGCTACTATCCGCATCTGGCTGCTGTCCAGTTCGCTGTGCCTGTGCCTGCTATACCACGTTGCGGGTGGTGCGTCTCAGCATTTCCTTATAATGCAATCCAATGGTGGACCCCTGCTCATTTTAGAGCGGCTAGGCTTAGGCCACAGATTGTCGCGGCAAATAATATCCACGATCTTGGAATTGCTTACGCCATACGCGATGCCTTACGATTTACGCTAGATCTCTGAGAGAGCTGGTAAAAACATTCATCCCCACAAGACGTCAACTTATGCTCATGCCGAGTACTTTATTTGACGGTAATCACTGTCAGGTATATGGCCCTGTGAGGATAGTCATTGCTCCAGAGTTGTGAGCGACCTCGACATGCAGTACATTACATTATCGAGTTGTTTTACAACGGCACAAGAGTGAGTTCTACAGCGACTCCATCATGGACCAACAATCTAGGTTGATCACGCACTTGAGGTTTGCCTGAAGGACAACTATGTACAGAGATCAACACATACGTACAGGTAGTCAAATCTATCCACGCGATACACATAAACTGTCTCTCGGTGAGACAAAGGAGCAGCACGCTTCAAATAATAGATAGGTCATTCGCCTCCCGCTGCCTCCCGCTCTCTGATATCTCGCTCAAGGCGTGCACGTTCTGCCTGGCGTAGACGCATCAGAGTGAGCGATTCGTAGTCCAGACCAGCAGCGCTCTCCGCGGAGCTGATTGAAGGTGTTACTGGTTGAGCATTAAGATCAGGCTACAACAGCAGGGTCAGATAGTTGCCATAGCCTAGCAGCGTACGACTCACGAAAGTAGATGGGAACGACGAGAAAGGAGAAGATGATGTCGTCGACTCACGAACCCCAGTTGAGGATTCTGGCGGTTGAGCAGCGCCCGCTGCTGCTGGTGCTGAGACGTTTGTCGCTTTCTTGTCTCGGGCAGGCTGCTCGTGCGGCACCCCGAGCTTACCCATCTTCTTCAACCATCCGATCAATTCTGGCTCCTTATCCTCTCCCCAGTTCACCTCGATACCCGCCAGTCCGCTCTCTGCTCGCCCACTTGCGCATACCGCGGCAAAGGCGCCACCGATTTGACGGAACGGCACGAGTGCAATGACGCGCTTCGGTTTCTTGGGCGGCGAAGGTTTGAGCAGAAGCTTAATGGAGTCCTCGTCGACCTTGCCGAAGCGCGAGAGCAACTCGACGAGGCTTGCCGGTGTAGTGAGGGAGGGATGGGAGGACAGAGGGTACTTCAGGCGGACTGTCGTGTCAAGGTCGCCTAAAAACTCATGAGATGACTATGCTCCAAAGGGGGGATACGTGGACCTCACCTAACGCAGGAGGCTCGTATTCACTCGTCCGAGCCTGTTGTGCCGCCTCCATCTCCACCTCTCGCTCCCGGAGCTTTCGTTCTCGTTCCTCGCGCAGCTTCCGACCCTCCTCCATGAGACGCTCGTTCTCGCGCTGCCGTGCCCTCTCCTCCTCATTCTTGTCCAGGCGTGCCTTCTTGAACGCGCGCTCGCGCGCCTCAAGCTCCTCCACGAGACCCTTGCGCTTCGCGTCGTATGACGCAAATCGGACCTTCCGCGCCTCCTTGATCCTCACTTTCGCATCCAGCGCCATGCGCCGGAGCGGGTCGAGCAGGAGTTCATAGGCCTGGTTGAGTTCGTGGAACTTGCGTGCTGTGGAAGCGAGGTTAGCGTCAGAAGTGTGAAAGATGGATAATGGATTAAAGCATACCTGCATCTGGGTTTCCACGGTTCTTAATGAGAGAACTTGGGTCAGAGAGCGAGGTTCAAAATCCACTTGTTGAATGTAATATTGTGGCGAGACTTACCCTGTCTGGATGAACTTTGAGCGACCGTTGCCGGTATGCTGTACGGATTTCTGCCTCTGTTGCCTCAATTGTCAGACCGAGGAGCTCGTATGGATTCGTTTCTTCTGCCCCGGACATGTTTTGTCAAGATGCTTCACGGATGGAGGACGGTATGGACTTCGCGCAAGCGCGCTGCAGCCTGCTGCAGTACATGATACGGTGATTGCCGAGCGGTTTTGGCAAGTGACGAAGCTCGAAGTTCAGCGCTAGCTTCACCGGCCGCGAATAAAGTTGAAATCCTCTATCCTCCAACGAGTTTTTTCTTTTCAACTGAGTCGATAGAGAACGGAGTTCAAGGCAAATCAGCATATCACACGTTCCACAACTGTTGTACAGCCCAACCGAGGTTGATTCTGACCGTTTCCCTATAGAATTTCCTTTCAATATATAAAGCGAATAATGCGAGATCGTCTCTATGGCAAACCGAAGATCATCTATTGTTGACCATCTCCGAGAATCAAAGGGCCAGTAAAAATGTCACTCTAAACGGGTCAATAAAAAGATTTCCGCTATTGAGACCCTCTTCAGGATGTCGGATATGCGGAAGGCTGTACTAGACAATGACTCGATGACAATGGCTCGATGAACAATGGTGACCTTGTCTCATCAGCACACTTGCAATGCGTGGCTAGGCAGAGCCAGGGCCATCGCAGTCGAGTGTGGCACCAGATGCGATGTGTGGCGCACAAAATTTTCTCTTCCGAGTCTGATGCACCCGAAAACGAGTGCGTTGGGAATGATACCAGGATGGTTACATATATACATTTGAGCGCAATGTGACCCACAAATTAATTACCAAGAGACTCGACGTTCCCAACCGCGGTCGGAGGGCGGAGGTAGCCCTATATAGATGATCCCGATGCCGGTCTGCTCTCCGGAGTTTGCTCTATTGAACTCCTCACCTCAACGTGACTGCAACATTTACAATCACTTACACGACGACTGAGATGGCGGAATCGAAAGAGATGGTGCTGAACGACCCGGCTTTGCGGCCTAGATAGTTGTGGCCGCGCAGCAGCGCGGACGGTGACGATCTGTGACGTAGCGTGACAGAATGCGATAAGTGAACAATGGGCGTGACGTGACCATTCACCACCGCAACCACGCGGCGCAATGCGCCTGCACCTCCCCGCGTTGACATTTTACCTCCACCGCCGTCGCGTGCTGGTTGCGTAAAATGTCCACACTCTCCGACGGCGACGACAGTGTCGACGCCCCCACCTTGTTCTATGCCTCCACCAACAACACCGCCGGACTCCGCCTACGTTTGCAGAACCTCATCGACTCCAAGGAACAGCAGATCCAGCAGGCTGGAGAACTCGGACAACAGCTTGTGACCCAGCGCGTCGAGCTCGAGGAGCGCATGAGGCAGCTTGATCAAGAGGACTATTGGGACTCGGGGAGTGACGACGATGACGATGCCGAAGGGGGTGTGCGCGGGAGGAACTTGGACTTGGAGGATACGCTCAGCGCATGGGATGTGGAGAATGAGCGGCTTGCCACTGGGTTTGGATTAAGGGTGAGTCGTCTGCCACTTTTAAGGTCATCGAACATGCTCTCGAATCGTGGTCGGACATACACGAGTACTCTGGATCTGCGCCTGGTATACATGGGAGTCGCTCGACCATGAATGCGAGCCTCGTGTTTGCCAGGTCCTCATTCTTGCTGGATATGTTCCGTCGGTTTGCCTCGTATCGGTCCATTCCTCCATCTTGGCGACTAGGGCTGCATCGTGGATTACTTGGGATAATGTCACAAGTATGCGCGAATAATCTAATCCATCATTGGAACTTCCCTTGCCTAACTTTATCTTCTTTTCGAACTCTCTTTGTTATCTCGATGCTCATTCCTTCAATCTTTTATATTTTCGTTTTCTTAACTTAATGGAAAGCCTCTGATGACGATCTGGCTTCCAGGACCTACCACCGGTAAATGGCGTGCATCAGCCTTATCACGAGCTCTCTCGCGACGTGGATCATTCAGACGGTATGTCGGAGAGATCCACAGCAGTATCAGGGATGTCCGCCATGCAAGCCTCTCGTCGCGCGAGGAATGCAACACACCGTTCAGACGATGTCGGCGAGTGCAGCCTCTACTAGCATATTTCGAATCCCGTCTAATGTCTTTGCAGAGTTCGCATACGAAATCGGCACCGGTTTGCTGTCGGAGGTGCGGCGTCTGCAGAGCCTTGTTTCAGAGCGTGATGCAACAATCCGGGTCCTTACCCAAGAGAGGGATATGTCGGAAGACCTGGCGCAGACTCTGAGGGAGCAGTGGGAAAAGGCCACAGTTCAGATTGAGAAGTATAAGGATGCGAACTGGGACATGGAAGTGAAGAGGCAAGAGTTGCAAGCACAGCTGCAGGACTCGCAGAACGCGAGAGAAAAGCTCGATGGCGAGAATAGGCGGCTCATTAAAGCTCTCACCACGTCCCGCGAGGCCGCCGACCACCACAAAGGCGAGGCTGAGCGGCATCTAAAGGCATATCAGGACTTGAAGGCGAAGCATGAGACTGATGTGGCGCAGGCTCGAAAGAATGCGGCCAGTCTCCAGCGCGACAAGTCAGATCTCCAACAAGCTGTGGATGCCCTGAAGGTGGAGATGGCGAAGTCAAGCAGACGAATCTTCCCTCGATTTTCGCCGTCAGCTTCCGGCAATGACGGCGGTTCAGAACACCCCGCTTCAGGCAGCCAGGAAGAGGACGATGCACTCGGAAATTTGGGACGCGCAAACTCACATATCAGAAGGATCAGCGAGAGTGCGGCGTCCTACCCTGCTGAGGCGTTTGAGGACTTCCCTGAAGCATCCCCTGACCTGTCGCCCACGAAGCCGTTCCGTGCTCCCAATCACCCGAGCAATGAGATCGAGGCTCTCCAGCAACGACTCGCCCATGCACAGAGGCAGGTCAATACCCTGAAGAGTACGCTCCAACGCGAAAAAGAGCTCCGCATGGACTTTAAACGCAAGCTCGATGCGGCGAATGCCAAGATTGCGGAGGAGCAGGAGGAGGAAAACGCTGACGAGGAGGCAGAGGAGCCATCAAAGCCAAAGAGACACTTAACACCGTTCCGTGTTGGCAGGGGCCGTGGACGAGGCAGAGGCAGGGGTGGCATGACGCTCATGCAGCGGTTGGGGATGGCTTCCCACAGCCCTTCTGCAGGCAATCGCGAAGAAGAACGACCCGAAATGTCTCCACCACCTCCCGTTCCACGTCTACCACCTGTTTTCCCGCTCTCGGACGAGTCCCAAAGGCTTGACGTTCGGAGCGACGACGAAGACGAAGCAGACCCTAATGTGCCAGCTTCCCCCACGCGTTCTCATCATTCGACTCGGACAAGCCTCGAGGGCATGGATCCGGCATTCGCGAACGTTCTTCACCGTAATAACTCCACTAGTTCCCTCGTGCACAATGCGAGTCCGCTGCGGCACCCAGTCGCTAGGACTCGCGGACGTGGTGGCGCCTTCCGCCGGCCAAGAGGCAGCTCAATCTACCAGCGCCCACCTTCGTTCGTCTCAAAGCCGGAGGCCCTGGCTGCAGAGCTTGGCTTGGACGCCACGTGTGAGGACAGCAGCGACGAAGAGAAGGACATGGTGAATACTGCATGCCAAACTGATGATATCCCCGCAGAAGTCCCTCTGCCGGCGCCTGCACCTCCTCTGATGTCTGAAACGGGTATCCAAGTCGTCCCTGAGCCCACTCCAGTGGTCGCTACTTCTGGGATCTCCATGCAGACGGAGATCGAGGCTGTACCGCTGCACACGGAGATGGGCGTGCAACATGAGGATCTGCTCCCTGAGCCTGTAAGGACGGAAGCCGCTGTTCAGCACGAGTCTATGGAGCCAGTTCGGATGCTCGTGTCCAGCAGTATGAACACTGAAACGGAGGTGCCGCCTGAGCTTTTGCCAATACCAGTCACACCAGTTCTTGTTGAAGCGGAGACACAAACAGTTCTGGTGCAGCTCGCCGAGATGGATATTCAGACTGTTCCCGAGGCGATTCCAATGCCGGTGGAGAAGTTGGACATGGACATTCAAACTCTTCCCCTTCTCCAGCCCATCACGTCTGACATGCAGACACAGACTTTGTCCCTCCCGACACCTGTCATGGCAGAGATGCAGATTCAGACGTTACCACTCCCGGCTTCTGTCACCGCCGAAATGCAGATCCAAACGCTCCCGCCTGTCGTGGCAGAAATGCAGGTGCAAACGCTGTCACCGCCGGCGCCTGTCATGGTGGAGATGCAGATCCAGACGCTACCACCTCCAGTACCTGTCATGGAAGAGATCCAGATCCAGACGCTGCCACTTCCAGCACCAATCATGGCTGATGTGCAGACTCAGACCGTACCATCCGAGGAGGTCACTGTTGTCGCTATTCCATCTCAAACGCTAGCACTTCCGGTTGCGAATGCTGAGGTGCAAGTAGAAGAATTTGACACGCCTCGTCTGCACAGCGTAGCTGTCGCATCAGCAGGCGAAGAATATTCCGGAGATTTCAGCGGTGATATCACGATACATGGGCGTCCTGTGCCACTCGTTGTGCGCGTTGGGGAGCCGAACAACGACTACGATCTCCGGACACAGACACCAGCAATCACTGAGACAGATACCGATGACTACCAAGATGCTCGGCAGAGCATGTCGTTGGCAACACCGAGCGACTCCGTCAATGACTTCCATTCTATTAGGACAGTCTCTGACAATGACTTCTCAGAAAGTGAGGACGATAACGAGAGCATCGTGGCATCGCGACTCCCGAGCCGTCAGGGCTTGTCCGCTGTGTCTTCGACGTTCTCTGTCAATGTTGCTCCTCGAGCCACGTCAACTCCTATCCCGCTGGCACCCACATATGAGTCGATAGGAGTCGAGACTGAAGCTATCGATGAGTTTACACCTCAGCCACTTCCAGAAGAGCCTTCATTGCCAGAGCCGGGGCCTGTGTTCGAGCCAAAACCGGAGTTCAAGGAGATGTCTATCCAGACAGACGAGTGGATCCCTCCCGCGCCTGTTGTTCCTGTCGTGTCTCCTGTTTCCGCACCCGTTACTGCCCCTCCTACTCCATCACTCGGTCCACTTCCAAGCCTTTACCGTGTCGGCGCCAATTCCCAACATTTCCAGTTTATACCTCCCCCATCTCCTGCAGGTCCTTCCACTTCTTTTGTGCCTGCTATCGTCGCTCCTTCTCCTTCGCCAAGCTCTACTATCAGAGATCCCAATGCCACACTCCTTGCCCGTCCTCGCACCTCTCATTCAGATCGAAGACAGTCCATGGAATCATCTCTGTCATACGTTGTTGACGAGCTCGGTGTACGCACTCGTCCACAGGCGACTGCAGTTGACAAGTCTCGTCCGCCAACAATTGCGCTGCCACCACCACCACGCGCCCCTCCTCCGTCAAACAGTATGCCCCCACCATCTACAATACCAGACAGGCGGATTTTGCAAGATATACCTCCTCCGCGTCCATCTTCGCCTCCTCCGGCCGAGCTCATCCAACGCGCTACTTCCCCTATCATCGGAAGTGTTCTGTCGCTCCCTGGAGGAAGGCCTCTAAGCATCAGACTACATGGCTCCACGCCATCGTCACAAGTGCGTGAGCTGCCGTCCACGGGCAGCTTCAGGTCAGCAGCGAACACTCTGGATCGTGCGCCTATGAGCTCCGCTGCTTCCGCGATAGCATCCAGTGTCCGGGAGAGAGCCCGTCGAGAATTGTCCTCCGCATCTATAAATTCTGCAAGGCACAGCCTGGGTTCTCAACGTTCCTCAATATCATCTGATACTCATGCGCTCCCGCGACAAACTCAGAGACCCGGCGATTTGGCTATGGTACCGGGACGCTCGGGAGACATGTTGTCTCGTGCCGCAACGAACGGCTCGACCGAACCCATTATTCATGCGATTACGCAAACTATGATTGGCGAATTCTTCTACAAGTACACTCGTCGGACGCTCGGAAGAGGTCCTGGCAGCAGCAGGCATCGACGTTATGTCTGGATCCACCCGTATACGAGGACGTTGTATTGGAGTACAGGTGATCCCAGCTCGGCCACCGTGAACGAAGCCACCTCCAAAAGCAGTACGTGGCTGTGGTTTGCTGACATTTGTCTGACGAAGGTTGACTGACCCGGTAACATGTGCAGCGTTCATCGAAAGTGTTCGATCTGTGCTCGATCCCAACCCCATGCCACCTGGTCTCTACCAGTACAGTCTTATAATCACCACGCCGCATCGCGAGCTGAAATTCACTGCATCCACAAAAGAGAGGCACGAACTCTGGCTGAGTGTGAGTATATATATTTCAGTCGTTCGAGTCCATTCTGACCCCCCATTGTTCATATCAGGCATTAAGCTACCTGATTGCACGGTCGAACCCAGCGCCGCCCGTCGCGTCGTCATCAAGTGACCCGCCGCCGGCCCCCTTGAGTCCCATGTCTATGGATCAGGAGCTGCCGGATGATGAGAGCCAGCCACATCTTCTCGTTCAGGCCAGTCCGAATAGTCAGCGCAGCACGCGAACGAATAGGACAGATGCCAGCGTGGATTCGTACAATACCCCTCGTGGCCCGCGCAGCCATTCGCAGATGTCGTTCAGGGGCTCCATGGGCAGGCTTTCGGGCACACCAGCTGCGGAGTACCTTCGTTGGGCTGAGCAGGAAGACTTGCAGAGCTCAACAAGAGAGCATGACCCAACGTCTGGTCAAGATGACGAGGAACTCGACTTCGAGCTCCACAATGATACGCATTCTGATGGTGGTTTTGAGGGCTTGGAGAACGTTCGTGCATGCTGTGACGGCCGACATACAGTGGGTCGCGCCGGGATGCCAAGTCACACTCACCATCATCACCACCACCACCAGGAGCAAGAGACTCGAGCAGATTCCTCCCGTGCTCGCGACCAGCACCTCCACCCTGCGATCCTCGACTCAGCTCGGCCAGCGAGCCCTTCCTGGTCGTTCCGTTCCCGTACGAGCAGCTCGGTCGCCCAGGATGGATCTGGCTTCCTGTCGCGGTTCGGCACCAAGAGATCCACGAGACACCTGGCGGGTATATCTTCTAGCAGCGCGCATGACTAGTAGTAGAGTTTATTAATCCCCCATTGTAATCGCATCGGAATGCCGGAACGTCTTGCTTTCTTCACCTAGCTGAAACCCCTACATTCTTTTAGTATCGCATTTTGTCCATGGTCCATTAATCGTTTGTCTAGCTACTAGTGAATTGCATGTATCCAATTATCTTATATTTGTGCGAATACGCGACATGAATATGGTCGTTCTCTTCTATCTAATGGATATATATACGTTCAACGGGATTATGTAGTGGATAGTGGAAGCGGAGCAAACAAGCGCTCGTGCAGGAATCTGCAATTTTACTTGAAATTGCTCCTCGTCGTGAGCCTCGCACCTCAGGCACATTGGGCATTCCTAGTGTCTCCTATATCCTTGCTGGATCTCCATCAAACAATGAATGACAGTCGGGGACTCCAGACAACAACACATCCGCTGCATAGCTGCTGCTGGTACAACGGTATGTTGATCCTTCCCGCATCTGATTGCTCTATATGCGTATGATGCATCTCTCGGAGTTCCGTTTTTCTTTCCTGAAGTATATTCACAAGAGAAGTCCAAAACTCAGGTGTGCACTCAATGGCTAGCGACTTGGCTATCCTACTGTTTCGCAACGCCGCTGAGCACGGGTCGATGCCACGAGCGGGGCGGTAAATTATGATTCAGGACTAAGCCACGCGATCGTCGGGAACGGATAAACGCACCTCACCCAGATATTGAGGGACTTAAGATGAGGCGGGCGGGCCGTCCCAGCTATCGCTCAGGAGCAGTGGAGCTCATCCGTCGGCGCGGTATCATGAAGCACAACAGTGGCAGAGGCTCTAATGGGACAGAAAACAGTCGAGCCACGGCCAGTCGTACGAGGCCTCTCGATTTCGATGCAAGGAAGATCCTTGAACGTCATGGGAGTGCGATTCGCGCACTGTCGACGGTTTGTCAGTACGTACTGTGGTATGCATAATCTGCCTGGCGCTGAGCAAACGGATCAGGCTGTACAGCGTTCACTGGCAGTTTTGCGTCGGTCCATGCTAGCTGCCCGCTTCTCGCACAGCTTGAACGAGAATGACAGATTCCTTCATCCGAAATCTTTGATCACAATTGGAAGTCTTACAACGTCGTTCCTGATCTACGTATCTTCGGTCCTTGCCAGGCCAGGTGGATTGTCACTCAGATCCATCTACTAATTGCCTCGCCCTATCTACGAAGACCTCGACGTCAAGAGATGTTCCAGTTCCAGCCTAACCATTAGCAAGGCATGTGCTTCGCACTCATTAGCTCCCCGTATGCAGATCGACTTGTTTCAGGCATTTCAATGAACCCCCGGTGCCGACCTGATTACCTCTCCGCACCCCTATGGAGACTTCAAGATAGCTCGTGGATGAAATCATGCTATATATAGGCTCGTTCGCGGGCGATTATCTCTCGCGTCTGCATATTGGCAAACCTTCGTACGTGCCGGCTGTAAGATTCAAATTGTGAATGCATAGATACCGCTTTCACACTCACTCAATCCATGTCAATCGACCCGTTTATGTCTAGCATGTCTAGCTGCGATCATCAGGACACTTTCCCACATGCAAGGGCGGCTTCGACGCTGATCCGGTGACTCGCAGGTGCCTCGGGCCTGATAGGCGTATGAAGGTATGGCTGCTCTAAAGATTTACCTACTTATCGGTGCGCCGTTATCACAACGGGACCCCTGGCGATGGAGCGGACCTGACTTTATTGGTCACGCGGTCCTCCGCGTCTTTGTGTAGTCGCCGCATTCATGAACCCATAAAGCGGACTATCGTGCCTGTAGAAGCCAGGTCGAACTGCCCGCCCTGCACTGCAGCACGATGCACTCCATCAACATCGTTCGACCCATCCGGAACTGGGCCCATAGGCTTCGTGGGGCGTTCACCTCAAAGGAGGCCTTCCTTGCGTACATCCATACCGAAGGCAATGCGCACCAGCGCCACACGTGGACGAACGAGGACCTGAAGCCGTCTCCACCGTCCATGGTAAACTGGAAGTGGTACAATTTCTGTATCTTCTGGTTTGGTATGGGGTTCGGCAACTGGTGTGTCCGTTAATGTCTACCGCGCATTTCGCTGTCGTACTCATGCATACACGCAGGACACTTGGGTCAAGTCTGGTGGACAACGGTCTGTCATGGTGGGAAGCCACGATCGCTATCTGGATCGCTGCATTCGTCTCGGGTGCCTGCATGGCCCTCAATTCGCGCGCTGCAGCCAATTATCACGTCGGCTACCCAGTCATCTTGCGTACATGCTTTGGTATGTACGGCCACTACTGGCCGGTTCTTGCCCGCGGTGTCTGTGCGTGCCTCTGGGTATCCGTCATCAGTACGTATTCAGTCCACCTTGCTCGAGCTATCATCTGACGCCCGCGCGTAGCCTTCGAGGGCGGCGCGTTCATCTCGACGATGCTGCACTGCGTCGTCGGTCACCGCTGGAAGAACCTCCCAACGCAGTTCCCCGCCTCGGTGGGCACGACGGTCCAGCGTTTCGCAGGCTTCGTGATCTTCTGGGCGATCGTGCTGCCGTTCTGCTCACTCCGCCCGACGCGACTCAAATGGCTCTACAACTTCAAGGCGTGGGTGCTACCGCCATCGGTGATGGGCCTCCTCATCTACTGCCTCGTGCAGAGCAAGGGCAGGCTCGCGTCAACCGCAGCGCTCGCAGGCGAGTCGGCCTCGACACTGCCAAAGGGGTCCACTCTTGCTTGGTTGTTCGTCAGCTCGGTTAACTCGTGCATGGGGAATTGGGTATGCCATATGGTATCGTTTGGGCCTCGCATTCGGCTGACTAGGACACATGTAGTCGACATTTATTGCCAATATGCCTGACTTTGCGCGGTACTCGGACAACCCGAACGCCGTTCTGTGGACGCATGTTCTATTTGTGCCATTCCCTGCTGCACTTGTAAGTGATCTTTGAATATTCATATGTGACCGTTCTTCAAATGGACATCGTCTTAGGGTGGTATGATTGGCGTCTTCGGTACAGCCGCGCTTCAGCACGCATGGGGGGAGACCATCTGGAACCAGTGGGACGTGTACGACGCAATGCTGGCGCACAACTTTTCCGGCGGGATGCGCTTTTTCGTCTTCCTGCTGGCCTTCTCCTCTGGGCTGTTCAATTTCGGCGCGCTCATCGGCGCAAACCTGCTCCCGTTCTCGAGCGACATCACTGCGCTCTTTCCCCGGTACTTCAATATCCCACGCGGAATGTGGTTCTGCGGCACGATCGCGCTCGCGCTGCAGCCGTGGAAGATCCTCGCGTCGTCGCAGGGCTTCCTCGCGTTCCTCGACGGGTACGGCATCTTCATGGGGCCCACGGCGGCGATCATGATCACGGACTACTGGATCGTGCGCAAGGGCAACATCCGCATCATGGAAGCGTATTCGTCCAAACGCGGCGCGACGTACATGTACTGGCACGGCGTGAACCTGAACGCGGCGTTTGCGTACCTGTGCGGAATGATGGTGCCTTTCGTCGGGTTCGTCGGGACATTCGGCGTGAGCGTACCGGAGGCGGCGACGAAGCTGGACAAGATCGGGTGGTATTTGAGCGCGGCGATCGCGGGCGTGGTGTATGTTGGCATGTGCAGGATCCGCCCGCTGGCGAATGTCGACCGTGATTTGCCGCGGGAGCAGCTCGCACGCGAGTTCGCACGCCAGCGCGAGATGGAGGTCGAGGAGGTGACGGGCAGCGTGGACGGCGTAGAGGAGAAAGAGATAGACGTCGAGGAGGAGGATGGCAAGAAGGCGGACGCATACGTTGTCTCATACTCGCCTACGATGGAACAGGTCTGATTGCGATGACTAGTCATTTGTTGGCTGTGTCTGAGTTAATTCTCGGCAGAATATACATACAAAAGTTCTGTATTTTCTAGACTTGCACTCACACGAAGTATCGTGATGTACTAGGGTATCGTAGCGAAAACATACGACCAACCAACGTCAACGTACTCTGCTGTCCACCATCTCTTGCAATATTAGCTACGGGATCGGTGCCATCTCAATGGTCTGGCGCACATAAGAATCAAGCGCGTCCTTCTCCTTAGTATTGTCTACGGCGAGTGGCTTCATTTCGGACCTGGTATTCATCGGACCTGGTATTCAATAGCTATGGAAAGTTATAACGTTTTCTCTCGCGATGGACATGGATTCTTTTCGAAAGCTGTAAATCATGCTTTCATGTCTGGCGCATGTATAAAAGGTGCCCTCCCTCCTTTGAATACAGCTCCAGACGTCCCTGCATTCGAGCCTTTCTCTGCATGTTTGGAGACGACAATGTCAGTCGTCCACTGCGCTCGTTCCAAGCGATCATCGCTGGTTCATGAAGTGCCATGCCTACTAATGTGTGATTCTTTCCAATTTGCGGCTGCATTTCAATTGAAAAGTCTGCAAGTGACATACTCATCGACGCCTCTCGAAGAACCCTGTACAGCTGAGCAGAAGCGACGCTGCATGCGCTCCAATACGCGGCCTTTGAGATTGTCACATATATTGTGTAGCTTTCGATAACTTCAGCTGCTGGCTAGAAGCGTGTTTCTATTTCGCCGCGAATAGTGATAATAACAGTCAACGCAAATGTGCGAGACGCGGAAGATACGACACTCACACCGCAGACAGGATAGTGGGCACAACTACCCAACTACCTTTTGTCGGATGGGTCAGATAATGCTAATGCTCGGAACATGCCCGTTTGCAAGCAACACAACCTCGAGAGGTATAAAATGAACCGCCGGTAGTGTAGCAGTGTCATCAATCAACAGCGTAAAGTTCGAACTCCCAAGGCACCTGCTGTCTAGGCCCTCCTTCACTGAACCATACTCTTCGCAGTCTGCAGGTGGCGTACACCTTGACGTACGAAACATGTGAGTACGTCCCGCTGGGTACTGGAACGCGGCTCCTGTTAGAAGCGGGATCATCCCTCGTGTGAGATAAATGGCTGTCGGTATTCCGCTCATTCTCGTCTCGGGCGTTCGTAAGCGAGGCAGAAGAGAAGTGCGGGAGGAGGGAAGGGAGGTTCAGTGAGATCGTGCTCCATGACGTCAGCGGGTGAGATGATGGTGGGGGAAAGGCAAGAGGGAGGTGAAGCAAAGGAGGACTGCTCAGTTTGAGATGAGGGTCCTTCTGCGAGTAAGCAATCAGTGACCACTGTAGAGATCACAAAAGTACGAGCAAAATATATCTCCAGACGTACTCTCAAACCACGCAATACCGTTATCGTCATGTCAGTGCGAGATTCAAGGCCTAAGGATACAGAACCGTGGAGCAGAAAGAAAATTACAGCACCTGGAATGTAGAGCACCGCACAATCCCTTCCCTCCCAGACTGGTCGACAATCCCCACTTCAAAGGACCATTCTCTTCCTAGGGTCCGAACCTGAAGATGAATCCATGGATGCTGCATGCCCAAATCCCCGTTACGGCCATGCGCCGCCCGCCCAGTGCCCGTCCAGCCCGCCGGCGGACATCGTATGTACGTCGTTTTCAAAGTAGGCGACTGTATGTGCAAGACAGTCTGATCGAGCGCGTAATCTGGCGCGACAGTCTTGTCCTCGTCTGTTCCGTGTGCGAGCGATATGAGAGAAGCTGGAGGCGGCGGTGCGGGCTGCGACGTTGAGTCTTTCATGAGACAAATGAAGGAGTCTGACGGTAAGGACACGTCCGTGTGTGTGGAGAACAAGTCTAACGGTGAGCTGCCCGTAGATGAGAACAGCGACACGATGCTAGGCTGCACAGCGGCAGAGAACATGACAGTTCTAGGAAGGATACGACGCGCGGCAAAGTGCCATCTCAAGCCCAGCATCACGATCCAGCCATCAATTGTATCAAGGTCAACGATATTGCACGAGAGCAGCGAATCGAAATAAAAGAGGAGCAATAATGGGAGCATCTACGCATGCATGAACGCCAGGGCGACCATGAAAGGTTACGAGACATCAAATCTTCAGACCACATGAATCGAAAAGTTCACAAGTACATAATATTCGCTTTCTTCCCGGCGACCGGAATCCATCCTCTGTGAAAGGGTATAAGTTGCTCTATGCGTGTGGCAGCACCATAAAGTCAGCTCCCCGCGCCATTGGTACGCATCGCGGAGAACGGTCTCCATCGCCCCCGCGACCGAACGGCCCATGCTGCGGCAAATAGCAAAACTCCTACATACAATAAAATCAATATTTCTCTCAATCAAAGAAGTCGAATGGCACTCACATCGACATCACACGCGGGGCGGCACTCCAGCCACGCAGGCCAATCCAGCCAATCAATCAGCGCATCGACCTCGTCCCTCCACTTTCCCAACAAGCCCTCGGCAACTTCCACAGTTTGCTCCTCCACATCAAATGCCTCCCGCCACGCTACAACCAGCACCCTGCAAACCTCGTGCAACACCTCGTCCACCGCATTGCGCAGCACCTGCTCTTGCTTCGTGAAACGCGCCGTCGGAAGGCGCTCCGTGAAGCTCGCCCGGCAGCCGCGCGCAATCTCGCCATACCAGCTTGGCGAGCCCACCTCGGCACGCGGGAAATACGGGACGAGGGACGTGATCAGCTGCTGGCGCACCTCCGCTGCATGCGCTGTTGCGTTGGCCACCTCTTGGTGTAGCAGGTAGCGTAAGTACGGTAAGCGATCGGAGAACCTGTCCTGCACAACCTGCGCGAGACCACGCCAGTCCACCCCGCTGCCCGCATCCGGCGAGCGCGAAAACACGTCCGCAATGTCTGCCCGAGCGGCCGCGATGTCAGCCTCGGAAATATTCAGCAGGCGATACTCCTCGCGCGGGAGTGAGCGTCGGGAATTGATGAGGGACGTGAACGCTGGGTCGAAGAACGAGATCATCCCCGAGGGATCCACGTGCACGCGCAGGTCACCCGGGAAGGCGTTGTGCCAGGCACCAGCGTGCATACCTTCGCCGTGCACCGCTGTAGGCCAACTGCCTTTCCAGCCCTGCGGAGGTGTGCTCGGATTACGACCAGGACCTCCTGGCCCTCCTGGTTTACCTGGAGGGGCGCCCGGGCCGTCTGGTGGAGAACCCGGTCCTCCTGGGGGTCCTCCAGGTCCGCCCCGCGGAGGCCTTTCCGGCGGTTCACCCGGTCGTTCATCTCCCCCTCTTCCCGGCCTGTCTCTGCATCCACCGCCAGGTCCACCACCAGGTCCGCCGCCAAATCCTCCTCCGTTGATGGTATTCATAGCCGAGACAAGTTCCAAGCCTTGCGAGAAGTTGCAATACATGATCTCACTGCAGTGGAGTCGGTTTGCGTTTGGACAGTAGCAATCGTCAAATTCGTCAAATTCGGACTCACAAATCAAATTCCATCCTGACAAACCCGTCTACACCATATTCCTCGCCCCAATCGCAGGCCTTCAATATAAGCTCACTCTCGCCGGACGGTAAGATATCGCCCGCATTGTATCTGTGTTCGATCTCGCCGAAGACGAGCAGATACTGTGTGTCGACGACGCCACCCCTCTTGTTCCCGCTGGATCCGTCAAAGTAGACCAACTTGAGCTCGCGCGCGGCGCTGAATGTGAAGAGAGTGCCGTTGTCTCCTCGCACAAACATCTGGGAGTGCTCCGGGTCAAAACCAATCCAGTCCATCTCAGGGAAGACATCGCTTCCACGTCCGTGATAGAGAACTGTTCCGGGTGGAATACTGGCGCGAACGATCGAGTGTCCTGAACAGTCGGTGAGGTGAGTCTTTACGCGCAATGTAGGCGAAAGCGACTAAGGTTACCATTGGGATAGCGTGAATTAGCCCCCATCTGCATGAGAGATGCGAGGGATTGGAAAATGAGGTTCCCTGCCGCATCCGTACTGACTGGCTCATCCCATGGGAGAGTGTAGGATGGTTCGACCTGACCATTGAACTCAGAGTTGGTCCTCAGCGGAACCTGTTCAGCAAGGTATGCTCCTTGCGTCGCGCAAGCCGCCAGAAGAGAGACACCGCAAGCAGTCAACCATCCCATGGTGGGCGGGAGGAGGTGAGATGCAGAGCTGTGGGAGGGACATGTTGCTGCTGCTTATCCGCAGCAAGCGTGGACTGCGCGTCGAGGTACCGCAGTCACATCCTGGTCACATCGTTCCATATAGCACGCATTTCCGAGGTTCTGGCCATTGGGCGTTGATGAAATTGGCAGCAGGCAGAGATATTCGAGATTGCGGGAGCATGGACTTTAGGATGTGGATCATTGAGTCAAGCTCAAGGTCAGTGTCAAAGGTCAGTCTCGGGCGCTACTGGGTTTGTAGTCCGAGCGGCAATGTCCGCGAGAGGCAATACACCATGCCTTCAAGTCGTACTCAGCTGAAGGGATGTGCCTTGTTTAATATGTGTAAGTGCTACATTCTAGTCACAGACGCGGATGCCCTGCTTCTTAGAGTCTGCTCATCAGTACACACAGAACATTGAAAGTACACGATCAGGACAGACAGTAATTGAGCCCACACTCTCGTAGTATCCTGTGATGATATAGAGTAACGTGCAAGGCACCGTCCTAGCTATAACAAGCAGACATTAGCGTACAAGTGTCCAACGCCTTGATAACAACATATTTTTCTCTCCAGACCCAGGTTAGCCCAAGTCATACGATAGTTGATATAGTAGATAGCCAGATAGACACGTTCGTGATGGAGGTATGCAGGGTATCAGTGTTGGTGTGGTCCGTTTGTGAGTCGATGACGTTAGAAACAGACAGCAAGAGGCGTAACACGCAATGCGTTAGCTGGTATCGGGGCGGCCGGAGAACAAGTGTCTGCGCGCCATACGGAGGAACTGCTTGCCGATCCCCTTGCACTCGTCCTTGACGGCGGTCAGCATGCGTGGTTTGCTTCCTGCGTGCAGAAGCACACAAAAAAATCAGTTTGAGTGCGAGATTCGATATATTGGGCCAGGGCGTACTCTTTGGAGATAAAGGCAATGATGCATCCCCCGAAAGCGCCTCCTCCAAAGGCGCGAGTGTGTGGTTACTACGCGAAGGCACATCAGGAGCGGGAGCATGGCGCGACTTCTTAGACACCACGCTGACAGTCGACCGCGCCTTCGCACGGCTGCTGGGCCCCTCGGGGTAGGGTGGATTACGAGGTTTCCCGGACGACACGCCGGTGGGCGACCGCACCCTCTCGTGAGCACTGGATCCGCCACCAGGTAATTCGGGCACACTGGGACACTGATTAAACGCCGTACTAATGGGCGGCCGCGCCCTTGCACGCTCTCCGGAATTAGGCTGGCTGCGAGACTTGCGCGACGCGATGGTGATGGACGACAGTGCCCGTGCGCGGATACCGGGCTCATCGGAGCCTGGCGCGTTATGGGACTTCTTATACGGCACGCTGATGGACGAGAACGCCCGCGTACGGCGATTGGGCTGCCCGGTGTCGGATGTATCCCCAGATTTTTTGGATCCTACGCTGGCTGACACAGCCGCGCGCGCTCTTGCCTCCGCGATCAGCCTGCAAGCGACGACGTCAGTGAACAAGTAGGATAACTCCGCGCGCGTGAGTCGCCGTACCGACGGATCTCCGCCTCCTCGTCCATGTAGTAGTGTGGGTCCGCGATCTCGCTGACTTCAGAGAGGTCGAGCGACGCGTACACGATCGGGATCATGTCGTCGTCCGTGTTGGACTGGTCGAACGTGGGCATCACCAGATTGAGGTAGTCTGAGCGCAGGCTCGGAGGGCGGACGCTGGCGAACGTGTGCGTCGGGAAGTGAAACCCGTACGGGGAGAGCACATTGTACGGCGACTCGAACGGGAGCACATCATCCTCGAGTTCCGCGAGACTGATGGGCACGGCGGACACCCACGTCGACTGGTACTCGAGGCTGTACGTCGACCCGTTGTTCGCCAACCGCAGCTCGTCCGGCCAAGGATCAGGCTCAACGATCGACGTGTGATCTACCGCCGAGTCATGAAATGAACCCATAGAGTTCGCCAGTGGGCTTCCCAAATCCTCCCACGAGGACGTCTCGTCCGATGGCGTGCCGTATCCCGCCTCCCAGAGCGTCCTCCACTTGCGATAGTCCTCGAGCTCATACTTGTCGTGCCTCCGCACCTCCTCAAGCGAGAGCATGACGGCAAGCTCCTCGCGGAACTCCTGTGTCGGGATGCGCACGACGCGGTCGATGTAGTTGTACTGGTAGCAGCGCGCGAACGGGAACGGGCGAGAGGGGCACAGAGGCGCGCGTTCGAGCGGGTGCGCGGTCTCTGGCAGAATCGGCACCGACATGGCCGAGTGCGTGAATCGTGCGCGCGGGGGGGTGGGGAGGCCCTGGCCGACGAAGCGGATGTGGCATCTATGGGTCGGTTTATCTGGCCATGGGATTTCGTCGACCTATCGGGGATTCAGAGACGATCTCGCCTCAATCGGCTAACAATAACAAGTGAAATGAGTGGAGCACTCACGCGGTCAATGTACCCCACATACGTCTTCGGAGCGAGCCGTTTTGCAGCGCTCTGCAGGATAGGATCGTCGATGCCCCTGGCGGTGGCGACGGGGTCGAGGCGAAGGACGAGATAAGATCCCGGCGTGGGGGTCAAAGTAGGCATTACCGACGAGTAACCGAGCACAATGGTATTAGTATAGGAGAGAACGCTTCCAGCCACGCATCGAGACGAGAGAAGAGGAGAGAACGTGCGGACCGTGTGGCCTGTGAGGGGTATGAAACAAGCCACGCTGGGGGCGCGGTGATTTAAGTCTAAATGGTTCTGCCACGACGGCGAGTCTTGACGCTCCCTGTGCGTCATTCCTGCAGAACTTTGGACGCACCATATGCCCGCTATATTCCCGCTTGCCCAATGTTGATGCTGTATTGTTGGATGTGAGTCCACAGCTGGAGAACGAGTCGGCAGAAACAGAGTAGGGTGCGGGGAAATAGCTAATGCTAATTAGCTAGTGCCGTGTAATTTACGGTTAAAATCAACACGGCTGAAAATTGAAGGTAAATTATTAGCGCTGACGGTCTCCGATCATGTGTATGGAGCAGTATGCTATGGGATCTTGACATTGATCGCGACCTCCAGCAAGCCAGTCACACCTAATTCCAATACGTATGCCGCCCGATAGTATGGTAGAATGTACAAAAGTCCGAGACCCATTAGCACATTACAGACTGACCGAACCGTGTGCCTGACACCCGACCTCTCACAGCTTTGCCTTGACGTCCTCCTCCCGCACCCGCATGCGCGCCATCCCCTCAATGATCCTCTCTGCATCGCTCTCCATCCTACTCAACAACTCCGCACACGTCGGGCAGTCCTTGATCAACCCGACCGTCACGCCCGCACTCCAGATACCATAATCCGGGTCGCCGAGCTCGTACACCTTCCGCCCGCGCTGGCCAGACACGAGCTCACGCAGCTCCTCAAACTTTGCTCCGCCCGGCCGCCGCTCGAGCGCGACGACCTCTTCAGAGACCTTATTCCGGAACACCCGTGCCGTGTTGTGCAGCGTGCGGAAGATGTGGATCGTGTCCCGCTCGGTGGATGCGACGATCTTGTCCTTGATGTTCTGGTGGACCGGGCTGGACACCGTGTCTGTGAGGCTCTCGATGCATATACAGAGCAAGCAGACTGACCTTTCAACGGTGCATACGAACCGCGTGCCTACGTTTCTCAAGCATCAGCGATACCATCGTTTGGATAAACCTGAGTGTAACACCATACCCATGTTCACTCCCTGAATGATAGGACGTCAATAAAGCTGCTTACACCAACATAATGAAAGGATGACACACCGCAGCGCCTAGAGCCAAGGCAGCAGCCAGGCCACGCCCGTCGGCGATGCCTCCTGATGCGATGTATGGAATCTTGAGCTCTTGTGCAGCGCGAGCGAGCTAGTACGGGCGCGGATTATATGTACTTCCTGAGGTAATAAATGCGACTACGTACGAGAACGAGCCCGCCGATGTCATCCTCGCCAGGGTGGCCAGCACCTGCGGGCATGACAGCGATCAGCGGATTCCAACACAACGGATCACAAGATACCTACACTCGAAGCCATCGATGCTCAAGACGTCCACGCCCATGCGCTCCCCGGCCTAGCTCGCGCATATCAGTACGTCCATCGCACCTCAAAAGTCAACAAACCTTCGCATGTCGTATGTTCGTACATTTGTGTATCACGATGCACCCCTGCGACTTGAACAGCTTCACGAGCGGCGCAGCTGGACCACCCGCACCCAGTCAGTCCACGCCTCCAGCCGCACACAAATGCAAACACAAATACGCACGGTTGTTCCCCGCAGTCTCGAAAATGCGGACGCCCTCTTCCAGTGCGGCGCGCGCATAGCCCTCGTAATCCGGCGGGTTAATCGAGGGCAGGAGGGTGATGTTCACGCCAAAGTTGTGTGGTGTCAGCGTGCGTGTTTCGCGGATCGCAGCGCGAAGGGCGTGCGGGTCAGGTTGAGTGAGGGCGGTGAGTATGCCTAGAGGCGGAAATGAGTATGATATCGTGCGTAGGTGGTGAGGTGACATACCGAGGCCGCCGGCATTTGAGACCGCTGCTACGAGTTTGGGCAGGCCGACCCTGTACAAGCAATTAGGTCATGAGATCATTTGCGAGAGTGAACGAGCTTACCACTGCATGCCACCCTGCACGACAGGCCTGAGCAGCGCGAGACTCAAAAGTCAGACGTGGCAGCAACATCCGTGTGATCCACTTACACCCGGATACCCAACAACTTCGTCAACGGCGTAACAAGTGGCATTATCTTCTCTGCACCAGTGTAGGTTTGATGGTAGTTGCGTAAAAAGCACAGATGGGGGGGAAGGCAGCTCGCGGTCGAGCTGATAAATCTCGAGCCGGAGAATCACAAGCCTACTACCATACACATCGAGCGCCTTTACTGCGAGTGCACATCATATGATGCTCGCCTCGCAAGGCTGTCAGACAAGCATTCTTCTGTGACAGGTGTTTCATCGAGGATGAGGAGGCGTTAAGCGATGATCATGCGACGCTGAGGGCGGCAGCAGAGACGGGCGCCTTTGGCAGCACACGTTGGGCGCTTGACGCGTCTGTGGCGCGGAAGAAGCCGCGCCTCGGTGAAGACGCCGTACGCACCAATAATATTCATGCATTCAACAGTCAACACGCAGACATGAAGGCTTTTGTTTCCTTAGGCTTGCTTGTGCCTCATGTGAAGCATATCAACTGAATCCAACGCGAATGTGTAAATTCTCACTGGCACGCTCAATGTGTGTAGTCTCACCACTGCTAGCGTATTACAATATTATTCGCTGACCAGACTCCCGACTTAAGCCTGAACTCGTGTTGCTATGCTGCATTGCTTAGCCGGGATTTTAACAGTCTTGAGTAGATGAGACTAGGTCAAAAATAGTCGAAGAGATCAACTCCTGTCTCACGTCGCCTTCGTTGATCCGCCTCGAGCCATTTAAACAAGGTTCCATCGCGATTGCATAGTCAACGCTGGTGCGCTCTCCTACCATACAGGCAGGACGTTGACAAAAAGGCGTTCTCATTCGCCGACGGATGTTGCCGGTCGGATCATAAATTCAGCAGCGCCCGAGACTGACGTCGAGCTTGACTCAATAATTGATTGCTTCAGTTTCATAGGGACTCGCAGTCCATACTCCCGCAACCTCGAATATCTCCGCCTGCTGGCCATTCTCCTCAACGTCCAATGGCCAAGACCTCATAAATGAGTGCGATGTGGAACGATGTGACCCAGACGTGACTGCGGTACCTGGACGCGCAGTCCGCGCTTGCTGCGGATACACACCAGCAACATGTCCCTCCCACAGCACTGTATCTTACCTCCTCCCGCCCACCATGGGATGGTTGACTGCTTGCGGTGTCTCTCTTCTGGCGGCTTGCGCGACGCAAGGAGCATACCTTGCTGAACAGGTTCCGCTGAGGACCAACTCTGAGTTCAATGGTCAGGTCGAACCATCCTTCACTCTCCCATGGGATGAGCCAGTCAGTAAGGATGCGACAGGGAACCTCATTTTCCAATCCCTCGCATCTCTCATGCAGATGGGGGCTAATTCACGCTATCCCAATGGTAACCTTAGTCGCTTTCGCCTACATTGCGCGTAAAGACTCACCTCACCGACTGCTCAGGACACTCGATCGTTCGCGCCAGTATTCCACCCGGAACAGTCTTCTCTCACGGCAGGAGCACCGACGCTTTCCCTGAGATGGACTGGATCGCCCTCGACTCGGAGCACTCCCAAGGTTTTGCGCGAGGGAACAACGGCACTCTCTTCACGTTCAGCGCCGCGCGCGAGCTCAAGTTGGTCTACTTTGACGGATGCAGCGGCAACAAGATGGCTGGCGTCATCGACACACAGCATCTGCTCGTCTGGGGCGAGATCGAACACAAGTACAACTCGACCGGTATGTTCGGCGAGCGTGAACTCATAGTAGAAGCCTGCAAGTGGGGTGAGGAATATGGAATAGATGGGTTTGTCAGGATGGAAATTAACTTGTGAGTGCGAATGTGACGATTGCTGCTGTCTGAAAGGAAACCGACCCCACTGTAGTGAGATTATGTATTGCAACTTCTCCCGAGGCTTGGAACTTGTCTCGGCCATAAATATCATCAACCGCGGAGGAATTGGCGGCGGACCTGGCGGTGGACCTGGAGGTGGACGCGGAGATAGGCCGGGAAGCGGGGGAGATGAACGACCGGCTGATCCACCGGAGAGGCCTCCTCGAGGCGGACCTGGAGGACCCCCAGGAGGATCGGATAGGCCAGGAGGACCAGGTTCTCCACCGGATGGCCCGGACGCCCCTCCAGGTAGGCCAGGAGAGCCAGGGGGTCCTCAACGACCTGGTCGTAGTCCGACCACACCTCCCCAGGGCTGGAAAGGCACCATGCCTTTAACGATGCGCGACGAAGGTATGCGCGCTGCTGCCTGGCACAATGCCTTCCCGGGTGACCTGCGCGTGCACGTGGATCCCTCGGGGATGATCTCGTTCTTCGACCCAACGTTCACGTCCCTCATCGATTCCCGGCGCTCACTCCCACGCGAGCAGTACCGACTGCTGAACATTTCTGAGGCTGACATCGCGGCTGCTCGGGCAGACATCGCGGACGTGTTTTCACGCTCGCCCAATGCGGGCAGCGGGGTGGACTGGCGCGGTCTCGCACAGGTCGTGCAGGACAGGTTCTCTGATCGCCTGCCGTACTTACGCTATCTGCTACACCAAGAGGTGGCCAACGCAACCGCACACGCAGCGGAGGTGCGCCAGCAGCTGATCACGTCCCTCCTCCCGTATATGCCGCGGGCCGAGGTGGGCTCGCCGGGCTGGTTCGGCGAGATCGCGCGTGGCTGCCGAGCGAGCTTCACGGAGCGTCTCCCGACGGCGCGTTTCACGAAGCAGGAGCGGCTGTTGCGGAATGCGGTGGATGAAGTGCTTCACGAGGTTTGCAGGGTGCTGACTATGGCGTGGCGGGAGGCGTTCGATGTGGAGGAGCAGAATGTGGAAGTTGTCGAGGGCTTGTTGGAAAAGTGGAGGGACCAGGTCGATGCGCTGATTGATTGGCTGGACTGGCCTGCATGGCTGGAGTGTAACCCGGCGTGCGGTGTCGATGTGAGTGTTCTCCTACTATTTTTTTTCCTTTTCATTGAGAGAAGCGCTGACGTCGTTGTATGTAGGAGTTTTGCTATGTGCGACAGCATTCGCGGTTCGGTCGCGGGGACGATGGAAATGGAGACCGTTTGCCTCGATGTGTACCAATGGCGCATGCGTTTGGATCTGGGCTGTTGCCACGCGCATAGAGCAACGTTATGCCTTTTTATGAAGGATGGATTCCGGTCGCCAGACAGGGAGAAAGCGAATATTATTTACTTGGGAAGTTTTCGATTCGTGTGTTCTGATGTCTCGTAACTTCTGGAGGTCGCCCTGGCGTTCATGCCCATGCATGGATGCTCCCATTATTGCTCTTTCTTGATCTACAGTTCCTGCTATAATGCAGCATTATTGATCTTGATATATCACTTGACTGTTGAAAAGCTGAGCATTGAGTACTGAGTCTTGAGCTTGAGTCTTGACGCTGGAGATGGTACTACCTTTGCCGCCCAGAGTCGCATCCTCCCCAGAACTGCCATGTTCTCTGCCTTTGTGCAGCCTAGCGTCGTGTCGCTGTTCTCATCTACGGGCAGCTCACCGTTAAACTTGTTCTCCATGTACATAGACGCATTCTTGCCGTCGATTCTTTCATTTGCCTCATAAAAGACGCACCATCGCAGCCTGCACCGCCGCCTCCGGCTTCTCTCACATCGCTCGCACACGAACGAGGACGAGACCGTCGTGGCAGATCACGCGCCCGACCAGACTGTCTTGCACACAGTCGCCTATTTGAAAACGACGTACATACGATGTCCCCAGTCGTACTGGCACTACCGGCGTTTATCCGCATTCATCAAATTCGTGTAACTTCTTCCCTCGCATCGTGATGAAGCAGTTTTTGATCCTATTCGCTTGCAAGTGAACCTATGGTGTTCTTGCGTGCTGAAGCACAGCGTCCTGGGTCTTTGTATGCATGAATGTTAACAATTATGTTCCTGCCTTTCCATGATGATAATTTCCGGATATGTTGCCGCCGTTGCAGACACCCCTTCAGTTTCGTTTCGTTGCGCATTCGTTTCGAACATATGCAAGATTTTGTCTGGCTCCGGTCTGCTGGGAAGCGGGAAAGTATGGGAAGTGGTATGAATTGACGATGAACTGTTGTTAGACAAATATTCTATGTGCAACTTGACCGAAAGCATTAGCACAACAACGATGAGAGCAGTGTGAAAAAGAACAGCATGCAGTGCACTATGACAACTACGTTTTTGACGCGACAGGCCATCGATCCTCTACGTGGAGCCATCCGTTCCAAGGTAGTTTTGCACGGCCCCCTTCAAGATCTTGAGCACATCCTTCTGCCGCATCCTGTTCTCCGGCATCTCGTACTTGCCAGTGGCCAGCCCATACAGATATGCGAAGTCTGCTTGTGCGACGAGTGGTAACCTTCCGGATGCCCGGCTCTTCTTACCCTCGATCTTTTCCTTGAACTTCGCGGCAAAATCCGTCGAAATAACGTCGGCGCGCTCAACGACGTCAGTGGGCACTCCAGCCAAGCTCGCGACATGGGTACCAAACGAGGAAGATGCTACACCCTCGACCAGTTTGTAGAGGAAGATGAGCTGCATAACACACATGTTTCATTATGGACATGAGTAAGCCGCAGGTGCAACATACCTCTCGCTTTTCATCGTCCACCATCGTCTCCATGTGCATGTTGCGGATGTTCGGGTGATATGCAAAGTCGTCAGTCAACGATCCGTAGTGAGTCGCGAAGAAGGAAAGGGCGAGAGTGTGCGTCGCGAGTTGGTGGAGAACAGCCTATCAACGAGTTCAGCTACTTCCAAGCGAGGCCGGCGTCGTTACGCTTACTCCTGCAATCGCCATCCCATCCTATGCATGTCCCGTCAGCAAGACTTCAATGGTTGAAGAGAGTCAACTTACATATGTCGAAGTGCCTCTTCCCAGTTCTGCACGATCATCAGCCGTGAGTCTAACTTGCGACAGAACATAGGCTCACCATCCAAAATGACAAGGGACTTGGGAGTCCCATCACGAAGAATCTTGCAACTACATACTTTGTGAGCACACCCCAGCAAGAAGGGCAAGTGTTGAAACCGTCACCATTCATCCAGTTCCACTTTGAAGGTACTAGCATTTGAGAACATGTTATCGTATGCACCCATACGCGTCAGGATGGAGTCAACAGGGCATAATCTAAAAGGTTCCGTCAGCTACGAGGTCCCAATATGACCTTCAAGGCGTCTCACTTAGCCTTTCGAGCGGGCACCAGCATTCCAAGTTGAGCCATAATCTGCAGCAGTTCATCAATATGCGACTCTGCCTTATCACCAAGGTAATCATACCACGCCCGTAGCAGTCATACGCATCGCCTTGAACAGACATTAGCAGAGTCTTCAGTCGTCGAAAACACATTGCTCACCGTCGACTTGCCACTGAAGTCATCGATGACACGACCGTCAACAACATATGGATGACATGTACCGAGAAACATACCCCATATTCGGCCCTAACCACATAAAGACGTCAGCATATCAACATTCCTGCAATGACCCTGCCACGTACCTGTGAGCAACGCGATCCTCCCCACATCTCCCCCAAGCTTGACATCATTCGGTATGAAGTCGCCCTTCAACCCCGTACTCACACAAAGTGACGGGTGCCTCAGCTCCTCGAACTCGACAAACGCCGCGTCGCCCTCCACGAGCTCCGGTCTGCACGACGGCTCACCAAGCGCACTTGATGACTTCGCCAGACTGAAGAGACAGTCGAGCTCTGCGAGCACGCGGATCGCGCGTAGCCATACGCTCCGATCAGTGTCGAACTCGGCGTATAGCCTGCCCTTGAACTCTTTGATGGCTGTGTTCCGATTCTCACGGGCTTCTTTCAATTTACGGATGGTAGGGGCTAAGGACGGCACGAGCCATCGGACAACAGCCTGTGGAGTTTAAAATCTCATGTAGTGATGATATGGGGGTGATATGTCTTTCTCATACCTTGGTGCTCCCACTCTTGGTCCAATCTTTGGGAATGTTCTTGAAACTCGGCTTAGTTTGCACCAGATAAATCTCCTAGAGTGGCAGAGAGATTCAGACAGCTGCTGCATAGATGGTGCGAAAAGGGTTTCGACCTTGGTGCCTTGAGCGCTGTGCCAGTAACTGAGGTCGCACCTTCATGCGCGAAATGAGCCATTGTAAATGACCAGTTGTGAATTAGCCGTACCCGAGCTTCTTCTCAAGCTTCTTAAGCTCCTTTTCCAGGTCTTCTTCAAGGCTACGTATCTCTTCCATAATCTCGTCATATACCGCGTCCTTGCCATCCTCAGGCATCAGCTCGTTCACACCTGGATTACATAATGAATTGCGATGAGTGTCTACTATTCTCACAAGTGTAATATGCCCACTTACTCTCTGAATCAGGCTCCTTGAACATAGACCTGATATGCTTCAGGTTCGGCAGCAGATTGGGGGCAGACCGCAGCAACCCGAGCACAGTTTTTGACTCGAAGGACTCTGAGGTACTTGAGAGTTCGGAAAGTCCTGTGCTCAGTCTCTTGAAGGCCTATGGCGTTGGACGAGCCAGACGTTACGTTAGGCAGCAAAGCTTGGATCAACTACGATGGCATACCGTCAACACCTTGAGGAAGTCCTTCACTTTGCAGTTCTTCGCATGAATGCGGGACACAATCCGCTCGAGGTCCGGAAGACCTTTGGCGACCTTGGTAAACTCATGCTCGAACGTTGGATGGTCCATGAGGTCTTGCACAGCATCGAGCCTCAATAGACAAGTCAGAATGCTCCACTGGTGCTGACGCAGACCTGAAGACACACCGTGCATTGATGTCGGACACCTCTCGCAGAGGCATACAGAGCCATATGCGAAATAGTCGCTTGCCTACAACATTCCAGTGCGAGCTGTAGCTAGTTGGATGTGAAGCTATGATCCATGGCTCACCAGATGGTGTGATGCATCGAGACAGCAGCTTCAGCAGCGAGCCCTCTTCCGTGCCTTCGTTATTGAGCAGAACCTGACAATAATTCGTCAATTCACATCTGTTTGAATATTCTCGAATATACTTACTTCAATATGCGCTAATGTCTGCCCGTCGAGAACGAGGCCCTGGCCACGCTTCATCGGATCATACACGTTGAAGTTCTTCATGCTCAATATGTCCTTGTCAATATTCAGAGTATTCAAGTACCTACGCATATACCGTTGATATGTTGGTACCTCAACGTACGGACAGGTCACGTACCAAATCATAGAGCCCAGTGCCTCAATTGCTCCTCTGTAGCTCACCATCTCACGGATAGCCTCCGGAACGGCAGTGCTCAGCCCATGGCCTGCGTCCTCCATATTGTCATCCTCATCAGATGCAGGGTAGAGCTTCTTGAGTTCCTTCAGCGTCATCTCGTAGGTCAGGCCTTCGCTCTCACGCAGGCTCGTCCACAGACAGCTTCCGGGAAGAATGGCCTTAAGCAGCCTCGTCGTCGACACAGATAGATTGCCCTACGAAAAGGCGTCAGATCAGGTCACAAAGGTCGCAACCCGAACGGAGTACCTTCGTGAAGATGATTTCCTTTGGCCGCAGCTGGCGTATCAATGTCTCCAGTTTCGTCCTGCACACATCATCCTCGAAGGCACTCAAATTGAACTCGCTCGTCGCGCTGTCCAAGACGCATATACCAAACGTCTGCTTCCCGTCCTTCTCATTATCGGACTCTTCCTCCCGAATCGAGACGCAGTGGCCGGCCTGCTCGTCCGTGAGCAGTTCTGGGTCGACGAGGGTTCCATTGGTGTACACTTTATTGAGCTCGCGACGGACGATCTTGTCCTTCCCCTTGTCTTCCACCGCAGACTTTCCTTTACCACTCTTCTTGTCCGCAGCGAGGCGCATCTCAGCCCCTAGTGCGGTCTCCGCTTGGTCCACACGGCCGACCTTGTAGCCTGCAACAGATGGAAGATTCAGTAGAGGTCAAGCAAGGTACTAGGATCCTTCATACCCTTGGCAAGGAACTTTGCCGCCCAGAAATTGAAAGACATTTCCGGAACACCGACCTGAAAGAGAATATCTTAGTACATCTGTAGAGACGAATAGGGAGAAACTGCTGACCATGCTCATCTTCACTCGCTGGGTAAGCTTCAAATCAAACTCGCGATGGCCAATCCTAGCATCCTCCTCGTACAGCTCTAGAAACTTGCCTTTCTGGAAGAACAGCACGGTGTCGAAATGGTTCTGTTTGATCTCCCAGAACTGTATACAAGTGCGTTAGCGACCAGAATCCTACATGAAGACGCGCATATATCGACCTGCTTCTCGAATGGCGTGAAGCCTTTCCACGCTTTGGGGGGTATGTACAACGTGCGTGGGTCATAACCTGGCTTTCCGGGACGCACGCCGTCTTTGTCTCTGACGTCTCGCAGGAACGAAAAGGAATCGTCGGTGCTCTTCTTGCCCGCTTTTTGCTGCTCGGCGCGCTGCTCGGCGGCGGTCAAGAAAACACTGGAGCTCGCTTCTTTCTTGAGAGCCGAAGCTTCGACCTGTCTCTTCGGTGCCTTGGCACGCAGGGGGGCGTCTGACTCCGCATCGGAGGTGGCAGAGGAGTGCGCGTAGTAAGATAACCTCGATGATGCTCGTGACGAGGATGGGCCAGAAGCAGACGAAGGAGCACGCGAGGCAGCCCGGTGGTTGACATTCTCATCTTCATCGTCATCAAAATCGTCCGGAGCTATGAATTCATCATCATCATCCATCATTCGTTCTGGATATATGCGCATCAGTGTAATCGGAGAAGACCCCTCAATGCGAGACAAAGCGAACTGACGTCTCTTCGCTGCAGGAGCCTTCTTGTATTGTGCCAATTGCTCAGTGAAGGCGCTCACTCTGGGTATGTTTTCTTCATCATCAACAGATAATACGACAGAAGCACGATGTTTCTGGGCAGCTCCTTTTCTGGCCGTCCTTGGAAAGGCACGTTTGGTTTTCTTATGAATGGACATAGCGATCTCTTCAGCCTCTTCATCAGAATCCTCAACCATCATCTTTCTTTTCAGACGTGACATGATCTGTTCGAGCAGTATGCACGTAGTATCTCAGTCGGCTGTATGCATAACTTGTAGGTGCTTACTGGTTTCCTCCCATGCCTCTTGCCAAGTTCGCTTCCATCGTCGGACAACATGTCAATATCGACAGGATCGCTCGTAGGCGGAGTCTCTTTCCCGCTGAGATCGCCCTCGGAACTTCTCGTGAACATAGAACTGGTAACGCGGGAGGATTGAGAATCGCTCTTGCGGGGTGTACACGCGTCCAACGCGGGACTGCTTGGGAACGCCTCATTTAAAGGCCTCGGTGGCCCTCGAGCATTGTTTGTGGATAGTCTGGGTTTCATAAAGGGCACGCTCGCGCTCGGTGCAGCAGCGCTAGTCGTCGCGGATGGCTTAGCGAAGAACGACATCAAGCTTTTCTGTTTCATCTTGCTCTGCGATTTCGCATCGCCATGGGCAGGTCCTGGCGCCTGTTTGGAAGACATGCCTGGATGTGAGCGACGGTGAGGACCTGTAGAGCTACTTAGTGATGGCGGCGACACAAGTCGCGTACCACCGAGAGACGCGACTAAATTACGCGGACGCGTTGTTTAGATTTGTTTGGCATTGGAGGGTTAGACGAAGGTTTCAACATTCTCCGCTCTCGGTCAACTACTAGCTTTCTTGCTTGCTCGGAAATATGCTTGCTGAATGTTGCATACATTGAATAGCCGAGCTTGCTTCAACGGTATCTGGGCTGTCCGCCATATGACCTGATATCACCATCTGCAGGCGACTGTTGCTCTCAACGCAGTCAACATCTCCGGATCAAGGATTAGAAATAGTAATCGAACCGCTCCTGTAGCTGCTCCTACTGTCAAACATTACAACCCAAAATGATGCATGTAAATCTTGGTAATCTGGCCATCTAACCATACGAATTCCGCGCGAGGTTTACTTGACATCTCAAAAACGTACAACTATATACTCTAGAACTTCCAGCCGCCTGCAAGCCCCATGACATCCTGTGGGTCGTACTGATACTTCAGTCTCACCAGCTTCTCCATAGACTTGCCATACATCAGTGCCGGGTCCGTGCCAAAGAGCGCATAATTCGGATACCGAGGCGCAAGCGGAACGTCAGTCTGGCCATCCGCAACGGCAGCATCCGTGATTTTCTGAGCGCTTTCAACCATGGCGTCGTACATCACTTGATCGTCTGCCGCATCACTCCATCCGAACCATAGGTTAAGCGGGAGGTAGGCGCGCTCGCGGTGCGGAGGATAAGCGGACGGGCTGCCGTGCGTCAGGATAGTCGGCAAGAAGGGCTCCACATCGTAGCTCAGCGCGAACATGCTGCTGTTCGCCAAAGTCTCTGTCCAACTCTGCAAGAATGCGTTGCGGTCAATTGCGTGCATGCTCAGACAGGCGAGAAAACACACCAGCAGCTCACTAGTAACCGTTTCCAAAACAGGGGTCGTTATCGCCTGCAGTGACACTGTGGCGTAGTATCCGCTACATCATCGTCATGCTTCGAGTTCGTGAGGCGATAAAGGTAGACAGAACTCACCGAAAGCCTGCGGTTTTCTCGGTGGCAGTTGTTTGAATCAGTGACAGGAATGAACGCGTTGACACATCCTTCTGCACAAATGGAATCGCAAGATACTCGTCGAAAATACCATCAGGAGGCGTAGGACCGTTGTAGAACAGCAACATCGCGACTAGAGTCTGAAATGGCGCAATGTCAATCTTCGAATCGGATAAGGTAAAGAACACGTACGTGTCCTCCCAAATGGCTGTAGGCCATGATAGCTGAGGCTTTAGGATCGGTAACTTTTGCTGCGAAGTTCGCCGTGGCCGCATTAACTGCATCCAAGTTGTTGTCCGTGTCCATGACCACCACATGGCCTCCCTACGCAATGGTCAGCTGATATCTAAGTAAGCTTCCAAGACGCGTTATCTCACCCAGACAGGACCTTGCGGGTACGTCTTCATAACGAATGAAGTCACGATGCCCTAGAGCTTATCTTAGCATGAGGCATGACGGCAGATGTTAAATTGTCATACGAAGTTGTTATAGCCTCCCTGATAAGGGTCATTGTAAGTAATGACCACATCAAGCAACGCACGTCTCACCTTCATTCCGAAGAACAGATCTGGGTCAGATGCTTCGGTGACAGTTGTGATCGTACCATTCGGCAGCACCATCTCGTAGGCGATGACATTGTCGAACGTCAGACCGTGCTCATTCGTCAGCCATGAGTAGCCTGTACATTTGACTCATCAGTTACTCCAACCCCATGGATCACCATAGTATAATGGAAGTCACCTCCGCCTAAGGTAAAGCCTGCAACGCCGACACCAGTTGCACGACCACCCACGACGTTTACTTCAAGGGGCTCAAGCGCTTCGTATACATCGTCCCACCGAAGCCCTCCGCCAACGGATACAGTTCGGGCTTCCGGATTGTATTGCACTTGTTTGAAGCGAGACATGGCGATCTGCACTCCAATTGTGGACGACGACCCTGGGTTCATCATGTGACCACCGCCCTTGACCTGAACAGAAATATCTCAGCATCACGACATTCCATGGCACTGAACAAGCAGTAGAACTCACCGCGAATGGCGTGCGCGTGCTTCCCAGGATTTGAAGCTTAAAGCGGATTAATCAGAGGAGAAAGTTCGGGGGCTTGATGTCACTCACGATAATAGCGATATCTTCCGCGCTACCGGGATCAACTGAACAGAGCGCAGTATCCATGCTGGTCACCGCATAATGGTGGATATCCGCGACATACACCGCCTCCGCTGCATCATCGTTGTCAACGGGTCAACCGCAAACCAGCATGGCAAACTAACGTACGTGAGTAGTAGACTTCGGATGCAGAAGAGACCGCTCCCGCGATCTGCTGACAAGGTGTGGAGTCGTTCCCTAATGCTAGAGATGTCTGATGGTTGAAGCCATTCAGCGTGTCCATGGAGGCGACGACAGTCAAGGTCGGGAGCGAGCCCGCAAGAAACGCGAGGAAAGAGGAACGTTTACCCATTGTGCAGAGCCTTGACGGAGTAGATTATCGCAAGATAAGCAACGCAGGACACCGAGCTGCTGCAGTCTGCTCCAAGTGTTCGGGATAGGGTGCAATGGGGCGGACAACCGTAGAGCAACGATGGGCTCCACTCGAGTGATTACACGCAATTTATAGGCCATACCCCACAGGCGAGGCCACGGTAGGGAAAGTCCGCTGCGCACGGTGTGCGGCGCTGGCCACGAAGTAAGTTGAGATGGACGTCATGATCGCGTTCCGTCTGGTGCCTATCCAGGTATGCTCAAGTCATCGCCGGTGACCTACGAAAATGGATCGTTGGACATTTAGATTGCCATGTCGAGAATTTGTTGAGCTACAGAAGCCCTCTCTGGCACTTCGAGCGCCCTAACCCGGGTCCCGATGATGATCCACAGAATATTAACTCATATACTTAGAGACCCGATTGGCCCATTCAGTTACATTGCTCGCGATGCATCGTACGATTGCGGTGCCTATGAGCCCGCTTCGCGTCGCGGTTACGCGTATAGCGGCTGCCATTTTTATTATTCGGCAAACTAATGAGGACCTAATAACTCCCTTGATTTATTCGAGCGTATTACAACAACATTCGCATCCGGACACCCATAGTATTACTGTGAAGCGAGAGAACTTGTCCAGAGAGGAGCTGTTCGTCTTCAAACCATCCAGCCGCCTGAGAGGCTCATAACATTATCGGGATCGTATGTTGCTTTCAACGCATACATCTCCGGGAGGGCGGTTCCGTAGATCTCCTCCAGGCTTGTCGAATAAATGGCGTAGTTCGGATAATGAGGCGCGGACGTCAAAGATTGGCCCTCCGCCGTTGCCACGTTGGTCAGATTGGTTGCGCTTTGAACGATGGCATCATGCATCGTCGGATCTTCCGAGGAACTTATCCATGAGAAGTAAATGTTGAGTGGCAGGAAGGGTTGGGTGCGAGCGTATGGGTACGCCGATGCGCTACCGTGCGTAAGAATGCTTGGGAGGAATGGTTCGACGTCGTAGCTGATTATCGATGCAGAGCAGTCTCCAGATAGTGCGGATCCCCAGTGCTATGCACGTGCGTTAGCACCTAAGCATGCCTCGTACTTTAAATGTACTTGCCTCGGCCTGATCGAGTACAGCGTTCATGATACCATCCGTGATTTCCACAAGAGGAACAGTGTTATAGTACCCACTACAGCGGGTTCCAGCGCTTGTCAAAAACGCTAATCCATGATAAAGCGGCGCCTCTTACCGGAAATTGGCGGTTTCATTCGTGGGTTCAACCTGCACCAGATCCAAGAATGGACGGCTGGCGACGTTTGTACATAACGCCGGAATCGCCAGGAATTCGTCGAATATTCCAACTGGCTGTGTTGGAGCATCGTAGAACATCAATACGGAGGCGATAATCTGACATGTGCTTGTCAATAATAACGTACAACCCAGAGACGCAGGATGGACTGACCGAGCCTAAAGTATAGTCGAGAGTTGTGATGATCGCAGCCTTGGGATCGGTGACGTTGTTGGCGAAGTTCGCAGTGGCAATATTGAGTGCATCCACGTTGTCCCCCGTGTACGCGATTTGACCACCCTGAACTCGGATAAATGAATGTGCTGGTTATCATGGTGGTGCACATACCCACACCAGGCCTTGAGGGTATGTGGCCAAGGTGAATGTCGTAACGATGCCCTACAAACTAGCCTTAAGCAGAAAGTTCACGTCGGGAATTAGCACATGCATACGAAGTTGTTATACCCGCCCTATGGTGTTGTCAGCATGAGAATAAGACGAAACAAGAATGAACATCCTCTCACCCTCAAACCGAAGAATAAGTCCGGATTGGATGACACTGAAACGGTGGTTATGGTGCCATTAGGCAACACCAGCTCATAGGCGAGCACATTGTCAAGCGTGAGCCCATACTGGTTCGTCAACCATGAGTACCCTGTGCATGTATTAGGCACCGCTCCTTGACACATTGGCAACTACTCACCCCCACCGAGGATGAACCCCGCCACGCCAATGCCGGAGACTCTCCCACCGACGACGTTGACGTTGTAGGGCATCAACGCCTCATATACATTGTCCCATATGTTACCTGCTCCGACAGCGACAGTCGAAGTGGAGGCTTCATAGTCGATTTCATCAAACCGCGACATCGCGATCTGGACGCCGGTTGTGGAGGAATAGTTGGGGTTCATAATGTGTCCACCTCCTTTAACCTTCAATGGTGTCATGCAGGGACCAAATCATAGTAGAAAACTAGACTCACGGCAAACGGAGTTCTTGTGTTACCCAGAATCTGGAGCTGCATACCGAAGGGGAGGTTCATCATGGCTTGACAAACTTATAGATCCACGGAAAATTGATCATACGTACAATCGTACCAAGGTCGTCGGCCGTGCCTGGCTCCACAGAGCATATAGATGCTTGGGAGCTAGATGTAGCATAATGGTACACATCTGACATGTATTGTGCCTCCACTGAAGCAGCCACAAGGGCGCGTCAGTTGCTTTGATTACAAAGAAAGGATGGATATGCGTACATGGGTAGGACACAGATGATGCGGATGAGATGGAGCTTGCAATCTGCGTGCAAACTAACAACACGCTAGGATCCTGTCTTGGATCGAGCACCGCGCTGGTGAGAACGGCCTGGATGACCAAATATAAGGCTGTAGTGCGTCGATACATCCCAGCTAGGCAAGTAGCGATGAGTGACTACACTTTCTGTGACAGTCTTTTGTGCACAAAGCGGATGCAACTCGGAAGCTCAGACTGAGAACTCCTGGACGACCATACAAGGGGAAAGGGGCAACGTCCTTCTATCTCAGCCAGCAGGGGCATTATATAGAGTGCTGCGCTGCGTATTAGTTCTTCACAAGGGTGAGGAAAAGGGCGCTTGGATTTGCAGCGCCCTACTGTCAATTAGCATCGCCAACTAAGCCATGTGCATCGTGAGCTAGTACCCGACATGAAAGTGGATGTCTGTTGGTGAGACATCCATCATAGAAAGGCGCGTCAAATAAACTCACCGCTGTGTCCGCCATCCGGAAGGTACACGGCTTTGACGTACATATGTAGTTAGAGTGTTCATTTCTACGCGGGTCTTGATTGAATACGATAGCTTTGAGAGCATCGCAGACTTACTGGCGCTAAGAAAGTTGTGTTTCAGCGTGTACGGTATAAGCAACGGAGTTACTTACATCGTCTATTATCACTTGGTCTTCCCAGGAACCCAAAATAGGACTAGAGTGTTCGTTTCTACGCGGGTCTTGATTGAATACGATAGCTTTGAGCGCATCGCAGACTCACTGGCGCTAAGAAAGCTGTGTTTCAGCGCGTATAATATAAGCAACGGAGTTACTTACATCGTCTACTTCCCAGGAACCAAAGTAGGACTTGAATACTGATCATGAACCAGCGAACGCGGCTATGAACGGATTTCGTCCATCATATTGCTTTCGTCATTTGCGTCCATTAAGCTCAACCTTCGCGTCTCACCGATAAGCGCGTCTCTGGTTCTGGTCTCCTTTCGAACCACATTGGACATTCGGACCTAGATCCGAAATCACCTTAGCGAAGAAAAAGCGGGTGACAGCATCGAGCGCAACTGTCCAACAAAGCGGTGCAACTCAGTGAGACGCCGGAGACGAACTTGGTAGCACGGGCGTCGAACTCGTACAAGCTGACTGAGGACCGAGTGATGGCATAACTTGTCGACTTACTTGAACGCGTAATGACCGTCGGGAGCATTGCGATCAGGAACGGGCTCATATAGCGCATCGCTGACGGTCACAATCATGCTAAAGAAGAGACGAGAGCGCCATGCGAACCGCGTGCCCGAAGCCGTTTGCCTCGGGATACGGAAAGATTGGCGCTCCGCATGCAGCTGCCGACGTCGGAGCGCGGGCAACGCTTTATTAAGCTCATCTGTTGCTGATTTTGTATTGAGGGGTGCAGAGGCCGGCCGCCGCTGTGGTCACACTGTCAGACTAGAATAGATACCACACAACCAGCAGTAGCATGACTACTGAGTAGACCACACAAACGGACGTCTAAAACACGCAAAGAGCCATCCACATATGCCACGCAACGTCAAATGCTGCTCGATAACATACCAATGAAACTTGATCGCACCATTAATTTTCAAAGCTTCAGCGCTCAGCTTCAAGGGTCGCAGCATCCTTCAAGCAAGCTCTCGCAATATGACCTGCACCACAATGCAATGCCCAGCATCTAGTGAAAGAACACCGAAAAATGAAGCCATACCGCAACCGGTTAGTATGCTAATAATCAATGTGATCGATCATGTGGAGTCTATATTGTCTGTCAAATAGGCTTGACTCGAGCCAATCATGTTCTTATCGAACCAAGAAAGTATCGCTCTAGGATGAAAGGCAGGTGAGCTCCACTTGCGGGATAGAGCCGAAATTTTTAGCTACAACTAGGACACGCATGGTAGCAATGTATCACACCTGACTGTCTGGATCCACCAGAAGAAAGGGTATGATGAGGTTCATGAGATTCGCTTGATCAGCCTGGAAGAGAACATCATGGAGCCATGAGGTTGAGCTGATCTTGTTGGTTCAAAACAGTCAATCCGCGGGCAGTACTGCAAGGACACTGACGATTCAGCCACGAGGACGACTGTGAGCGATGACAGCTGCGACAGACAACTTGGTCATGAAGAATGCACTGAGGATGCCAATGACGTGTCCAAGATGAATAAGTGTCGATGCCCTTGTCGTTAGCAGCGAGCGCCGAGCTAGTGAGCCAGGAACAGACGGAAGCCGACGGAGAGCAGCGCGGACCTGCCCTGCATCCGGCTTGGTTGGCAAAAATGCTCACCGGTCCCGAGTTTTGAGTCACCGCATCGCATTGACCATGTATTGATTGGAGGGCCGGTGTTGCTCAGCTTGAATTTGAATATCTAAATGAGTTTTGAGCCGATCTCAACATCCGCGTGAAATCTCTGCTCATTTTTACAATCCTCAATGCTGTCTTGTAGGACTTGCGCAGGAACAGACAAGAGAAAGGGGAATTTGTCGTTGCGTAGACTAGACCGTAGCACTCTAGAAACGTCTATCTGTTCGATTAGCAACGACAACGATGGCATGGAGCTTTGCCTTCAGCTCGTCCGTCGTCGTGGCGCTACTAATCGGGGCTGGAAAACAATGGCCCGCCTCTGCATCCGCGAAAAAACAAGATTTGATCTCTTCATCAGCCAGTGATCGACACCGATTACACCGCGCACGCGGTTCGTAGATTTCGGCCGCAAGGCTTGCACAACAACTTCGTGGACTCGCCAGAATCATTCCGTATACGTACAAGACGTGGCTGTGACGAGGACACAGAACGTTCTCTTTGACCGCCTCGGCCTTCTATATCTCATAATCCGTATTTCGCTGTTCGACCGAAGTGAAAAAAGTGTTCTCTCGGTGTCGGGTCCACAAGTGACCGGGCGTGGACAACAGTAACAGGGATGACGCTCCTTCGGGAATAACAGTGCACCCAATGCAAACACGTCCTTCCTTACGTCCTGACTAATGCTTTTGCACCTTTCTTTTGCTCGCTAGAACTGCTACGCGTTGCGGTTCCCAAGGTGTAGAGCCGAGAAACCGACCGTATCGAATGGCACGACTCACGACCCGCGTCTGCCTAGAACGTCACCCTATAGCCGTGGTTGGAGTATAAAGGCAGCAGCACCGCGCAGAGACAACCGCATCCTTCACACCACCCTTTTTGAACCACCGTCATGTCCTTCACGCCTCCGAAAACTTACAAGGCCTTTGCCTTCCTCGAGCGTGGTGGCGACCTCCACGAAGTGCAGGTCGACTGGAAAGACCCCGCACCGGGCGAGGTCGTCGTGAAGGTGCTAGCGTGTGGCGTGTGCGCGAGGTACGTCGTTCCGCAACGATCGTCCAGGCACGTTGAAATAATTCGCTGGCGACAGCGACGAGATCACCAAGCAGGGCTGGTTCGCTTCTACTGTATACCCTCGCATCCCAGGACACGAGATCGTCGGCGACGTCGTTGCAATCCCACCAGGGGAGACACACTGGAAGGTTGGAGACCGTGTCGGTGCAGGCTGGCACAGTGGCCAATGCCAATCGTGTGCTCACTGCCGCAGAGGCGACTTTTGCGGCTGTCATACATCTGCGGTGCCTAACGGTGAGTTAACAAAGGATCGTGATTGCGTATCGGAGTCTGACGAGTGAGGGCGTAGGTGTCGGCAGGGATGGTGGATATGCAGAGTACGCACATTTGAGGTCGGAGGCGCTGGCTGCTATCCCGAAGGACATCAACCCCGCGGAAGCTGCTCCTCTGCTGTGCGCTGGCGTTACCACCTTCAGTGCGTGACTGCATCATCGTTTCCCTCCTTTCAATATTGATCTGCACGCCACCCAGACTCGCTCCGAAACATGGGCTGCACACCACCAGATATCGTCGCCATCCAGGGTATCGGGTACGTCCCTACTCCCGCGCACCATCGCGCTTCGTGTTCATTTGTCACGCAGAGGCCTGGGTCACCTTGGCATCCAGTTCGCGCGCCAAATGGGCTTCCGTACCATCGCGCTCTCGACGACCACGGACAAGAAGGAGCTCGCGCTCAAGCTGGGGGCGCACGACTTTATCGCCGGCACGGGCGCAGAGCAGGCCGAGGCTCTCCAGAAGCTCGGCGGCGCCAAGTGCATCATGGCCACCGCGCCCAACATGCAGGCGATGACGGAGCTCCTCGGTGGCCTCACTTACGGCGGCGAGCTGCTCGTCCTCGCGCTCACAACCGAGACCTTCGAGGTCCCCGTCGGTGAGTATCTTTGCAACACCGCTGTGGATCCGCGGGCTGACTTCTGCGTGGCAGTTCCGCTCGTCGCGAAGAGGCTGAGCATTCGTGGATGGCCGGTTGGTTCGGCGCAGGACAGTGAGGACACTATCGCGTTCGCGAAGGCGCAGGGTGTCAAGACCATGATCGAAACGTTCCCGCTCGACAAGGCCCCGGAGGCGTTCAATCGTCGGGCCTCCGCGCGATTCCGCGCTGTGATTGTGCCCTAGGCGAGTCTGAAAAGTTACAGTTATAGAATGGATTGCGAGGATATAGAATTAGAGTTGTACCTTGGTCTTTTTAGATGTGTGTAGTCATATTGTTCTGCTAGCCATATTTCATGAAGTGCTTGATATTCTGCACCACGTCACACCTGACCCCATGTGGAGTGGTCCCAAGCAACATATGCGACGACCCGGCCGAAGAAGCACGAAGAACGAAGTCCGAGAGTTAGCGCGAATTCTCAACTTCTCATGTCGTCATGCGGCTTTGATGCGTCGGTAAATGAATGAGGCCGTCTTGGAAATTAAGGATGCCGTAAGGCTCGCTATCGAAGGAAGTGCGTAGGAAAGATATGTAACTCTTGAGCGCCTGACAAGAATAGAGACAACAGCTTCATGTGGCCATGGGTAACTCGTTGGTCACTTCGTGGTGCTTCATGCGGAGTTGATCCGTCATACTAGCATGCTAGTACAAGATCTGGCGTGGAACACAGAAATGCGCCGGATGTCGATGTGAACGCCGCCGAGGAACGCGAGGCGCATTTCCTAGATCCGTCCATCGTGCGTTCCACGAGCGTTAATGAGGTTTTCTGTGAAATGCATCGATGAGCCGATATGAAGGAAGAGTACGTGGTGTGATAAGCCCTGAATGGACTCACCTTATCCTGCTTGAAGTGAGTCTTCCACACCGCCGAATTTGAATTGGCCGTGTCTGCAGATTGCAGCACTGCTTGTACAGTCTTGAGCATGCCGGAGTGGGCTGGAGGTCGTGGATAGTAAGACCACTGGACCGCATTTCTCATACCAACAGTGCTTGATCGTGGGGGCTGTCGCACGCCAATATTCTTCAGCGACGTTCTCGGGATTCGATGGCTCCACGGGGTAAATGCCTCATATCAAGGCCACACACGCAGAATTAGAAGACTTCTAGCACTCTGGTGTGACATGGAAGAAAAACAAAAGTGCAACTACCTCCCTCGAATTACTTGATGCAATCGCTGCACGGCGTTGCTCGGTTGACTGAGCGCATACAAGGGAGACATGGTAGAGCCCCAAAATGGCGAGCTTCAATTCAAGATCTGCGAAGCCGCTAAGCACCATTCCGGCGCGCCATAGTCTCCTGTAGACAGACGAGACAATTTCTTCAATCTCCGCGGGCTCCGGATATCCTTGTCTGAACCCCTGCCCCGCTTAGGTGGCTGCACCCCTCACAGCAAGAACAACAGCGCGGGCATCAAGACGATCCGGTGGCAGGTCTAAGATCGGTGCAGTTGGCATGCATTGTTATCTGCTGCTGCGTGCACATGCAGCGTAGCTATGGCCTGTTGATGGTGACGGCGCAAATTGGCCACTATCGGAAAGCTGATGAAGCATTGATGATTGGGACTGGAGTGCAATAGTACATACTCGGATCTCTGCGCTGCGCCTCGAGAAGTACGGTCGATTTACGGCGTTCAGGAAGCCAGCGCTGGCTGCGCAAGCGAGCACACTAAGGACTGTTCCGAGTGGGGACACTTAAGCGCTACAGCCTAAAATTAGCAAGCGAAACATCATCACCATATGTATAGCCTGCTGCGCATAACGCGGAGGCGGCGTGGTCTCTGCGACGTTCTCCGACGTCGAGCTGTCGCCAGGCCACAATAGCTGCGAGAGTGACAGCTGCCGACGACGCGAAGCGGGGAGTCGGAGGCAGGCGAAGGGACGCCGGATCGGCCAGAAAAACGGACGCTTTTCGCCATGCCGAAGGAATATCCGAATCGGCACGGCGGCATTCACCCCCTTGTGAGAAAATCTACCATTTATAGTAGAAAACGCCAAACCAACATGCACAGCCTGCATAGATTTATTTTTCCACGGGAAACCTGATGCAAAAATGGTGAAAATATCTTATGTCTGGATATGGAAATAGTTTGGAAATTGGGCGGAGACAATTAAATTATGTTACGATTGTTTTACCGAAACGTATCAGCAATAGTGAAACTATTTCCCAAAGGAAGATATTTCAGTCCAAAAATATGTGATACTGATATGTTTCGGTGAAGCAATTGTAACATAATTCAATTGTCTCCACCCGATTTCCAAACTATTTCCATATCCAGACTTAAGATATTTTCACCATTTTCCCATCACGTTTCCCGTGGAAAAATAAATCTGTGCAGGCTGTGATGATATCCACGCGAGATGCCATCAATTACCGGCATCCCACCGGCGCCTGCTTTGGCAACGGGTTGCTCTTATATTCAAACACCCACCTGGGCACGTTGCCCTCCCACCTCCGCTCGTTCGCCAGCCCGTTCTTTTGTCAAGATACCCATCGCAATGTTCAGCACAAGTCGGAGCGCAGTGGCGCTGCTCACGTTGGTGCCCTTGGTCTCGCTGCTGTTGCCGGGCGCGAGGGCAGCCACAGACACTTGGTGGGTTGTCATCGGGGAGTAGAGACATGCTCGAGGGTTGACAACACTGCATAAACATGCAGCAACGCTACAAGTCTTTGCGGAGCCGAGTCACCTTGTTGCAGTGCGTAACTAAATGTAATTTCAAGCAATTGCAATTTTCCGCTTACATGATGGCGCCCAGGTCCCTACGGATACTGTGGTACTGGCGCTGTATGTACTCCCGATGTGACGTCCTTGAACACGAATTCAACGCTTTTTGACAGGATTTCTGCTTCGGAGGATGCGATCCCGTCGCCTCACACACTCTGGACTCTTGCATGCCAGAGCCGATTTGCCAGAGCACCAATGTACGTTCCCGAAGTCGTGTGACTTGTCGTCGGGTCCGTCTGTCGCCCACCCACGACAGATGAATCCGACGTCATTCTCATACGATGATCGTCGGAAGATGTATGCTTATTGCTGATGATCGCATAGATCACGTTTGCCAATTTCGACCGCATTCTCATGAATCAATCGGCCTACAATGGTAACGCCAGCATGTACGACTTTATCCTCGACCAAGGCAACATCCAGAACAGTTCCGCCAGCGAATTGGTATTGCTCCTCACTGAGGAGAACAACGGTACTCGTCTGAGCTCTACTCGCTACGTCCACTATGGCCAGATCACCGCGCGCCGTACGTCCAGCTGGCACTTGCAATCTGTCTTCGAGCAGGGTACTGATTGCTGTGGCTCCGCGCAGTCAAGACTGGCCGCTGGGGCGGTGTCGTCACGGCGTTTATCACCATGTCCGACGTCAAGGACGAGATCGACTGGGAATTCCCCGGAAACCAGACTACCGAAGGGCAGACGAACTATTTCTGGCAGGGCTTCGTCCGTACGTGCCGATGCTTCTGAGTCGTATCTTTTGATGCCTACTTCCGTTACGTCTAGCTACCCAAACTGCTGGCCAGACGACGGGCAACCTGACGGACACGTTCAGCAACTATCACGACTACACGGTACGTTTTGTAATATGCCGACATAGCTTTTATGTAGTTGCTTATTGTTTGCAACGCTCCAGATTGACTGGCAGGAGGACCAGCTTCAGTGGCTCATCGATGGCAACGTCGTGCGCACGCTCACTCGCGAAAGCGTCACGAACAACTCGACCGACGTGCACTACTACCCGAGCACGCCTAGCCGGATTGAGATCAGGTACCTCACGATCTTTTGACAAGACAACCGGTCACCTAACCATTGTTTGTCTACGACAGCTTGTGGCCTGCGGGTATCAGCAGCGAGCCGACGGGCACCGTCGAGTGGGCTGGTGGTATGATCGACTGGAACGACTCTGACTACAAAGCTGCTGGTACGTCAATTCTCAGTGCAGCAATATCACTGACCTAAGATATCTCTAGGCCACTTCTATGCATCATTCGAGTGGATCGCCATTACTTGCAATGACAGCTCTACGGTTAACTCAAACATAACATCGTACGTGTACGGCAGCAACTCGTCCGCATATACCCCGAACATCCTGTACACAAACGAGACGACGATCGAGTCGAGCGGCGCATGGGGCATGTCTGCTACGCGCAGCGGCGCTGCCATGTGGTCCCTGCTCGCGTGCGCCGTTGCGATGCTCCTCGGCTCCGGTCTCTTCTGAGCCTGAGTGTCTCCCTTCGCCCCCGCCCTCGCCTCCGCCACTGTCGCCGTCCACGTCCACGTCCATTGCTCCTCTGCTGGAAGGACCTGCTATCCAACTGCCATTCTCCACTCTACTCAGTCCACCGGTTACCCCGCGCGCGCTGGCCCGCCCTCGCTCTTCTCTTACCCGTTATCTGTCATTCCGTGTTGTGTGGATTGAAACGCTAATTGGATGATCGTGTCTAATACTTCTGGGTCGCCGTGTGTTGTTGATGCTCGCCGACGTTATCATTTAATATACCATCTGTTGCAATCTAAATGATGTACCCTGCGCGTCTGTGTCTTCAAAGCTTCGTGTGTGAGCCACTCATGAGGATCTCTGTTGAAAAGCCCATTGGAAGTTGCGCCACTATCAAGTACATGTACACGTATTGCCTCTGCCATACGTCCGTTCTTTTCGTTTGATGTACAATGCAAACCCATGGTTTGGTTTCTATACAGTATCAATTGGCCCACGAGGAAACCAACGAGACATGATGTATCCTAGAATAGTTTATCAGTCCCAAACTGCTAACATGTTCACCATTTCGAAGGAGACGCTGGAGGGTCCTCCATGTCTACCACGCTGTCTTCTTCCATATCCTTGTAGTCACGGAACTCTTCCATCAGGTCCTTAACCTCCTGCAAGACAGCCTCCAGCGCCTCCTTCTTCGTCCACGCCCGGACAGACAGATCGTTACCGTGGCCCTCGACTGCATCTCCCATAGGCAAAAGAGTCGCATACCCCATCACGGTCTGCGCAAGTCGTATCCGTAGATATGTCATCCGCACCAGCACCGTAGAGTGTACCAATACGCCTCTTGCGGCCACGACCGCGGTAATCTCATTTCCCCTCGTCTGGGTACTGCCAGCTGATATCGACCGACGGGGCTCTAGTCCCGCACTCGTTACGGAGAGAGACGGAGAGAGAACAGGGCCAAGATGGATGATGTTCGGCCCCGAGTCGCGCGCCATCCGTCCAGACGGGGATATCGGACTCAAGTCGCGCGCGTATCCAGGGAGTCGTGCACTGGGCTCTCGTCGCGGGGTGGAAGCGTCAAAGCTGCGATCGTTGAAATTCGGCAACGACCAAGAGGTGTTGAGTAGCGTTGAGTTTCGGGGAGTCGATGCTGCCGAGGAGACGGCGCTGTCGTTTGCCATGCTACGGCGTGGTTTGATGAAAACGGAGGAGATGCGGCGGGTGCGAATGGGAGTGAGTCCGCCGGATGAGTCGAGACTGCCTTGAGAAACCAGAGCGACCTTCTCTTCTATAAACCCGCGCATCTGTATCATCAGCGGACTCTTGCGTAGGCACAACCAATGAATGAAAGACCATGTGAGGTAGTCTATCAGTCGAGGTGAAGACATCTGGTCCATAGAGTGGCCGGAAGCAACAGAAGGAAGGAGCGGCTTCTTGTCTTGAGCTGACGAGAAACTTCCTTTTCTGGGAGACTGCGAGGGAGACGGTGGCTCCGAGTATTCATCGAGTTTTTGTGCGAAGAGTGCATCACCGTCCGCCAAAAGCGAGCGCAGGACTGAGCTGATGTGGAACCAGACGCGGGGAAGTGCCACCGAGAGATCGCCCTCCGCGCGGATGACGATCACCTTCAAAACCTGCAAGGCCACCGAGAACGCCATCACCGATTCGTTACTCGAGCTTACCGAGCGTATGTCTTGGGACTTGCGCCGTTCTGACGAGTTTGCCGCAAATTTGGTGGGAGCCGCAGGGTTCTGGCAAGCGGCCAACGTGTAAGATAGCAATCTGATCCATGCCCTGGAAAGCACATCACGGCGCCGCCATCCCTCTGTCCACTGGCTGCCTGCGAGCAGATCTGCGGAAGTCTTCGCGATGAGGACAAGAGGGAGCAGGACACCTGACAGGAACGCATATGTGGGCGAATGTTGCTCGAGCTCCCCCACAATATCGGCCCCTACGAGAGAGATAGCAGAGTTAATAAGTCTGACGATATTCATCCTGGATGGTAAGGAGAGCAGCCAGCCCTCGGACGCCGCTACTTCGCAAGCCTCCAAGCCAGCTCTACAATATCTTGTGACAACAAGCTGAGAGAAGCGCGGTTGACTAGCAAACAAACTATTTGCCGATAAGGTCGCCAGCAGATCGTAGACTCCAGCGAAATTTACTGAAGTGCTGTACGCAGTAACTATGGGTGCGACATCTGTCAATATTGCGACGACTTGTTTTAATCTTGGTGCGGGTTCCCGTAGCAAGAACGTTCGCAGACAATCAGTTAAAAGGACAGATATCCGATCGCCTGATACGATGGAATCCCTGAGTGTAAGCTTTATCAACTCGAGAAAGCGCAAAAAGGTGCCTGGTGATAGCTCGCCGCCCGCTTGCGTGAACGCGACAACCAGTGACATGTAGTCCAGCTGCATTCCTAGGCTATCTGCGGGAGTCAAGCCTTGCTTCAATTCGTGGCCGCCATCTTCCACCAAGACCTCATATCCGAAGTCATCTGACGGGCGATTATGAGGATTCTCGGGTAGTTTCGACTTGAAAGCGCCAGTATTAATGAATATTGCGCCTAAAGCGTCTATTCCATCCCGAAGCACTGTCCGGGAAGAACGTGAAGCGTTATAGAAATGAGGAGCCAGGAGTCGAAGACTGCGCAGAAAACGTTCTGCGCGTTGTATGGTCGGGTTGTGCGCAATGACTGTCAAAAACAGACGAACAAAGTCATCCAAAGCCAGGCGCTTCCATTCATACTGATCTGGCAAGACGAGGGTGACCTGATGGCGCCCGATGCCAACTTTGCGTATGGATGCTAAAAAGTTCTGAGGAACCTCTTCAGCAACATCGGCCATTCGATTCTCTTGCTCTTGCAACTTGTTCAGATTGTAGATTCCAGCAACATCAGGCGCCAATGGTGCTGTTCCGTTCTTCAGCGTTGAAAAGAGCGCAAAAACGTGCTTAGCCAACCACGGCTGGTCGACATCAGTGGCCATGAACATGTGAGAGACAACGTCGACGCTTTGGAAGACGAAGGCTTCTTGATGTATGGCGTAGAATCTGTTGACTGCATACTCTATCGCTGCTCGGATCCCTGGATGGGCCTCCGATTCACAATAGACTTTGATGACGGCCGGCATGAAGAGAGCATATGTACCACCGGCGATGAAGATGCGCTTGAATCTGGTGCTTGCCAGCATGAATGCTGCTCTGCATCAGTAATTCCCGCGATCAAGTTCCATCGCTGAAGACGTACCTAACATTGTATGCGCAACGATCCCGATATCATCGCCATGTGTTATGAGGACACGATTGAGGCCATCCACAAGATTAGCGAGTTCCTGTCGGTCACTGAGATGTCGCGACATCGACCAGAACATCTGCGTCGTCAATAGCAAGTAGCTACACGCTAAGGTCAAAGATAAGGCGTTGAGAGCAGCGGTAGGTCGTGAGTCAATCCGGCGCTTCCGAGGCTTGAAAGATGCGAATTGAAGAAAGCCTTCGCCGGAAGTCGCTTGCATTGATGGCAATACAAGTCTTGTGAGACTCTTCCTGACCGTCTTCAGCTCCTGCGGGTCTTTCTCCAATAGGCGCAGAAACATCATGTTTTGAGATGTCCTGACCATAGTGATCCACACCAACGAAGAAGGGATCGCCTCAAATGGATTCTGCTCGATATCAACACCTCTTGGGAACATAGGCGCCTGTGGAGCAGAAGGAGGAAACCACAATGATCCAGTTGGCAAGAGCAACATGTCAACCTTGGCACGTCTTATATCCCGGGCAGACATTTTGCTCACTTGCGTACTCAGCCGGGCAATCGCTGGAGCGGAGTACGCGTAGCTCTGCAAAGGAGCAGCACTGCCTGTTTGACGAATGAATGACTTGAGAAACCCGGTGAGATGATTCAGGAGGTGATGGGCTATAGCAGGTGGCAGAACAGGCCGAACGTGCAACATAGCCATGACCGTATCAGCAGCGTAGCTCAGGTCATGTTCGTTCCCAGAAAGTGCCTGGTATATCGGACGCGTCAACAGGGAGGGATCATCGCGCATCAGATCAACGACGAGATTCCTTGCTGCGCTCGCTACCTCAAAATTTTCGTCCTTGACCATTGATACCAATCTGGGAAACAGGGCGACCAATTCCGAAACGAAGACCGGTCTTCTTTTGGTCCCGCTGGTACTGGAATCTCGTCTTAGTATCGACGACTTGTCAGATGGTGAGCTTTTGGGAGATGGATCCGGACTTAGATTAGGAGATTCCGGGAATGCAGTCGACTCGTCGGCTGGATCATCGAGCGTACTCAATTGTGGTGTCGGGAGAAGGGATAGAGGTGTCTTCAGCCATTGGATTTTGGGATCCTCCACTCTGTCTTCTTCGTCCCAGCCGATGTCTGCTAGCCGCCTACGCAACTCAAGCGGAAGGAGGTGTCCATGACTGTCTTTGAACTCATAAACGTCTCCTTCCAGAACAAAGAGGCTGCTGCCAATATCCGTCGGAACGAAATGAATCGGTGGGCGCGAGAGTTTGAATGGTCGGCGATAGTTCTTGTCCAAGATAACGTCCTGAGACAACAACTGAGTTCGCCAGCTGCATAAGATCCCAATCCTGCCAATGGCTGCCCAACGAATGCGCGCATTGTCACTAGCAGTGCTCATGAGAATTAGTCTCCACGCGAGTAACCCAAAACGTACTTAGATAAATCATGTTCAATAGCTTGCAAGAGCTGCATAGGACTTCTCTCTGCGCATTGCATGACCAGAAAAGAAGCCTACTCAATGCACGTCAGCAGCGAGCAAGAGATCAGCCCTGCCGAACGAACCGAGACATTGACATCGGAATTGGGGCTATCTAAACACCGATGCCACAGGACCGGGCCTAGCGATGCATAGTCCTGGGTGCTCAACAGTCCAGATACCAGGACCAAAAGCGGCAGGGAAATGCGTCTAAATGGGATATGGAGGGAATCGACCAGGGAAAACCTTCCGACAAGCAATTCATAGGCCGGATTCTGCCCGGATCCCTTTGAACGTTGACGATCCATGCTAGGAGATAGGAACAGAGTTGTTCTACGCTGCTTTCCTTGTAAGCATGTTCCGGCGAAGACTCGTGGCTTGCATACCTTACTGCCTCCTTCAAAGGCTTCCAAAGCATGAGCATACAGAGCACGAAGCTTGTCAAAGCTAGCATCGATCTCTTGCTCTTCTTCACTCTCGAAATCGTCGTCCGGCAGTTCGTACAACGTCCACGATACCACAGAAGAGTGCCACGAAGCGCTATAATTTGCATCAGCTATGCAATGGAACTTTAACTGCGACAAGGACATACGTACGACTTCGATGAGCGGGTGAGCAATCTCGTCTCCCTGAAAAATGCGGTCAAGAGCAGTCTCTGCGAGATGGGCACCAGCATTGTCTGCTCCTGATGCCACAAATACGATGAACACCTAGCTACCATTCGCCCAATGATATCCGTACCTTCGCTTTGATCAAGGCTCCCAAACGAGTCTCAAGAGCCACGGCAAATCTTACTGCACTCGCAGCCTAGATAGTGATCAGCGTCACTAATCTCAAGGAGGAAACCATGCTCACCAATGCAACATCATTCGCTCGTCGTACACGCTGCATGAAAGCGAACAGCTCCAACAGCAACACTAACTGCCCCATCCGTGTTCTTCCCCAAGTGACGTTGCCTTCGTTTGACCTGGCCTTCGCACCCGCAGGATCACTCATGAGAGCCACAGACATCATGTCGGCATCCCGACACCACAGATCTGGCATGTATCTCGCGATGCACGTTAGAACGCTTAGTTGCGTGGCGATTGTCAGGTCCTTCGCTGAAGCAGCGCAGGTGAAAATGGGCTTGAAAAACACCTTCGGATATGCGCGAGAGACAAGCTGAAGAAATTCAGAAAGTGGCTCGCATGGATACTCAGGTGCACTGGCCATCAGCCGCTAGATATACTCCGTCAGAGAAGCCGATATAGATGGGATGAAGCTCACATCATGCAGTAAGGGTAGTAGCACGGTAACTAACGAGCTACGCATGTCTTCTGGGTAAGTCTTCGCGATTGTAATCAGTACGCGCAAGATCGCTGGCCACTCCGCATTTGCAATCTGTGTTCAACCGTCAGCTGCAGCCGAGAATATGAAAGTCTGTTGATTTTACCAAATTACGCAAAGTCCCATCGAAGCTTGACTTCCAGCTCGCAGAATCTTGTAACCAGCCGCGGATTTGCTCTAAGACCATCGCACGATCCGTGAAATCCTGCACGCACGTCAGATCGAGCGCGAGTTGAATGATACCACTCCGGATTCCGGTAGCATCTTTCTCAAGGACGAGATCAACCTCACGTAAAACGCGAGTGTGTAGGATCCGCATGATTGCAGCGGCATCTGCAACCTGACTAGAAACGTCCACGCCAATCGAAGGGAAAAGCAAGGTAGACGCAGCAGTCACGAATGCTTTCAGCCGATGTGCGTCAATACACGAGTTTAAGGGTGTAAGCCGCGCAGTCTGGTCCGGGATCGGCCAATACACCTGCAAAGTAGATGACATTAGCGTTGCAGGGTGTTAGATGTCAGTAACTGACTTACCTCCAACGCATCGTGCAATATCCACCTGCGGCTACTGTCTGAACCACCTCGAAGCATATTGACTATGCTCTCGGTGGCAATAGCACGTCGAATCAGCAATTCCTGATCGTCACTAGACCACCTCGCACCATACTCTTTTTCGAACGATTCAGCGGGAGGCATGCCGGCCGATCCGTCATCAACAGAGCCTAGATACTTCCGTACCCAGTCCGCCAATGAAGCATCTAGCGATACACAGCGTAAGAGGGAGTATAGGCCCTGGTATATCGTCCGGAGTGCGGCAGGTGAATCGAGCATGAAGAGGCCGGACGAGAAGATGAGTTTCGATAGTAAGCCAATGACAATGGGCTGCTGCGCCGAGGGCACGGAGGCAGCGTTGAAGCACCAGAGACAGCGTCTCAAGTCGACCTGTCCAACAAGCATTCAGTCTGCTTCTGTATGTGAAACGACTGTCACGCTCACCTCGCAGGAGGTCGAGCTCCACTCCATACAAAGATTCTCGAATGCCTTCGTAGCCGCATACTGTTCGCCATATAGACGGTCAGCCTCTACGCCTTTGTTCGGCCCCAGAAAGGGCACCAACAGCGCGGACAGCACATGTGCCTCGTGCGGAAGCTCGCGCGGGCGATTTATGACTGGAATACGCTGCAGCACCTGGGACAGCGGCACTACCGATGCAGGAATGCGCGGGTCCTCCAAATTGTGCGACGATTGCGGCCTGCGTGCAGAGGCAAGCGACGACAGACTAGGCACCGTGACGCTCGGCAGCGAGCTCACGATAGGCAACGATCCCGTGGACATCCCAAACGGCAAATGCAGCGTCGACGCAATCGTGCCCTGCGATGGCTCGCGCTCCAGCTTCACTCGGCGCATGGGCACGTCCCCAAAGTGGGCGAGCCAACATGCCTGCATGATGTCCTCTGCGAACTTGCGATGCTCGTCCACCACCGCCTCCCGCGCTTGCTCGACGACCTGGCGGAAAATCCGCTGGCCGAAGCGGTAGCCCTTGGGCGTGGCAGGGCGGGTCGAAGGGGGCGTTCGCGTGCTGGACCTGGTCGAGCTGGAGCTTGGGGTGGCTGCGCGGGGGATGGGCGAGGGAATGGATATGGACGTGGATGCGCTATTGCCGGCAGAGGGGAGGACGTGCGAGCGCAGGATGTCCCAGCGCCGTCGTCCAGGAGATGGCAAAGAAGGGTCGACCTCAGCGTTATTCTGACCCTCACCGGATGAGTCCAGCGTGAGCGGCCTCGGAGCAGTCATCCTCCCTTTCCATCTCGCACCAAAGTCTCTTCCTGCGACCCTCTCCTTCGCCTGCCCTCGCTCACTCTGATCCTGCAAGTCCACATCTGTCCATCGCTCTCCCGCAGCATCCACAACGGTCTCCGCCGTCCCGACGTCCTCAGCTCTCAGAGTACTCGTGGAGGAGCTGCGAGAAGGCGTACGAGCGTGTCTTACGGGAGGCTTGCTCGCAATGGACGACGACTCGGCATCGCTTGCAGAGTTTTGGCTCCTCAAAGAGTCGATGGAGAACAAGCGTCTAGGAAGGGGCCGAACCACAGACGATTTACTCTGTGCATCTCTTCGATTCGGCATGCTGTTCTAGCACTATCCACGTTCCGAATAAGCTGACCATGCCTTGTCATTGATAACAATCCCACTCACCTGGCCGAGAACGTGGACGATTGGAAGGTCCGTTCTATGCGCGCGTTTGAGATCACAGGTACTACTGCGTGCCGTCTGTAGCAGGTCTCATCTGAGCCGACACCTCGACGATGCTGATATTCGTGATACCGGTTTCACCCTTGTTGCACAGCTCGCTCAGACGTTTGAAAGTCAGAATTCGGGATCGATTACTAGCTGCAGCGAACAAGAGCAAGTGCAAACACGGCAGGCGCGATGCTCGCCATGCCACCATCTAAGCGCTCATAATGTCTTATATACGTTCTCAGGACAAAGCGAGTGCTCATGTACTCAGTAAAATGCTCAACGGTTACCATTCTGCTCATCGACTACACCGACCACTTGTCCGTCTGATATGTTGTGGGTCGCTGCACTTGTTTCAGCAAAGTGAGAATTTCATACGCGCAGCAGCGCCAGGTTCTGGATCAACCAGATGACACGATTCTATAGGCAGCACCAGCTCTACCCATACACACGAGAACACACAGAAGCATGCCTGAGAAATAACAACAGTTTCACAAGCACCTACAGGCCTGACACAGCTGACTGAATGGCGAAGTGATCTGCGCTGATGATGGACACCACAGATAATTAATTCGATCTACAACTGACGGCAACGCTGGTCAGATGACGGGGCCCAACGAAGCACCATAGAAACCAACATGACTCACTACGATGACAGTCCACGCCGAATGCCCATTGACCAATGAAGAGAAGGGACAGAATGAATGTGTTGATTGACAGCACCAAACCGAAGAAAGCAAAGCAGCAGGCCCCTCAAGTAGCGAAAGTCTGACCGAGCGAAGGAGTAGACAGGTTCGGGAAGTGCTGGAGCTGAGAGAATGCCAAGCGTGCAGGGCGTGTGTGCTGAGGCTGTTCGTTCCAGCTGTAACACGTCATAACAAGCGTTGTTAGAAACGATCAGTGATGCATAATTAGCACATACGGCGAAGGAGCAGAGCTCGGGCGAATGGTTCCAGCAATAGGCACGTAGAGGTGGGTATACAAGGATCCAGGTGTCGCATATGGAGAGAGAGCATACGGGTTGACAGCAAGCAGTCCACTAGGAATGGCGCCAGCAATGCGGTTTTGATCGGCGTTGACGTGCGAATACAGCTGCGCTACAGGAGCTAGAACGGTGTCTTGAGGAAGACCAGCAGGGGCAATGAACGGTGCCGCGTGAGGGTTCAGACCAGCCTTGACATCCTTGGTGTTCGACAAGTTTGATCCAAAGGGCGCGCTGCCAGCGTCCAGTTGCATGAATTCTACCTTGACGGGGTTGTTGGAGTACATTTGACCATGCAGAGCATTACGAGCATCCCTGGCTTGCGCAACATTGGCGTACTCGACGATCACAGAGATATCACCGGAGGGAGCGCTAGCAGTATCGGGGTCGACGATCTCGAGCTTCTTGATGTCGCCATAAGGACAGAACAGAGGGTACAGGTCCGTCAGCTGAGAGAACAACACACTAGGCAGGTTGACAACCAGGAGACTAGCAGGATGAGCAGCGATCAGAGACAGAGGAGCGCGTTCAGGAATCGGCGTGGAACACATTGACACCTTCCCAGAAGGTGGGTTTGAGCGGACGACGCTAAATTCGAACGGAGGCGGCGAAGGACAAGGCGACTGGCTCGAGAGCATGCTAGTTCGATCGCCACCGTCCAAGAAACCTGGAAAAGGTCGGCAGCTGTGCGGAGCGCCAGAAGAAGAGATACGCACCTTGCGAACGTTGCACCACCGCCCACGACACGTCGATTGTATGCCCTCTTCAACATCACGTACAAGTCAATAAACGAAGCATGGCAATATTGTGAAACTTACTTGATCTCTTTGCGACTCAACGCATCCATAGCCCTTCTTGCCTCGCTGTGGGTGCTCATAACGACAAAACCGCGGCGACGCGAAGCATTATCGACCGTAGCGAGGATGACAGCGTGAGACACAGTCCCATAGCGCGAAAATATCTCTATAAACTCGGGTCTAGTAGAATGGGACAGTCGGCTTCGCTGGAGCAACACCAGCACAAATGTGGAGTAAAAACGTACTTTGTGAGATCGAACGGCAGCCCAAGCACATACAGGTTGCGGCGGTCATCGGATTGCCTACCCTGCTTGCCGCCATGGTTCGAATCGCCCGAAGAAGACGGCGTGACCGTCCTGCGAGGCAACCGCATGAGCGTGAACGAGGAGCATGCCGGCGATGATACTCACAGTGGCACTCCAGCTATGGTATAGCCCGACATGCACAGCGCCTTCCTAAACAACGTTGCAAGCCTTCGTGAGCCATACCATTACGGGCGTCGCACCGCGCCAATCTCAAACCTACTTTGCTGCGTCATAGCTGGAGAACGTCATCACCAGCACGCGGCGTCCACTCTCTACCGCCTCGTCGCACCTGCGCACTTCGCCTGCAAATGAATCATACGAACGTCATCGTGCGGTCAGGGAACGCCAGCGCCGATGCCATACCTATGAGAGTGTTGAAGAGGTCGACCACGTCCTGCTTGCTTGCTGTATGATACGTCTACGCGTGAGCACCGCGCATATACGAGCCTCCAACGACGCGCCGCACCAGACTCTGCAATGTTCTCCACCTTGACCGCGAGCATCATCTCGCGGTTGAACTTGAAGACGGGGTTTTGGTTCACGGTCATTTTCTAAGCGGGGATCTTTGGGATAGGAAAGAGTGGGGATTCGCTATATCTACGTGTTCTAGCAGAAATCTACGGGATGGGTAGGCTACGCTGTTCACTGGGGGGCCTCTGAGCAAGAAAACGAGCAAGAAGTTCAAGAAAGGCCGGCGAACTCCGCGGCGCTCGTCGGAGAATTCATACTCAGCGCATACTCCCACGCCACAGACGCGTCACGACGCGTGCCCTCGCGTGTCGCGCGCATGCTTCCCACGCGAGCTCGTACCGTCTACCATCTCGCGAGCTGCTATCCGTCTACCATCTCCAACCGCGACTCGCAAATTGCTCTCACTTTTGAGTTTCTTTGGTCCGAGGTATCTGTGACAGTCCAACTTAGTTTGTATTGCGCCAGACATCATTGGAGAATAAACATGTCGAAACGCCCACTCTCGAGCTTATCTCTCCCCTTCCCCACCCTATCTGCCCTGACGCGTGGCGGGTACGAGACCGTCGAAGACATATCCACGCTCACCCCAGAGACGCTCTCCAAAGGTCCTCATCACATTCCACCGAGCGTGAACTGGGGCTCACTCATGCCCAGATCTCAACATCCCCCTCTCATCCTCCCAAGCCATATTCTCCGCCTCACAGGGCCCGAACTCAAGAACCGTCCCTATGACACAATCAGCAGCATCACTCGCCGGGAACAGTAGCAGACTGCTCTCGACGCTCTGCGGCCCGCTCGATCGCCTTCTCGGGGGTGGACTGAAACAAGGGTATATTCTCGAGCTCTCCGGCCCACCTGGCTGCCACAAAGAGGCCCTCGCCATTAATATCGTGACGTCCTACGTGAACGCGAACGTGCACTCGTCACAGAACGTTCTGTTCGTAGGTACGTATGAAACACCCTCGATCGCTTCGATTCATTCATCGGCGGCTGACGAAATGACACAGACATGCAGAACATGACAACTCCCGCCACCCTGGATCGCGCTCTACGTAGTACGTTGGTCAACTGGCACGGCGGCTGTACAGCTCGGGTGTTCATATGTTCAAGCAGCGTCGTCACCTGCGCCTTCCGACTACGGAAAGCGCGTCGAGTACCTGCGGCTGCATTCCCTCACGGAATTGATGGTGTTTATCCGGAATTTGCCCTCATACGTGCAATCACATACTAAAGTAAGAACGTTCCTGCCTTGACGCACTTGCATTACGTTAACGATTCATTGATCGGAATATTTGACGTAAGACATCATTGTTGGTCCTCAACTCGTTATCGTTCCCATTCCAATCAGCCGTTACACTCAACAAATCCAACCGCACCGCCCTCCTAGACAGACTCAAACAAGTGCTCGCAAGGGTCTGTGCCTCAGCGAGGCTTACAGTATGTGCCCGCATCGCCGACAACGACGCGCTAACGAGCCATCCCAGGTCGTGATCACGAGCCAGCTCGCCACGAAGCTGCTGAAGGCCGACGGCTCCGCAGGCAATTTCGACACGGGCACCAAGGCCATCCTCGTCCCCCACCTAGGTCCGTCCTCTCATCTGCCAATTCGGAACCCCGCAGGGATGACATGTGTGAATGACATCGCCAGGAAGCGCCTACCTCCCTTCTGGACGGGCATACAGGGTCATCGTCGTCCCACAGTCACGGACTTCAGGGTGCGCTTCTCTGTGTCTCGTCTTACGGCATAGGCTATACTAGTCTCCCGCCACTGCGCAGCGTCCTCCGCCTCTTATCGTCACCTGCTCACCTCCAAGAAAAGAAGCCTCCCGGTGAAGAGCCCTACCAGCTGGTGAGCACATAGCATCCCCAGGCACAATCCTCTTCCCGTCTGCCACGACCTGACCTCCTGCCGCCTGGCCAGATCGATAATATTATGCAATAGCGAGTACATCATTTAGCAGGAGTCTTGCCCGTGTCGGTTGCAATGAGGCGGCCCTGATCGATTTATTCATCGGGCGATTTCCGGTAATTGAAGGGACGTTTGTGTCAGGCATCGTCATCACGCGAGCCTTCCATCATGTCCACACCCAGCATCCCATCTGGACTAATGATAACGTCCATCTTCCAGTCATACGGCGCCGCCGGGACCTCTCCGGCCTCCAGCACCTGCTCCCTTAGAGCCAACGCCACTGAGTGAATCGTGTCAGCCAGCATCAGCATGATCAGGCCGAGAGCCGTGCCACACCTAAGAGCGGTCTCCGCGCGCCGCTCGCGGATTTGGCATCTGTGTAGGACGAGATGAATCGATCGTAGTAGCCCTTACCGTGCCCCAAGCGAGATAACGATCGGTCAAACGCGACGCCTACAAGATCTCCGCGTATCGGCATCGTTGCACGGCGGTTCATCGCGGGGCTCGCGTACCTGGCATGAAGATCAAATCGAGCGTTTCCGTCGCGTCGTCGAGGGCTGTCATGTACGTTATGATGAATGCCGTCAGCGCAAGTCCGGTTGTTGCGGACGGCGAGGGCGGACACGGACCGTTGTGACGCCGCCGCCCGAGCCACTCGAAATCTGGTTCCTTGATCCCGTACGTACCGCTCGGGATTGTGCGGAGATCGTCTTCGGAGTAGATTTTCAGGAAGGCCATGCGTCCGTCACTCGTCACGTCGATCTTGGGGACGAAGAGCGTCTTCCCTGCAAAGGCTGCTTCTCAGACACGTTTCGACGGACGGGACACAGAGAGACGCCAGACCAGAGTGCAGGATTGCGGATACGAGCGCGGAGGTGTCGACTTCGCCAGCAGGCATGCTGAGATAGCAGCTGACGGTGTTACTGCGACGGAAGAAGGGAGACGCGAGTACGAGCTCCGTGATCATCTGCGCTGCATCACCATCGCATTCAATTCGACATCACGTATAGCCGGGAAATAGGTACTCTACATTGTTGCTGTATGTCTGATGAGGACACCGTGCGCAGCCTGGCGGCCATGGCCTTGCGCAGTGCCCTCTTTTGCGTCTGCAATGCCATCGGGACTATTCAACGAATTGCTGTGATTTCTGAGAGGTGAGGTGAGAAAGAATGATACCAAGGATCAAAGTGGCTCTAGGCCGTCCCAAGTCTCATGTTATCAGAACAGCTCACCGCAGAACGGACCGTAAGGAGAGTGCGGGATCCCACAGAGAGAAGACAGTCGTGTCAGAGGCCGCGGTTTAGGCTTTGCCACCAGCGCAGCGGAGGAGACCTTCCATAAAAGGCAATCATCAAGAATGCGTACAGCCTGCGCGCAGAACGCAAACGCAGCGTTCCCACTCACCTGCACACAGCGTGGCCGCATGCTCGAGAAGGACCCAACCTCGCCCGTCTCCCCCCTCGCTCCCTTCCCTCCCCTCCCCCCGACGGAGTCCCGCACCCGCGCACCCGAGTTTTACGGCTTCGTCGCATGGTCCTCCACCTCCCTCCTCTTCGCCCTCTATCTCCTCTGGGCCCTCCTCCCAGATCAATGCATCCTCGCACTCGGCCTGACCTGGTATCCGAACCGGTACGCCCCCGCACGAATAATCCGCCCGCCATTAATCTCCGCCCTTTCCAGCGAGTGGGCCGTCCTCCTCCCAGCCTACTCCATCGTGCTCGTGCTCCTCACCTACTTCACATACTTTGCCTTGGCACTCGCCGGGACACCCGCCTTCTCCGATCTGAGCACGATAACAGGTGCGTTCCCAGCGCAGTCACCCACTCTGCACATCTAAAATTCGAATACGAGCAGACTCCAAAGCGCTCTTCCCTCCCCCAGACGCGCCAAGTCCATATCTGGGCCACGCGCGACCGAACGCGATCCCCGAGATGTACGACATCCCCATCGGGCTGGTCAACCGCGTAGCGTACGGGTCGCGCGCTTTGCCAGACACGAACGTGTGCCAGGACAGGTAGCGTAGAAGAAGGAAGATGCACCGGCCGATAAGACGGGCCCACCACGACGTTCTGTTCCTGTATGATTAAGTTTGATATTCTATGACATCCGTCCGGGGCGTGCCCTCCGTCACAATCCCTATAGGCTATTTCAGCGCGCCCACGCCCCGCCCTTCCTCTCCCGAGCTCGCGCCGAGCTACCCGTCAATGTCATCGCACACGCCTGCTTTCTCATGCCGTCAGAAATCCAGGCCTTATCACGATCTATAGATGAATTACAGAGCTACCACCTTCCGTCTATCCTAGCACGCATGGATACAGCAGTAAGAATTACACGGGTATCAAAAAACAATGCACTGCATGTCTACATGGAGCACAACAAGGCCGCCGCAAACCAAGCGTTGTACATACAGCATAGAACACCGCCATATATCGTAGCCGAACAAGAATGCTTCCCGCCCTTTTCGCAATCCTCCAAGAAGCCTGCCCATTCCGGCAACTCGATCCCAACCGTTCTCCAGGGGGGGAAAATTCGATTAGAAGCTGCTGGACGAGACGATAGCAGGGCCGGGCAGTGCTCGCCACTGTTCATATCGATAGGGTATGAGCACCGGCCGGCATCGCAAACACACGAACAAACTAAATTTACCTGAGCTTGTAGGTACGGACCACTAACGTCCGTCTCCGCATACTCCCCGCGCTCCTCGTAACGATCCTCCGGATTCCACGTGGGAGAAGAAGGCACGGCGGGCGGGAGCGGAACAGAGAGCATCGGGCACGCCGCCGCGGAAAACTCCTCGTCCGAGTCGGACGGCGGCTCCCTCAGATAGTCCACGTTCGTCCGCGTCGCCAGGCTCTGCGGCACCCAGCGCAGTTTCGACGGCAGCTTCCCCACCTCGTGCACCTCCGACACCAGCGGCGTCTCGAACCCCACCGTGAACTGCGACTGCGACGGGCTCGCGTGGTCCGCCGACGGGAAAATCCCGTGCGTGCGCAGGTGCCGCTTCGCGTTCGACCGCACCGCGAAGCTCTTCGTGCACGTCGGTATGGGGCACTTGTACGCTGTGCACAATAACTCATCAGTGTCACGCAAGTCGGCAATAGAACGCACACGCACGCTTTGCGCCAGAGTGGGAGTTCATGTGCGTAGCGAGCCCGCTCGGGCGCGGGAAGAGCTTCGAGCACACCGTGCACTGGTGCATTTTGGACTTTTTCTGGGCGGGCTTTGCCCTCTCCGGGGAAGTGCCCATCGATGAGGAAGACGAGGTATATGAATCGCTCGAATCGTGCCGTCTTGGCGTGCGGGGGCGCGGCGCGTTAGTTCTATTTATATCTCCCGCGCCCGAGAAGCCTTCATATGCGTTGAACCCGTGGCGCGGCCACTCGCCATGGATAGCCATATCCACGGACGACTGGCCACCGCGCGCACCGGCCGCGTGGTACGAGGAGCGCGAGAGCTCCGAGATCGCAGAGGGCGGGCTGCTCTCGAGGTCATCGTCGTATTCTTCGCCCGTGTCTGCGTCATATATCAACGGAGGGACCGCCGACGGGCTGAGTGGCTCGTTGAACGAATCCGCAGAGTCGCGGCGCAAGAGGTGGTTGTGTGCTGCGCCCGAGCGGGACGCGGCGGCGGCGTCCATGAGCGAAGACGACTCGGATAGGATAGATTGAAGGGGGGAGGCAGGGGATGCAGAGGAGAAGCCGTGCAGGAGGGGTTGCAGTGCAGACGGTTGCGCGCTATCGACCGGGGCGAGCACGTTGGGCGTTGATGGGAGCATCCGGCTGGCGGCTCCCTGAGGTTCGAAGTCCGCACGAGCGTTCAGATATTGGTTATTTGCCCCGTACGTCTGTCTGCGCTGTGCAATGCGGATATTCGGGTCCTGCTGCTGGCTGTGGTTGTGGCTCTGGTGGGCGGTGTCGAGGCTGTACTGCCCCGCACCGGACGTGGATACGTGCTCGCCGTAGGCCATGGCGGTGTTGTATGGCAGTGGGTATGCGGAACCGTACGCGGTCTCTGGGAGGAGCGTGCGCTGGGAAGACTCGGGGTAGCCGACGACCTGTACCGCGGCGGGCTGCTCGTCGAAGTAACAGGATGAAGAAGAGGGGACGACCTGGGAGTACGGCGACTGGCCGGCAAAGTACTGCATTGGCTGATGCTGGACATCAAACTGCCACGCTTGGCGTGCTGGTGGCGGGGCGTGGCCTGTGCCGCTGCTCGCGCTGCTTGCAGCGGCGGCGTGGGTGGGCGCGACGTGGTAGGACGCGAAGTGGTAGCGCGAGGGCGTTGCGCTCGCTTGTGGGTAGTGCTCGGGGTAGGGCAGGGCGTCGGGGAGGGTGGTGGTGCCCGGGGCGGAGCTCGAGTCTTGTCGGTGCCAGAGGTTAGACATGGAGAGGCCGCGGAACATGCGAAAGCTGGGGGCGCTGAGGAGGAGGCAGTGGTATAAGTACTGAGGCACTCACAGAGGTGATGTCCGGATTGCGGGGGGAGCGGAGTCTTCAGGTACTTGAGGGAGTGGCCTTTAGGCTCGGAGGATGTTCCGTCATGATTGTGTTACATGAGCAAGTCAACGCTGGCAACGCGCAATTCATAAACGCAGACACGAGCGATGGGGGAGCCTGTGCTGCCATACTCGGAATCCGCGTATGAGCGTGCGTGAGACTTGGGCTGTCTTGTCCTAATCCGAGAAGCTGCACCGCGGGACTGCCGAACTGCCATGTTATCTCGTTCCATCAACACACCTGACCATTTGCGCGAATCAGCCTACGAATCCTGCGCGCCCGACATCCAGCAACCCCGGCCGTCATCAGAGCCCGAACATGCACGCGCACGGACCCGCCAGCCGTGCAGCACGACGGTGATCACACCCGGACGCCCTCGATAGACGCGGCAGGCTGGTATATTTTTCAGACTCCGCGATTCGTCCTGCAAGTCGCGCGATTCAGGTCGAGATCGGTCTGCCGTAATCTCCCCCACAGCGCACACTTCACAACAGGCAATCCAAATGCCATTACATGCGATCGATAGCCATTCCAAGAACACCAAACAAATTCACAACACAATATCCACTCGACGAACCAGCGATCATTTCCGCCAGTATCAGATCCTGCAGGATTGACAGAATCGTCACCCAGCCGTCCACCTGCATGTTCACGTTCGCGGGTTCGGTGAGGTCACGCAACGTCGTGTTCATGTAAAATACAACTATGACCTACCTGAACTCCGCAAGCCTATTCTTGGTTGTCGTACCAACGTCCTCTTCCTTCTTGGATCCTCCTGAGCCGGCCCGTGCACAGCTGCTGCGATGAGAAGGTGGTCCTGTCTGCATCTCTTCCGTGAAAATAAGGCTCCTTCTCCCGGCCGCACGTAGATCCTGCTCGCACGCATCTCGCTTTGAGTCCCTCTGTCCGGAGCGCGGCCGCGGCTGCAGGGGCCGCTGCCGTCCGTCCAGAGTCACCGTGGTCTCCCTACGTCTCAGTGGTGTCTGCTTCTGTGCCTTTACGTCAGCGATCGCCCCGTCAGAATTAATTAAAAAATTTAGTACACTCACCCAACCGTTTGGCCGTGTCGTGCGCCCCCATTTTTCCCACCAGCCGTTCGCTACCTTGGCATTACGGCTCGCAATGTCTTGTGGGTCCAACAGCTCGTCCAATTCATCGGCATCCGCCGGGTCCTCATCCAGGATGATCGCTCCATTATGCGCTCGTTCTGCCGAGTCGTCTGGTGTCACGGGCCCGGGTGAAGAGCTCGTACTGCACACAGGCTGCGGTGATGCGTCTGCACATTCACTGTCACTCGTCACCTCTTCCCAGTCGCACTCCCCCAGTGTCCGCCGGAGATCAGGACCGAACTCCTGGTCCTCCTCCACCGCCAGTTCGTCATGCCGTCCGGGTGACGGTGTGTCGCGCACTAGCACCGTGCCAACTTCGTCATTGCCAATTGCCAAGTTGCGTTTGCCGAATGCCATATGTTCAATAAGGCGTGGAATTGGCTTGATCGTTGAGGGGCTCGAAAGAACATCCGTACCAAAGTTGTCATCATCGTCGGTGGAGTCGTACTGTTCCGGTGGCTCCCTCGCTTGCAGCGGCGAGGACAGCTCCGGAGTGTCCCACCGCACCATAGATGGAGAGGGCGAGATGTACCCGTCCTCCTGCGTCACCGGGTCCAACACAGTCATGAGCCCTTCATCGTCCTCGGGATACGGCACGTTCTCCTTGTCCTCTTCCAGGTGTGATGGGTCCGCAGCGGCTTCGCGGTCATGACACTGCCGGTCCATCCCACCCGGTGGAGATGACGAAACAGCGCAGAAGAATCTCGACGATGAAGGTCCAGCGATTGGAATCTCGGGGCATGTTTCATCTTGCTTCTTCCGCTTGGCCGCCATATCTCGGTCCATCACTTCCGCTAACGTCCGTTTACCACTAGAACGGCCGGCCGTCGTATTTAACTTCACGCTAGGCTGGCCCTCGCGCGTGGCGGTCTGTGACAGAGCCCTCGACGGAGCATCCACCTTAACCTTCGGTGCTACAGGAGTGGGGGGCACACGTAAGACATTCGTCAAAAGAACGTTGATTACTTCTCTGCGAAATGTCGGACTTACGGAAGAAACTCAGGATGCCTGCGTCAGGTTTCCCCGGCACTTTACGCCTCGCTTTGCCTCTATCTTTACCCGCCCTGTGCTGTGTTGACTGATTCATTGGAAGCGGCCTGAGAGCGCGTGGCGCGAACGTTGGGTTAATGTCTTCCATAGGCAGAAGACTGATAGGGCACGCGTCGCCTTCCGCAACACGCTTTGCTAACGACGCATCGAGGTTCCTGGAGCAGTGAAGAACGTTTGTCACGGCGCAGAACATGCCGAAAGCGCGCACAGCACTTACGCTCCGACATATGCCTCCATCTCTTCATCCCATTGTTCGCCTTCGGGGAGATCCATCAAGTGCACGAGTCTTTCTTGCGTGGGATCGTACACTCTCTGATACAAGAACACCTTCTCTGCCATTCGGAAGGCTTCGAGATACCCCTGTGGTATCTTCTTCTTGCCTTCCAGGCTCAACACGCGGATCACGTTCTCAACGGTCTTGTATTTCCGCAGAAGCGACCACGCCGTCTTCAACCCGATGCCATGAATGTTAGGAAGATAGTCGCACCCGCCCAAGATCGCCATATGACGAAACTGCACGTCCGACCAGCCAAACAAAGAAATCCCGCCAGAGGAGCCGGAAGCAAGGGAGGCGAAATCGTCACGCGAGATGCATGTGATCCTGCTCGCATCGACGTCCATTTTGAGAAGCACTTTCCTGCATCCGAAGACAAGTAGGTCGGAATCCTCCGTAATTATTCCGTCGACGAGGCCGATGCGCTCAAGGTACGCCAGCTGCGCGTCGGCTTCGTACGGCGCGACGACGTATGGCACAGATTCTGCACGCAGTGCCTGCAACGTGGGCACCATGAGCGAGAGCACCAGGCAATAGCGAGGGAATCACCGACCTTGATGAGCTGATATGCCATTTGGGGCGTGACGTCGACGCACTTCGTGTAGTACTCACGAGCATCTCTGTGCTTGCCTTGGGCTGCCAGCGCATTGGCACGGGCGAGATTCTCATCACGCCGTTTCTTCCGGTCTGATTCGGTTCTCTGCTTTGCCGGGAGCGGACCTCCGTCGAAGACGACGTACGGTTGAATACGGTGATGTTGCAGCATGCGGACACGATGCATTGCGTAGTCGACATACCTAATAGCAACTTTGTCAGCATCGAAACGTCATGCTATGCGGCTGGCGGGGTGCACGCAGAGACATGTGAGCCGGCAGGCAGCCATGCCTCCTGCAACGAGCGTTTCCAAATCTGCCAGATCTGAATGGATCTCATCGGTTGCATCCGCCCATCGGATAACTCCCGGAGGCCAACAAGCGAGATCGCATCCCCAAGCACGCTGCGTGATGTCGACGAGATCTCGTGGAGTCGTCAGTTTCCGTTCTTAGACACCTTCGCAGATGGTAGCGATATCAGCATCCTCATCGGGATGATTCGCGTCTTCCACGCGCAGCGTGTCAGACGGCCATGCCAAACAGCACTAGTATCATCGTTGAACGATAAGCTATGATAATTTGTGATTGGACGGGAAAAGGCTATCAGTCGAATAGCACGATCAAAGGTGCACGCTGCCGCACGTCGGACTGTTCACCGTGCAGCCGTAGCTGGAACATCTGACGTGCGCTACCACACCATGCGGGTATACATGGAGGCGACTTTGATATTCGAAGCAGCCCAGTAGCCCCAAAACATAGAGTAAGGGAAGGTCATCCCCAACCAACCCCAACCATCCGTTTTGTCTGGACCGCTCGGCCATAGCAAATCCTCCAAATAAACTCTCATCTGCTGGATCCGCTCGAATGGCAAAATCCATTTTCAAAAGCCCAGTTCTACGATCTGCATTCCGAAAGCGTTGGTGTACGTACTTTGTTGTAGGTTTCTTCGTCGCTAACTCCGGCGCACATCCGCAGATCCCTTTGTGTAGCCACACGTATGCGTCCACGGCAAGGGTTTGTCCGGCGAAATATGACAGTGGTCGCTGGACCTGAATGTCCCTCATGAGAGGCAGAAGACCTGTGATGCCCATGGTGTTTGCTCGCGAAAAGAGCCTCGATGCAGAAGGTGCGACGTCTCAAAACGTCTCGAGTCGTGATTCTTGTGAAGCGCGTCGCGGATGTTACCACATGTGCTGGACTATGAGTGCCAGGATAGTAAAAGCAGACAGTTCCAGACAGGTAGGAGTGTGTCTCGCACACTGTAGAGGAAAGCGAAGAGCAAGCGAGAAGTGGCAGAGAGCTGTCGGCGTGGTGGACATGTCACTTTGGCTGCGAACAAGCGCGTCGTGTCACTACTGTCACGTCCCCAGAAAATGTAACACGTGATCGCGTACGCGTCGTGTATACGCGTTTTTGCACTTTCCCACGAGGCCTCTCAACCTGACATCTTTACCACAACCTCGATTTTTACGGCCTCCCTTAGATGAAAACATCGCCAATCTTTCTTGGAGCATATTGGGAGCTTTCCATCGTATTATGGTCAATTTAGGGCGGGGCGAGTTTCCACGAGGGCACCAACGGGATAGCGGCGCGGCACGGTGGCGGCCTTAGTGCGCCGGTTCGGGTAGCGCACATCGTTGAACCACACCATTATGTACACTTCAAGAACAACATCTGTGTACGCAGGGTTTGGCCATGGTGTTGGTTGCAGCATTCTCCGTGGGTCATGGTGTCTATCCCGTCGACCGTATCTGCTTTGGCATTCATCGCATTCACTTCGTCGACGCGTCGCAGTCGATACATAAAGCGATACCGTAACCGTTGATTTCTCATTAGCCAAAAGCTGCTGACTTCGAGAGATTGTTGCGGTGTGAAGCCGTGGTACTGGTTTAGCGTTCCTCAACGAGCCCACAAGCAAGAAACTGATGCCAGAGATACAGAGATACAGATTTGCGATGTACAATTCCGCAATACAGAGTTATGAAAGGCCTTGGTGCTACAATGGTAACGGTTGAACGTGTACCTGCTAACGACAATGTTGAAATGTGGCTATGCTATGCTCAGTCTTCACAGTCTACCAGAAAGCTTCTGCGCTCTCTCCTGTGCGAACTGCTCTCGGGCAGCTTGCGCCTCCTCATTGGGCACCAAGATGAAGTCGAATTGCAGAAGCTTGAACGATTCACCCTGCGGGAAACCACGCTTCCGAGCTTCGGCCTCATCATGGATGTCTTGCAGCGTCTGGATGCTCATAAGCAATCGTCGCAAGACCGGAATGCTAGCATTGAACTCACGACCACCAGAGACTTCTTCACGCCAAACACAGCATCACTGCTCAGGTACTGGTCACCCTCTGGGTACAGGGCAGTCGTGAGCGTGTTGTATCCTGGTGCCTCGATCATCAAGTGTAGGTGGTTCGGACGCATGTTGTGACGTTGCAGCTTCAAAAGCATTTCCCCCACTGGACCCTGAACGAATAAATATGAGTAAGAGCTGTCACAATGTCTAGCTTTTCACTAACATCACCCGGGATAGGATAGGCAACTGGAACTACCGCCCGATATTCGTACCGGCCGTCCTTGTCGGTCTTGAGACGTCCTCGGCAATCAGGCTTGTCTCTGTTCGTGTACTGAGTATCATAATATCCTGAATGAGAAATTCGCTAGTAAGTATTTCGTGAGGTCTTGCAAAGGTGATAACTGACCCTGAGCATCTGTCTCCCAAGTCTCGATGATAGCACCAGGGATCGGCGTTCCGTCGGTGCTGAGCACGCGACCTTCGACATACAGGTATTCTCCCTTGCCTTCCGATGCTATCGACTCGCCGGCCTCCACTGCAGCGGATACGGGTTATCACAAGCACGCATTGCATACGATGACAACACTTACAATCTGGCGCGTCGTCGGTAAAGAAGGGCCCAAGAACGCTACTCTCCGTACCCCCACTAATGGGCGGGTTGTTGATCGCGTCCACCAGAGCGGATATACCAATGATATCCGAGAGGAGGATGAACTCCTGGCGAATCGGCGTGCACTTCTGGCCAACTCGTGTGAGGAAGTGGATCGCAGTCATCCATTCGTCTGTGGTGAGACTGATTATAGTCAGCATTGGCGCTTCCTTGTAATGCCAAAAGGGCAGGTACCTTGTCTCTTTCACGAATCTGTGCAGGTGAGTGACCAGACTCCTTAACAAGAACTTGTGGCGCCTACAACACAGTTTAGTCTTATGCCTTCATACTTGAAACACGCTCAGAGCACGCACGGATCGGGCGTCAGTTCAATCAGTTTCATCAGGTTGTCGGTGATCAGCTCCGGTCCATCTGGATACTGTCCATGCCATGTTCAGTCCATCACTGTCTAAGGCACGAAACCGACGACATCATACCGGGAGGAAGAACGATGGAGGCGGGATACCATTCGACACCGCCTTCTGTGGTATGGGTGTAGCCATCTTGCGGTCGAACGGGTGAGAGGGGTCAGGAGGGTATGAAGTCAAGTACGGTACGTGCTGCTACCTGCTCTATTTAACTCGGCCTGCTCCTGTGCGATGCGATCTTATGGCGGATAGTAACGAGAAGTGCTCGACCGCATGAGGAAAACGATCAGGATCATCAGGCCTGCTGGGCCGGCCAAGTGAGACTGTGCCGCCGCAGTCTCCTTCTCTTCTCTGAGCAGGTGACGACCGTATGATCACTTTTCATCAAAGCGCTGACGCATCGCCACGTTTGCAACGTCAAACGCCATCGCCGACTTACGCCTAATCTGCCACCACTACACAAGTATAGCAAGTGCCAAACTACACATACTCTGGCCCTTTCACTAGCGAAACTAGCTCGTTTTCGTTCACCATCAAGTGCGACTATCGCGGTACACAATTGCATACTTTCCATTGCCCGCATCCAAAGAATGATTCCCCACAAAACGCGATCTGGCACATCAATATTGCCGGTATCGTTCAGTCATCAGAATAGCGCATAAAGCATTAGGCAGCAACCGTAGGTGGGTCCAGCGCGGTATCTTTCTTCAACAAGAAGCCATTCTCACCGAGAGGGAGAATATAGATTCTCCTTTTCTGGTGCTCCGCCACACACGCTCTCATTATATGGCTTTGCTGCGCATGTAGGAGCAGGCCGTGCATCGGATGTCGAGGCTTTGGAGTGAGTTGCCTCTGTAATGCTGCCATCAGCTATCGTATAAAGCATTTGTCGTCGTCAGTCAGCTGAACCACGACGCAGGTACGCGCTGACAGAGCTGATTAAGCACGTGATTGCGATTATGGAAAAGAGCTTCCATAGGCTTCGGAAATGAGCCGCACATTTGGAAGATGGGGTCGCTATTCAGCAAAGGTAACAGTATGTGGAGGTAGAACGGGACTGGGACAGGCAGGCATGGTTCACGGGACGTCGATGATGACGGCTGATAATCTTGAACACCAGCATCGGTCGCCATGAGTAAATATAACATCTATGGGGACCGTTACTCGGATGCCTTGACCTGCATCTTGTGAGCGACGTCGACGAAGGAAGCTGACTCAGAATACTCACCTCTGACAAGAACCTTTCCAAGAGTGCCATCACCTTCTCGGGCTGCTCCTGTTGAATCCAGTGACCCGCTTCATCAACCATAATAACATCTTCCTCGCGCATTTTGCTGCATGCCTCAGACATCATCTTCTCCAGCGCACCCGGTGTCTGGTACATGCCCCAGTCCTGCTTCCCAGAGATGAACGTAGCCGGCACTTCAACAACCTTGCCTGCGAACACCCCCAGCTCGTCGTAGAACTCGGGCCGGAAAGACCTGTACCAATTCAATCCGCCTTGAAAACCGGTGCGCTTGTACTCCTTGGCATACACCGCCAGCTCATCGTCAGTAAGCCAGCGATTGCGAGCGATTTCATCTGCATTGGGCGCATGAGGGGCTACTGCCTCTGGCATTGTGGATGCGAGCGGCATCATGTAATAGTGAGGCAGTTTCGCTAGCTCAGATGGCTCCTCCGACGCAAGCGGATGCGGGTCGTTATGACGCCAGTCGGCGCTCTTCATGTGGAAATATGCCCGAAGGAAGGCGTGAATACCCTGAGGTGCATTCGACATGTCGTAAGCCGCATCCGGACCTGCAAAGTATGGAATGTAGTATTTTCTAGGAGGATCTAGCTTTGCCAACTGCTCTCGACGATCAGCAGAAAAGATGGATGGAAAAGTCTCTGACAGATTGACAGAATCGGTGGTAAATGGAAGAGTGGGTGGGCCTTGGAATGGCATAGACATGAGAACCACGGATCGAAAGACGTCAGGGCGGATGAGCACACAGAGTGCTGCTATGTGCGCGCCCAGGTCATGGCCTATCACGCCTGCGACGGTACGATGACCCAAGGCAAAGGTTAGGGCGATGACGTCGCGGACGATGTTGATTTTCCTGTACGGATTCACATCGTCTTCAAACCGTACTTGGCGATCAGGTCCGACTTGACTAGTGGTACGCCCGAAACCTCTGTTATCAGGCGCGACGACGTGATACCCTAGCTGAGATATGGGCATGATCAACTTGCGCCATGAAAAAGCGAGCTCGGGGAAGCCATGAATCAGAATGATCAGAGGGGAGGAAGGCATGCCTGCCTCTAGGATGTGCATGTTGAGATCGTTCACCAATAGCACGTTGGACTTGACGCCGACAGGAAGGCTGGCGAGATAGGTGTCCATGTTTCGCTTCAATCTAGGATGGCTAAGGTACAGTCAGAAATCTCGCATATCGAGTGGATGGGAATATAGTGAGTTTGCACTTCGCTCGACCCGAGCCGGGAACGCCGCCAGCGACACAGGCAGACAGATTGGGAATCACAAATAACACCGATCTTACTCACATTAGCACCAAGCTTCTGCTTTCATGGATTCTTTGCACAACACTGAGTGCATAGGAGGCGAAGGATGGTAAGCGCTTCGATAATCAATAGCCTATGTACCCACGAAAGTGGGGGTCCCAAATAGAAAAGAACACACATGCTAGAGGCACCGCAGAATGAGCGCAGTTCATCCATTTTCGCCACAGTGCGTCATCGAGCGAATACCAAGAGTAACCGAGCTTTCGCTTCTAAAGTTGCAGCTGTGAATCACTTAGCAGAGTGATCTCGTTTCAAACTCCAGGTATGAAAGGCAAGAAAGCTGTGAGACTACGTAGAGCTTCCCGTAAGAGATATCGCAGCATAGCATGTTTAAGTGAAATAAGAATGATTTTCCGCCGCTATGGAGCACCTCAACACGACGACCCGAGAATAGTTTGAATCAGTGCATTGTGAGGTCGGGAATGATGCATCCAGTAGAGGTTGAGATCGACTCGGAATGCCGCGCATAGATCTCGGGCGGTTCCGAGCTGATAGATTCACCACCGCACTGTTCTACAACTTCACGCTAAATTGCGCGTGGTATGGACATTACAAGCAGCGGTCAGATTAGATAGTACCATGGTTGGCCCCCATTATGTAAAATTTCTCGTATACAGATCATGTATAACAATTCGACCAAATCACTTCAAGCTTCTAGGAATAGGTACGCAAAACGTGAGGAGGACAGCCGTCAGAAAACTTCCGAGTGAGATCGGACCTGTACTCCATTGAAGCGAACAGTCTTCGAGGTGAATGGACTTGGCAACGGGTGTTCGAGATGAGTGAACGTGCATATACTAAGACCATTACTCGGACACCTTGACCTGCACTTCGTGAGCGACGTCGATGAAGGAAGCTGACTCAGAATACTCACCTCTGATAAGAACCTCTCCAAAAGCGTGATCACCTTCTCGGGCTGCTCCTGTTGAACCAAGTGACCCGCTCCGTCGACCAGAAGAACATCTTTTTCGCGCATCCTGCTGCATGCCTCAGTTTTCATCTTCTCTAATGCACCCGGCATCTGGTACACGCCCCAATCCTGCTTTCCAGATATGAACATCGCTGATACCGCAATAACTTTGCCTGCGAACACCCCCAACTCGTCGTAAAACTCGGGCTGGAAAGACCTGTACCCATTTAATGCGCCCTGAAAGCCGGTGCGCCCGTATTCCTCGGCATACACCGCCAACTCCTCATCAGTGAGCCAGCGACTGCGAGCTATTTCATCCGCATTGGGCGCGTGCGGGGCTACGGCCTCTGGCATTGTGGCTGCAAGCGGCATCATGTAATAGTGAGGCAGTTTCGCCAGCTCGAATGGTTCCGCCGTCGCAAGCGGACGCGGGTCGTTATGGCGCCAATCGGCGCTCTTCATGTGGAAGTATGCCCGAAGGAAGGCGTGAATACCCTGAGGTGCATTCGACATGTCGTAAGCCGCATCCCGACCTGCAAAGTACGGGATGTAATATTTTCTAGGAGAATCTAGCTTTGCCAATTGTTCCCGACGATCAGCAGAGAAGGTGGATAGAATGTTCTGTGACATATCGAGAGGATTATCGCCAAATCGAAGGGAAGGTGGGCCTTGGAATGGCATAGACATGGGGATAACGGATCGGAAAACGTCAGGACGGATGAGCGCACAAAGTGCCGCTGTGGTGGAGCCCATGTCATGGCCTATCACGGCTGCGACGGCGCGATGACCCAAAGCAAAGTTAGAACGATGATGTCGCGGACGATGTTTATCTTTCTGTACGGATTCACGTCGTCTTCAAACCGTACTTGACGATCAGGTCCGACTCGACTAGTGGTACGTCCGAAACCTCTATTATCAGGCGCGACGACGTGATACCCTAGCTGAGATATGGGCACCATCACCTTGCGCCATGAAAAAGCGAGCTCGGGGAAGCCATGAAGCAGAATGACTAGAGGGGAGGAACGTGCGCCTGCTTCTAAGACATGCATATTGAGGTCGTTTACCGGTAGCATGTGGGACTTAATACCGGCAGGAAGGCTGGCCAGATAGGTGTCCATATTTCGCTTCAACCTAGGGAGGCCAAGAGATAGTTAGAGACCCTCGCACATCCAGTAAATGGAAATATAGTGATTCTGGGCTTCGCTCCCGTTTGAGTAGGAAAGTGAATGCACCATCATTCTTCCTCCTTTTGCTGGGGTGGGCTTCTCAGACAGTCTGGGCATTGCATGTGCCCTCCAACAGGATCCAAGCCCTGAACGCCGCCAGCGACACAGGCAGACAGATTGGGAATCGCAAATAGCACCTATCTCACTCACTTCAGCGCGAAGTTTCTGATACTATATGTTGAGATCTGTACTCTTAGCCTCAGCCGTACTATGGTGGAACGGACTATATTACCTGTACTCTCTTAGCCTGCAAAGCAAGTCAATAAGTACAGAGCTGTAGCTACAGGGCCCGATCAACTCACCTCAGCCGTACTGTGGTGGAACGAACTGGGGGAAGTTGAACGGCGAGGATGCGATATATATGAGGCAGGCTTGTGTTATGTAACCCGTCTTATTCGCGATTCACCGCGCTGCCACACTATGAACGGCATGCGCTATACCACATGTGCAGGAGGCGAAGGATTGTAGCGCCTCGATAATCAAAGCCTATGTGGCCGAGTTTCAAATAAGAAAGAACACATACATGGAGGCACCTCATAGTAATTGCAATTCATCCATTTTCGACGCAGTGCGTCAGCGAGTGAGCTTTTGCTTCAAAGGTTGCAGCTGTCAAATACTCACTGGCAAAGTACTTGGACCGGTTTGCAACTCCAAGAGCACTTTGATACTACGTAGAACTTCTGGTCAGAGATATTGCAGCATAACATTATAATGATTTTCCGCTGCTATAAGGTACCTCAGCACGACTCGAGAACGAGTGAAAACAGTCGATTGGAGGTTGGGAACATGATGCTGGTGGCAGTGGTAGTAGATCTAGGGCGCTGCTGAGCTGTAGCATCGTGTGACCGCCATACTGTTCTACGACTTCACGATAACCTGGCCGTCGCTCTCAACGTCGTAAGAGTTCCGGAGTAGTGAACAATTTGGAGGGTGCTCATAGCCAGAGCACGGCCGCGCAAACAGCGGCTGGGCCCATACTAGTCGCGTGTGGACATTACAAGCCCGGGCGGGTAGATTAGATAGTACTTCGCCAGTCTGTTGGTTGTCGCTAGTAGTATCCATTCTCTCGGTCACTGCTGCATCGTGTCTGCACATCATATTCTCTGCCAATACTTAGCCTGAGGTTCACGCTAAGAAATACCAAGCGAGTCATAAGGAAGAGTCGAGGGAGTTCCTCGGATTGTAGCTGCTTAGAGTACGTCCTGAGAATGGCGTGATTACTTGCGTCATGAATGCTCACAAACATTCTGAGCCAGAAGCATCATGTCCGTGGAAACAACAGTAACCACAGAATCCACCTTCTCTGCAGAGAGATACTTCGCGACACAGCCGCCCCCGCCATCCCTCGAGCAAGATGTCCTGCATGTGCGTCAGTTTGTACAGAGGCATGCAAAGGCGGGGAGGAAGGTCGTGCTGGTGACGGTGAGCACCTCGATCAGCAATTCATTCCCGGTGTGGTTGACGTCTCCCTGCAGAGCGGTGGGACAACTGTCCCTCTGGAGCTTAACGTGTGAGCATCACCGCCGGTTTGCGATGCCACCGGCTCATCATGCCTGTGTTCTGCAGTGTACGCTTCCTAGACAACTTCAGTGCCGGTACGCCCAAATCACTTGCATTCCGTATCTCTGTTGCGAGCTAGGTGTTCTTTGTAGGCACGCGTGGTGCGACATCCGCCGAGTACTTCCTCAAGGCTGATTATGCAGTCATCTTCATGCACCGGCAATTCAGTCTGCAGCCGTTCAGCCGCCATTATTCGCATTCCACCCATCCTTTCCTGGATTTTCTGGAGATCGAAAAGGTAGAACCTGAACAAGGAAGCAGTGGTGATGGTGCTTCGCCACCATACAACATCACTGTTACGCCTTCTGAGCGGCCGCAGCTGCTGGAAGTGTTGACGGCATACAAGGCAGTCCACAAGGAGGGCACGCTGCACACCCTCACGTTCGTCACCGTGAACGATTATCTCTGGCTCCTGCGCGCAGTAAGCCACGAGCTGGCAATACTGGGGAGGAACGCCCTATACTATCTAGCCGCTGCGGTGAGCGACTTCTTCTTGCCTAGGCAAAGAATGGTACGTGTATTCCCCTATCGTCAGGCCGAACAATTTTTTTCATGTACCTGACGTAATCCTTCGCAGTCGGAGCACAAGATCCAGTCTGGCAAGGGCAGTCTCCACATAGAAATGGACGAAGTGCCTAAGATACTCAAACCGCTGGCTAAAGAGTGGACTCGCGGCGAAGCGTTCATTGTATCGTTCAAGGTAGGAATCATGCACTACTCAATCTGCGTGTCTTGCTCACGATGTTTTGCACCTTTCAGCTGGAAACCGACCCGACGCTGCTCATCCCGAAGTCTCAGGTGGCATTGGCCCGGTACGGCCATCAGGTCGTCATCGGCAATGATCTTCATCACCGCAAGTTCCAGGTAGTCCTCGTCTCACCCCGCAACAAGCAGGTCGATGGCGACACCGCACAGCCTACAAGCGAGGGTGATTCCAAATACAGAGTGTCGTGGATCCGGATTGACCTCGCGAAGGATCCGAAGAAGGAGATTGAGGAGGATATAGTCGGGGAGCTTGTACGTAGACATCGGAGGTGGATAGATTCCTCAGAGGCGTGATACTATGCCCCTTCAATTCTGAGAGTAATGTTGGAACAGCTATTAAAGTTATGTATTTTCTTAATCACAAGATTTGTATAGCAATCATGGGGTAGTGGTAACCTTGGTCGTTGCCACTTAATTTCGACCAGCCGCGGGTTCGATTCCCGCTGATTGCATTGTTTTTTTGACTCCTTCCTGAGGTTCACCCTGCCTTTTTTTTTTATCAAGATAAGGTCAGTGCAAGCTTCCTCCTTGTTGCCAGACAGACTCAGAAATAGTGTTTGCCCGATAAATGAGGGTGCACAAGTTGTCCATGAGTGTCTTATCTTAAAATGATACTTGTACCGACTAACACTCATATCTCCTTGATCCACTCCCCGATGTCCCGCCACACCTTCGCTCGCACCCGCTCGTCCCACCAGCCCATCATGAGCACATCGTGCGCACCGTCTTTCACCCAAATAGTGCGCACGTCGACGCCATCGCGCTCCATCGCGCCCACGAGCTTCATCACCTCCCTTTCCAGCCGCTCTGCGTCCCCAAGTACGATACACGTCTTTGGAAACTCGCTGAAGAGGCTCAACCCACGCGGGGATGCGATGAGAGGACTCGCGAGGCTCGTCGGGCTGCGTTCCACGCCGTTGCCGTCGACGGCGGAGGGCATGACTGGCACGGGCGTCGCAGGGGCGGACTCCATCGTGCGGAGGTGATCGCGCACCATTGTGTTGAGGCGTTCGATCGTGAGGTCCTGCACGGTCTCGGCGAACGCGTCGCCGTAGAACGCGCTCAGCACGCGCTGCGATGCGGGACTGACGTACGGACTGTGCATCGTCTCGAGCGAGTTATGCCCAAGGAACGTGCGCTGAAGCAGCGCGCGGGGCTCGGGCGTGTCGACGAGGTAGTCCGTCTTTGCGTGTGGCCGCGGCACGTACGACGATGGTGTGTCAGGGAACGCGTGTGCTGTATGAATTCTGTCAATCTCTGGGGTCATTGCAGCTTATATGCTAACTCACAGGGGTCACACGAGGGGGATAGCAGAAGGAGACCATCTGGCGGCGGTAGGATGCCTTCGTCCCTGATCCAGCGAGAAAGGGCGAGGACAAGGTTCCCTCCAGCGCTATCGCCAATGAGGACAACTTTGCACTGGTTGTTCTGTGAAGCAAGCGCCACTCGTCGCCTCAGATCGTCTTCACCCTGCCTGTGCTGAACACCATCGGCGGAGTCTCCGACCTTGACAGGTTCCGAATGTTCTGGTTCCTCGCCCTTCGGCGACTGTGATACAGACTGTTGCGAATCGGTGGTTGTGCTCGGGGGTCGACGTTGGTGCTGACGCACGATGTGCGCGTACACCGCCGCAGCATCTTGCACTGCTGCAGGAAAGGGAGCGTGCTGAAGCAGACGGTATTCAACAGCTACTCCAATGTGAGAGGACAAACTTAGCATTGGAGAAGACAGCCTTACCGTAGATATTAGCAAACGCCTTATTCTGCTCGCCGATCCTACATCAATGTGTCTGTCGTGAAAGGTCTGAGTGACGCACCTTAATCAACTGTCGGGGTATCCTTGAAGTCGGCGACTTCTCATGTGCAGACATATGGCAATAACCTCCTCCATGCATGAATATTCCGATTAAAGGCACATCGATGGCAGTAGCATCTATATCGGTAGGGGTCGTTAGGGCAGATTCGGAGCCTTCTGCATGGGCTATACCTGCAAACGCTGCTTATTGAATTGCTTCAGGCACTCGAGGAGTGCACCTTGATTGTCATACCTTGATCACTGTTCTTCGGCCAGACGAACACGCCGACTCTCTTCAACGGCACCTGGTCATCCGTTACAATCCCCGTTCTGAGATCCTCCGGAAGCGGATCAACCCACTCGAATCTCGTCTCCTTCAGCGTGCGATTATCGCACGTCTCCTCTGGGTCCCGCGTACCCCAGGTTACTCCCGCGAGCTCTGTGACTTTGTATATGCGACGCGTGAAATTGACCGCCACGATTTGTTTAATCGACCAGGATTCCCTCGGGCGATACCTCCGGGGTATGATTGCATAGAATACTACCCAGAACGGCACCATGAGCAGAGTGGTGAACATGCGTTGCACGACGTAGATCGCCTTCAGCGGCTGTCGCGCAAAGGGCATCTGTTGCTGATAGTGGTATCGTCCGTTCTGAGCAGCCATCGAGCGGAATGCGAGGTCGAGATGAACGTTGTTGGGGGCAAGTCGTGATGCGACGAGGACATGATAGAATGTTTATGGGCCCACCCTGCAGACTCAAACCCGAATGGCGGCATTATTATTTCCTGTGACGTCAGTACTAAACCGCCGCGGGGCCAAGTGGGCATTCAAATTCAATATTTAATATTTCAATGGAGTCAGTACTCAGTACTCAGTGCTCACTGCAGCACTCGTGCTTTTATCAACCCAGATATACTCTTACGGGGTCTAGAACGCATGACAGAGTGGACCGTTATTTCAACGATTCGGAGCCATGATACATATAGATCCTCAGTTAGGCAATGCGCGAGGGTATGTGGAGACAGCACCTCCAGGTATAGAAGTACAAGCTAATGAATTCACGAGAGACACCAATCACAAGCTGACCATGTCAGTCCGAGTCTATCGTCAGGTCGATAAAATCGGCATCCACGTCGATATACACGGGTCTCCTGCTGGACGATCCGGGCTTTACAGAGGTGTTTCTGACGACCTTCTTTGCGAGACTTCCAGCGGAAAGTAGGCTCTGAAAAGTAATCTCTGTGAGCCCTAATGAAGACTTCCTGATACAGATAGGTACCCACCTCAACTTCTGCCTGCTCATATTCTGAGTCGACAACCATGGTGTCCTCCCTAGCCTCTCGCTTGACTCGCATAGGTCTGCCGTGGAGCTTTGAGGGTCCCGCAATCGATGAATTGGCAGCAGCCTGGTCCCTCGCTCTCGCGAGCTCCGCAAAATAATCTCGTGCAGACAGATCAGGACGTATGCGGTACTGGGAGACAGCATCCGGAGGTATTATTTCCTCCGCCTGGAGCATCTCTACAGGGGATATCGTGAGACAGACACTGAAGCTTATTCAATATAGCCCACCTCGCGACTTGTAACGAAAGATGAAACGGACGTAAGGCTTGTTCTTCTTATCGAGGTAACGGATCACTGGAATTGCCCTGATTGGTGGACATTTGATCCTCTCGCCGAAACTTCACAGTAAGAGTCAGCGATCATGCGTGAGAAGATCGTCAACAAGCTTGATTGCAGTCGAGCGACACCGTTTACCTCACACAGTGAGCTCCAGCCTTCTTACTCCGCTCATGCACAAGTCCGCATGCGGGAGCGTCCTTCGCTCTGTATCCCTCTCGTTTAGACTTGCGAGAGTACCGTACACGATGCACGCGAAGCTCGATGATACCGATGGCACCAACACTCAGATCATCCGGATTTGCGAGATCTTCGTTGTCTACGCATGGACACAATGAAAAGTCTATAGCAACCGGTGTGATCTGGCTCACCGGTCAGCTGCAGAGCCGCAAACTGGAAAGGCTGGCGGCTTTCCGCACCAGTGCGGCATCCCAAACGGCGGCCCTTCTTCCCGGGTTTGGTCGTGGCGCACCCCACGCAGCGGCCATCCATATAACAATCAGCGCTTGCCAGTCCCTCCAGCTCATTCTTCCAGTGCACTTCGAATTTCTGGACAAGCGGGGAACAAACCGTTGGTTATGGGCAAAAGAATGTGGCAATGGCTCACTTTGCCAGCCTCACTCGCTATATAACACGACGCCGTGTCATCGCTCTCGATGCAGAACTTGTATTCCTCAGCAGGTTCGCCATCGCAGTAAATCGTCGCAGACCAGTCTTTGTAGAACATTTCGCCACAAATACGGTCGAATCTAATCGAGTAGGTCCTTGATAGAGGCCCAAGCTCAATCGAAGATCGCAAGTCTGAGTCTGCGACAGAGCGCTGTGACCACCGTGATTCTGCTTGTGTCACTGACGCGACGCGAATGTGATGTCACCAGCAAGCGTGGCGTGGTAGTAGGCGCCAAGAGATGAATTGTTTGAGCACTCACGAATATCGCACGAGATCACACGCGGACGTTGCATACATGTTGGAAAAGACGAAAAAAACGCGATGGGTACTCATCGTATGCATGAGGTCTTGAGTATTGACGCGGAAGACTCTCGAAGGCCGCACAGGTTCTCCTCACTGCGCATGACAGGTGCGTCCGAACTCTCCAGGTCATCTGCACTTATGGACATCCTCTTTAAACATGCTATTGTCCGGAACTACCTCAGGCAGGGCATCGTGCCACAATTTGCTCTTCATCTGTTGCCCAAGGTTGTGTAGCCTCCGAGATTAATAGGTCTGGTGCGAATGGTATGCGCAGACGCGAGGGTGATCATGCAGCTCGTGGTCGCGAGATGTCCGTCTTCGGCGCAATACGCGTTGGTCTCGGCCCTGCCAAGTTCCAAGCCAGAACAGGAAGATATCAAGTGGAGACTCAAGCAGGACGACTATGAAGGCGTGAAACTGAATGTCAACTAGTCAATATGTTCCCAATGCAACCTCGCTGCCGGTGCCGAACAGAACGTCAAATTGGGCGCCAGCAAACTCATTCACGTAATTCGCATGAATCCTGTCCACTTCGAATGGGAAGACGTCAAGACAGAGATGTCCAGACCAGCGCAACGCAGTCGTTACCTCCACGGACAACTTCATGCACTGCAGAATCGAATCATTCGGATTCGCAGGGCGTACGTGGGATCGCTCTACCAGAATATTAAGGGAGAGTCAGACGAAGTGGTTACGGCCTGAATGGAGGCATCAGTGGCATGCCTTTGGACGACGGCGGAATATCGAGCTCGCAATCCACATCCTCATTGCATTACAACTTGCGCCGGCTGATTGCTCGTTTTTAAGCCTTGGTTCTTAATTCAATCGCTCTACTATCATACACCCTATCGCATGCTTGACTCCCCAATATTTCACTGTACAATACAATACCTCCCTACTCTTGCCATCTCATACACCATGAATTGCGTCGATCTTCTATTATTCTATCGAGCTTTATTTGCTTGGCATGTATTGCCCTCACTGTTGGAAGTGGCCGACCGACGGCACTTTCGGTAGAACGCGCTCAACGCGTCGGGAGGGACGAGCGCCAAGCGACGGCTGAAACGCGTCGCAAGGCAGTACCTGGAAACGGAGCGGGCGAGTACGGAAGGGTGGAAAAGCATATAAGTACGCACCTGTAGTACCAAGGCCCCAGTCGTTTGTGGCCTCACCAGCCTCTCACTCCCATTGCGCCCATGAGACGGGAAGGTGCCGGCTGGCTAACACCCTTGCCGCACCAGGATTTCCTAGACTCACTACTCTGCCTCTTACTCCCAGGCAAACAATCGTCCACAAGCTCTCATATATATATATACATATATATACCATTAATCGATCGCGATCGTGCCCAGCGCAGTAGAAAGCCGCAATTGATCTGTGGGCATCTGATCGCTTCATACATGTGCATGATCGGTTACATGCTAAGAGCTGTGAAGAGGCATGTTGTGCCGGCCATGCAAGCTTTTAAGTCTACGTACACATCTTGCTCTTATAGTGTCACAAATTATTACAGAAGATCCATGCGCAAGTCCGCAGGGCCAGCTCGTCCGTCCCAGAATGTCCAAAATATCATTCAATATCCGCATCCTCGTCCTCTTCTTCATCTTCCTGGACCGCCTCAATGACAATGCACCAGAGAACCCTTCCCCAAGGCACCCCCTCCGCGTTCTCTCCTTTACGCGCCCGCTCGCAGCACACAAACCGCACGGGCTGCCCATCCCAATACTTCATCATGTCTATAGAGATGCCTCCGGGAAGCCGAAGGTCAACGCCGTCCGGGCTGAAACGCAAATAGTCATAGCAAAAGTCCGTCATGAAGAGATCCTTTCATTATATTATACAACACGTCAGCGTGTTTTAATGTGACTGCAAGCCGGACAACGTACGGCTGGACCAAAGATGACCTCCTTGCGTTTGATAGCATCCTTGAAGAAGGACCGCCGGTCCTTGGCAACTTGCTGCCGCTTGTTCCCATCTTTTGACTCAACCTGAAAGGAAAGCTGAGAGATGTCATTTCCCACGACATGCTCCAGTGGGAAAGGCGGCGTTCCTTCTTTGACTTCTATCCTTCTATGTTCGAGATACGGCATAGTCGAAACGAACGGAGAGAGTGCCCATGGTTTGCTCGAGGATGCGAGATCCTGGTCGAGCGTCGGGTCGACGTATCTATTGGACTGGTGGTTATCAATGCGATCAAGGTAAAATTGTGCAGCTCTGCATACTTCATGAACTTGAGAGCAGCGCTGAAGCCCCATGGAAGCTGCAGCGGCCTCTCGAACACGTTCCCAAACATAATGTCATCTGCGTTGTACGGGCGCAGGAACCTGCCTGCATACACACATTAAACATCCCATACAGTCCAACAGTTCAATGCGCATGCGTACCTTGCACCTGGAAGCTCCACGTAACGTCCGGCCGCTTCTTGAAATACGGGCTATCCCGAACCTGCCCTTTCGCGTCGGCAAACCCTTTAATATACACCAATATCTTCCCCTCGAACGCGTCGCTCTTCACATCGAGCGGAAGATCCGAGTTCGCGACGACGGGCACCACTTCCTCGATGGAAGGACCAGCAAGGATGCGCAAACGAGGCATATTCTCCTGTCTGAGCGCACAAACCGAGAAGAATAAAGCAGATAACGGATAGACCAGCTATTCAAGTGCGAAGCGATGAATTGGGAGGGTGCTGGGAAGGAGCAGCACAGGCATGATGGGCAGATATGGTCACTCGACCGCTCACGTTGTCATGCCCGACGTAAGATATGCTCGGCTGTTTCCGAGAGTGGAAAGTGGCAGTGTGGCCACCCGACCGTCCTATCCGGTGTTAGGGCGGCCGATCGACCACTCGCATCCAATTTATTCAAATCGTGCCCGTCCCGGCTACGCAGCGACTTTAAGAACACTTACTTAAATCATGACAATCATCGATGTCCAGTGACTCCCAGTGACTTCGATCTACTACCTCGACGAATGATCCGCTTTGCACGACATGATCACGACAGCCTTTTGACAATAGCGACAACCCTGTGATACCATCAAGTTGCACGTATTTTAATCGCTGACGGCGATGTCTTGTATGCGGTTGTAATCTCGATGTCTGTCAGTGGACGTACAACTCGAACAATATGGACCACTTCATAGCTTGATGCCTGTCACTGTGACACTCGATCTTATTGGCCTTGGACGTCATCTTCATAAGGATTCCCTATGCGCAATTATCCTGCCATTCATTCTGTTTCACGAGGAAGTACTGGCTAGTGACTGTTTAGCCCAGAGCGTACCTCTGTCTCGTCGATACTTCTCACGCAGCAAAGTCATGCCAGCACCGTTATATAACTACATGATTCATGTCTGATTGATAGTTTTCGCTTTGATTGATCATTCTCAAATCCTATGTAGCAAAGAATGTAAATCAAGACCACATCTGTCACGTCGCATAGCCATGATCGGGAAGCATACATGTATGTATATTGGTCCTATCCGTCCGCATAGAGCTCTACTTCCGGTTTCTCAAGCGTAAAATCAAAACAGTCCACAAGGAATATTAAGAAAAATGGTACACTTCATGCGCAATAGTCAACGTAGGGTATGCGAGATAAGTTAAAAAAAAAAAGAACACTGAATCCATGCAGCAAATGAAAGAGTATGTACGTGCGCAGATAAACGATGCAAGACAGTATCAAAATGAAGTCCAGTGCAATGCTCAAACCCCAACAAACCTTTACAAGCCCTCAGTCCACCGACAAGGATAAATACAGATCGCTACCATGCCAGCGCGCCCGCAACTCCCACGGCGAGCAGCATCAAACCCAACGGGACGTGCGCCATCAACGGCACCGCAGCACTGGTTTTCTCCTGCAACGTCGATACATAGTTGCTCCCACATGCTTTGTTCGCAAGCACCGCCGCGTTTTCGTAATTATCCCGCATGCCCGTAATGTTCAAACCCTCGTTCAAATACAGGGCCATCACGTTCTGCGTGCAATTGCCGCAGCTAAACGTCGTCGAGTTTGGGATCGGCGAGCCAAGGGGGAGCTGGTACAAGTACAAGTCGTCCACGTGCGTGTCGCTCACCGCATCGAGGTAGCAGTACGCTTCCGAAGTTGCATTCGCGAAGCAGGCGACTTCGCGCATAAGCGTGTATGCTTGCAGACCTACGATAAATGAACATTGCGGATGAGATATGGGGCTTCATATGAGTGAGGAGGTAAGGACTCACCGATAAGAGTGCTCGTGGCCGTTTCGACGTTGGCCTTCAGGTCAGTCGCACACACGGTTTGCAGCTCCTCTGCGAACCATGCCATGTTCGCGGAGCATTGCTCTGCATTTGGCTCCGTGTTGCATGTACCCCACACGATCGTGTTGACAAGCGTTAGATTAGTCGTTGCCTATGATTAACATGAACACAAGCAATCAGTACAAGCTCTGTAATTGGAATACTTTTGTTGAGAGGAGGGAAGTGGACGTAAAAATCATCAATGGCACCACAAGAGGCTCCTGATTGATGAATGCCAAGCCTGAGGTGGGCAATTCAACATCCCCTTCGCTGGCAGGTTCTCGAAAATTAAGATGACACAGAACTGAGCAATCACACGATCATGATCCGCACTCTCGACATATCGAGAACGCGCATCTCGAAGTGGCCGAAAAGCAATATACATATTGCAAATATTCGGCAAGAAGCAAGACGTCATGCCATACATTGACGAAAATGACCGACCTCGTAAAATGCCGTCGAAGCTTGCAGGAGCAAAGAGAAAGGCCTGCAATCGCGGAACGCCGACGCCTCTGTCATATTCAGGAAGAACTCGTAGCATCCTTCGGTCGAGAAATTCTTGGAGAGCGTCGTGTCGAGTGGTTGCGGGAAGGGCGTCGGGAGCACTGGGTCGGACGAGGGAATGGTTGGGATTCCCGAACTCTCCGCGCTCGCTGATGGTGCCGGTTCAGATCCGCTTGGCGCTGTCACTGTCGTAGACGATGTGGACGCTGGAATGAAAATGCCTTTTAGAGATTCCGTTGTGCTACTAGGCGCATACGAGGCATCGCTGAGTGTGGCGTTCGCTATAGTGTCAGAGTCTCGTCGATCATGCCGATGTGTCCGCCAGTTTCTCAAAGCTGACGCAACTGTCTGCCAGTCCTGCGGAGGTGAGTCTGGTGAGAACAAGTCGAGCACAGGTGGATGCGATAGAGAGCGTGTGGAGAGCGTGATGAGAACCAGTGCTATCGGAACGAGCAGGATCGACCAACGTATCCGGCACGCAATCCAGTGCTTTCTCGCGAGACCCAGCAGAAATTTTTCCTGCAGCGAGGGTGGGTGGTGCATGGGGGAGGAAGAGGGCGAGGATGTCGGCACCGACGAGGAAGGAGAACAAGACCGCGAAGTTGACGTAGACGGGGAGCCTGACCGCGAGATTGGAAGCAGTGCATCAGGGTGGTGGCCTGCATTTTCTCCTGGCATGGGCGCGCTTGAGAGATACGGAGAAGGCGGGGGCGTGAACATCCCAGCAGCTGGTGAGCTCATTCGGCAGTGCCACGACAGCAAAAGGAAAGGAATGTGATGCGAAACGAGTGGAAAGCAGTGCGGAGAGGTCCGCTGATGCACGAACGAGCGAGCGCCTGAAGGAGGACCTGGTCAACTATGATGAGCCGGAAGGATTTTATAAATCTGCAAAGGAGGGAGAAGCATGACCAGGGAAAAGAGAAGGGGGAGGAATATTCGGTGGGATGCATGCACCCGGGAATCATCGTATTTAGAGGCAATGCATGGGATACTCACTAGCGTAAGAAGGGGACGGCAGAGAGCGCTGCGGCGTTTTGATGCACGCGTCGCAGCAGGCAGCACACGGTTCAGCGCCGCGACATGCGAGAAAGTAGCCAGGACAAGGCTGGCCACGCTTCCCGCCCAATTTCTCATGATCAAGGTACCGCACTCAGGTTGGGCGCCGAGCGAGGGTCTCGAACCTGCATGTCAGTACTTGTCCGATGGTTCCGGTCCATTTGTTTTTCCTCGAAACCACCGCCGGGTACCTAGCTGGGCGCCTATCATGCCCGGCGCAAGCTGCAGATCATCCGTCGCCTGGTAACGCTTTAAATGGGGCTGCATCGACACTCGACGCCAATCCGATGCGGTCGGCAGATGTGAAGGAGAATGGTGAAGTCAAGTGTGAAATCAAAATGCATAAAGTACCTTTCTCTCAATGTCTGACTTCATTGCTTCATTTTTTTGAGCTTTATGAAAAATATGTATGTAAGGGACTGACAACCATATCTAGCATCCACGGCCATAGGACTCTGAAAGCACCGCATCCCGTCCGATCTGCGCAGTTAACCAGAGTGCCGCACAGTTAGTACCATGGTGGGGGACCACACGGGAATCCTGGGTGCTGTGGTTTTTGGGATTTTAACTCATTTGTCTATTTTTGAAGCCGCATAACCATGCAGTCACCCTTTTCATCAACCCCCCCAACACAGCGGATCATGGCTTTTGCCTGTGGAGATTTGCTTATGAGCAGAACAGGCTGTATGCCCTGTGCTGGAAGATCACTTTTGATTTGAGATGGAGAACCTACCTATCCTAGAGATCTCTATAAGGTATCTATATGTATAGCAAAGAAAGTACCGATTCTTTTTCTAGCCAGGAAAGGTATTAAAATTTAACTGAGCAATGCAGCCTTTTCCGTCAAGCGAGAAAAGGGCCTATTTTGTACCTTTCCTGGGCATTAATTTGCATCAAAGTACCTTTATTGATGCACAAATGCTGCGCCAGAAGAAAAGTCAAAGAAACATTTTCACACCTTTCTCCCTATAGGAATTGGTACTTTCTTTGCAGTATACATATGTTTCCTTTTGAATATACATGTCACGTTTTAGGGTTAATAATCTATATGGCCAACATGTATACAGACTAGAGCAAGTGAATAGAGCAGAGTTCCTTCTGCAGATCAGACCTCTCCATCACTAAAAGCCATCAGCCTCCTAGCTGTGCTTGCAACATCTCGTTCAACTTTGTTATTTGAAGAAAGATCAATGAGCCACAGGCTTACGTGACTATGTGTAATAGCACTTCGATTGGTCACAGTCACGTCACAGCTCTGCAGAGGGGAACGGCCGGCAGCTTCGCCAACTGCATTTTCTTTGACGACAACTACAACTCAACCGCCTCTCGCTCTGCCTCACCCATCAAACTCTCGCGCTTGGGCGTTATTCGATCTTATAACGTCCGCAGACGCCTCAACCCAACAGCTTGACATCAACGCACCAGTCTATACGCCTCGCAAGTGCTTATAGAATCCTATTGCTTTACTGCACGCATCACATATCTCCCCTGCTTCACAATGTCTCAACAAGCACGCCCTTCCTCCTCTACCCCATCTTCGTGAGTATTTCGATTGCAGGTTAGTACCGTTATCGCTGACGCAAGTTCCTAACCGAAGCGACGCCTGGAAGTCCGGTCTGCGCCCACCACCAAAGGACGACCGCCCGCAGACCGAGGATGTGACTGCTACAAAGGGGATTGAGTGGGATGACATGCATCTCCGCCGCGACCTACTCATGGGCATCTTCGAAGCCGGATTCGAGCGGCCCTCCCCCATTCAGGAAGAAGCAATACCCATCGCCCTCACCAAGCGCGACATCCTCGCACGCGCAAAGAACGGCACAGGCAAGACTGCCGCCTTCGTTATCCCCGCCCTGCAGCAGGTCGATATCAACAAAAACAAGATACAGGCGCTGTTGCTCGTGCCGACACGCGAGCTGGCACTACAGACGTCGCAGGTGTGCAAAATCCTCGGAAAGCACATGGGCGTGCAGGTCATGGTCACGACAGGCGGCACGACGCTCAAGGACGATATCATTCGTCTTTCTGAAACCGTGCATGTGCTCGTCGGCACGCCGGGTCGCATCCTCGATTTGTCCGGCAAGAACGTTGCGGATCTTAGTGAATGTCCGGTGTTTGTCATGGACGAGGCCGACAAGCTGCTCTCGCCGGAGTTTGCTCCTGTGATGGAACAGTTGCTGTCGTTTATGCCATCGGACCGTCAGGTTATGTTGTTCAGTGCAACGTTCCCTATGATTGTAAAGGACTTCAAGGTAGCGTGAACTGTTTTTTTGTGTCTCAAAATATTCTCATACATCGCCTTTTAGGACAAGCACATGAACTCGCCATACGAGATCAACCTCATGGACGAACTCACTTTACGTGGAGTGACGCAGTATTATGCTTACGTGGAGGAACGGCAGAAGGTCCATTGTTTGAACACCCTGTTCTCCAAGGTTGGTTGTCTCTTCTGGCCATTTAAACACGTTCTAACTGCCTTGCAGCTTCAAATCAACCAATCTATCATCTTCTGTAATTCGACAAATCGAGTGGAGCTTCTCGCAAAGAAAGTGACAGAACTCGGCTACTCATGTTTCTATTCCCATGCGAAGATGCTTCAGTCGCACCGCAACCGTGTCTTCCACGACTTCCGCAACGGCGTCTGCCGCAACCTCGTCTGCTCCGACCTCCTCACCCGAGGTATCGACATTCAGGCCGTGAATGTCGTTATCAACTTCGACTTCCCGAAGAACTCGGAAACCTACCTCCACCGCATCGGCCGCTCCGGACGGTTCGGGCACCTGGGCCTTGCCATTAACCTTGTAACGTACGAGGACCGGTTCAATCTGTACAAGATCGAACAGGAGCTTGGCACAGAGATCCAACCCATTCCCCAATATATCGACAAGGGCTTGTACGTTGCACCTGGCGCCATTTCGGCCGAGGAGTCATCCAAGCAGCACAAGGGGAAGAATAGCCAGAGTCAGGCGCACACTCCTACACAGTCGATGCCTGCCCCTCAGCCCACGATACCAGCGCAGCTCGTCTACTCGAGCACTCAGCCGGCGAAACAGAATGGGACCACCACACCGCAGCCACAAGCTGCTCGTGCTGCGTATCAGGCACAGCCTGCTCACCGTGGTGCTGTTCCCGTTGCACGATGAGAGTCGGCATCTGTTGATGCTCGTGGTAGCTCCGTGGAGGTATGCTGCTGATGGTGATGCTGGCATCGTGAGGAGGTGTGGGGGGTGCGTCGAGGCGTTATAAAGCTCATCAAGACCAATCCACGAATCTGATTTCTATTCAATGCGCTCACAAGGTTTCACTGCTCTTGGACTGGCTATGTATGATATATTGGCTCGCAACCTCTGGGGACTGCATTGTCGACACTACGCATACCATGATATACACCTCCAGCTGTGCGCACTGTGCCATCTCTATCTTTTCTGGCCGTTTAACTAGTTTATCTCTCGTATAAGGCTGCATTTTTACTGCTCCTCTACTCTCATTTTTTGCCACTGTCCATGTTGTGGTAGACTGGATAACTGTGTCGATAGAATGGATGTCTGTGATTGGTCTTGTAACTCGTGTTGGTCATGATCGCAGCTCGGCAGTGTAAGCGTCCACATTAATGGCGACGTTTTACTTCCAAAATGTCTCATCTCTGCTTCATCCACGCTGCTTACGCCAAAAAGTCTCAATAATTCCTTCAGGTAGACAGAAGGCCTCGTGTTCTTGGATGCCGTCGGCTGCTAAGCAATTACACAAAGAGTTCGTTGCTGCAAGGGCGTAAACAATACCCGGCCACGTCCTACTCGCCTCCAGCTCCCATTGTCAGTGAGCTCTCCTTTTGTTAACACTGCACCGACAGCTTAAGTTCTAGTCATTCTGGCTTCGCGCAACTCCCATGTCCAACTACGCGTCGCACGGCAGCCTTTCGGTTTCTCCAAAGTCGCCAGTTTGTTCACGCACACGAGCGGGATTGACATGTCGAGGGGCGAATACTCTCGACTGCCGCTGTATGCGCTCTCCGAACCCACTCCGAACCCGCAATCACTATCCGAAGAACCTGGCTCGCCGCGCCAACACTTTGTGGACGATCCAGCACACTCAGCGCATCGCTGGCGGCGCATATGGTTCTCCGTGCGATATAATGCGCTGCGCCCGCGGACGCTTCTACTGCTGCTCAAGATAGCAGTGCCATGCGCGATACTGCTCGCCCTCAGCACTCTGCTCATCTGGGAGCCGCATGTAGAACTCGCATTTTATTCGCGCGATTGGATACAGAGCGAGATCGAGCCCGTGCTCCCGCTGGGCGGGTGCTTCAATGCGGATCGCATCTCCCCGCGGTACAACATCTCCAAGGCTATCTATGGTCCCAAGCACACTGAGGTGCACACCGGCATTCCGACACGGCTCGGGATGGATTGTTACGACTTTGCGGGAACGATAAACGATGAAGCGGTGGAAGCGGCGCGTGCGCCTGCCAGCGGGGAGGGGGATACGCGCACAGTGTTCCACACGTACTGGCGCACAGATCTTGCGATGTTTGGTCAGCGGCAGGAGTGGTTGCTCAAGTCGTACTTTGCAACACAGGATTTGACCGCGACGCGTCTCGTTCTGTGGTCAAATGGAGACCTCACGGGCAACTCTATACTGAAGAAGTGGTTGAGACGCTACCCGGACGCATTTGAACTTAGAGTCGTGGACTATAACGAGCTCGCGACGGACACAGAGTTGGAGGGCAGTTCGTTACTTGATGCGAAGGACTCACGGGCATGGATCGACGGAGACCTTGTCCGGTTGCTCGTTCTATGGGCATATGGAGGCGTATGGGTGGACATGGACTCGCTGCTCACGCGGGACCTTGCACCATTGCTCGAGCACGAGTTTGTCACACAATGGGACTGCTATGGTACGTGTCATCAAGAACGGACTTGCTATCTCATGTTTATTCTCACAATAGACAAGGCCTACTTTCCCTTCAACGGCGCGCTCATGCGCTTCCGACAACACTCACCCTACCTATGCGAGGCTTTCCACATCATGGCCACATCACAACCTCCCCGAACGGGTTCCACCGACTGGGGCGCACTGCTCTACGTCAAGCTCTGGCGGCGACTCGTCGCTGCGTCAATCCCGCCGTTCAAGATCCTGCCGTGGTGCTTTACCGATGGGCGCTCATGCCGGCTTGACAACCGTCTACCAGATGCGTTCGTGGCAGACCCAAAGAATGGGAAGTGGACGATGGGGCTCGGGCGCGAGGTGGGCGGCGGGCTCGACAAGGCGCTTAGCCGAGTGTTCTCGGTGCACCTGCACAACCAGTGGGAGAAGGCCTTCCCCGCAGGCGGGTGGGTCGAACGACTGCTTCTGAAGCGTTACGATGAGAAGCTGGCACTGAAACGGGACTCCGGGGATCTATAAGGGTGAGAACTGGGACACTGGATGCACATACTTATGCGCTATGTACATATACCGGGATAATGTCATCGAAAACTCCCGCCGGGATGGAATGCTAAATAACAATCATAGGTCTGGCATGCGTCGCACTGCTTTGCCCTCGTTCCGCGCATGTTTCCGCAGTTTCTCCAGCAGCTCCGAGTTGGTCCACCGCTCGGGTGGTATGCGCTTGTCCGTCGCCCAGTAGTAGATGTCCCAATCGGGCTCGTCCATCAGCTTTTCATCGAGTACAGTTCAGCCTAACTCCTCTTGCAAGAAAGGAGCGTGCTCAAGAATACCTTGTCAAACTCCTCTAGCTCGGGCTTGTTCATCTTGCTCAACTCTTCCTTCGCGAACGTGCTCAGAAGCAGGTCACTCTCGAGCGTGCCCCGTTTACGTGCCTGATACGTGAGTCGTGCGCGCATCGTCTCGAGCGACTCGCCCGGACGCGGCAGCGGCTTCGGCGGGGGAATGTCCTTCGGTGTCTCTGTAGATGCTAGGTGCTCGGGCGTATTGGGAAGCAGCCAAGGGTCGGCCGCACGCCGTGCGCTTGTCGAGAATAGGCGTTGGAGGAGCGCACGGCGGCACTGCGAGATGACGGGTATAACGACGGACATGGCTGGCTCAATACGAATTGTTGCAAGGCGGAGCAAGTCTAAGCGCTGGTCCAAGCCGTTCATCTTAGGCGCCCATAGCTCGATCGTGAGAAAGGTGTGAAAGTTAGTGCTTTTTCCTTTGATTTCCCTTTTTTATAGGCGGTTTTGCGCAGATTACAGTAATGCCCATAAAAGGTGCGTTTGAACGGACCGTTTTTCAAAAATTGCTGGCTTATTCTGTCAATTCTAATTTCTGCAATGATACTTTTTCGCAGTCAAGCGACCACACCGTTCGCTGACGGCAAGCAACGGTTGTACCTTTTGTTCTCACTCGCGAGCTCTTGCGCACTGCCACATCGTTTTCATCGCCTAGTAGACCCATCTACCTAGATCATGGAACGCGTCGAGAAAGAAGGAAGTTGAGCAGAAGATGCATGCAAGTTGCACCTCACAGACCTTGACGCGTTCTGTCTGACGTCCACATCGCCGTCGCGGAAGCTAAGCCCGTCTTCATACGTGCTGGCCCCTGCCAACCCTGTGCACGGTAAGCATGCGCGTCCTAAATTCGTATGCTCGTGGTGACCTGAGAGTCAGATTGGAGGAAGTGTAATTGTCCGCGACACCGCAACGAGTGGGATAACGGCACGACAAGACAACTAGACGAGAAAAGGTACAGACACGCCAGAGGAAGAAAAGAAAACTTGCGGTGGTGATTTCGAATGCAACTATATGCGACGATATCAGATACCACGCGTAAACGCAGTGTCGGGATCCACTTTCTTGGTCAAGCGCATTCCATCCCCCAAATTTGGGGAGAGGAAGTTAGAGCATGTATGTTCAATTATATTTTGCATGATGACACTACCGTTACTTACTTCGTCATCTTGGCTATAAGTAAACAAGGCATGTCGGTTTTGCATGCTCATCGGACATGGAGTTTGCCAAATTGGTCAAGAACTGGGAAGAGTCCCGCGGCTCCATCGAAAACAATTCTATGATAGCGCGTGCGTGCATATTTGCTTGTTCAACAGATACTGAACTCAGTGACTGATTACCCAGTGGAGAAAAGAATCTCCATCGTTGACGGTATGTCTGTCAAGCCATGGACAGAGACGTTGTCTAACTCGACAAACGGCGTTTGACGCCGTGGTCGCCAGTTGTGCGGGGTCAATGACGTTGTGTTAGTGGGAGATACGCATCTCGTTCGCTTTGCGGATCACTGCACAACAAGGTGCAACATCGTGACTGCCAAGTTGGTTAGGAATTGTCGACACGATGCTAGGACGGGGAAGAACACACCTGTACACGAGTGGCTCAGCACGGTCCTCAGCCCGCGAAGGCGCTGATTTTTTGTAATCGTAGCTGTTGAACCGGAAGAGCACCAGGCCCGCGTGCTACATAAATGGGGAACATCGTCGTTCTGACACTCAGAATCTGAGAGTGAGAAAACAGTACTCTTATTTAAACGTAGTGTACGGTTGCCTATTTTCACAGTGAAAGAGCAGAGAGCAAGAGAAGGGAGGCTAGCAAGCTTGAGTACAACGGGAACAAGGTGGAGAAAGGAGTGATGATTGAAGGACGGCTGGCTGGGTGGCTGGCGCACGAGTGAAGTGAAGGTTGGAAAGTAGTGGAAGGGAACACGAGACGGACGTCGACACCTGCTGCGAAAGGGTGAAGAGAGAATTCTATCAGGATATTAGAATACTGTCCGCAGGCAGAATGAGAGAAGCGTGAATGAGTGCAGAGTACAGGCGGGGAGATGGAACGCTAACGTCAACAAATCATACAGGTTGGGAACATGGAATAGTGCGGAAAGGAGACAACGCTTTTGCGGTAGACATAACGTATGTAGTGATGCTATGCAGTCGAGCCCAAGGGCATGCGTGCTGGAATCTGTCGTCGTTTTGAATCGCCGTCTTCCTCCCCTCTGTCCGTCTGTCCGTCCGTGCGTCTGGACTGCCTACTCACTCCCGCCCGCCGTCCGGTCGCCGCTAGCCCTATAACCGATACTCCTTGCCGAGCAAATTCAGCGTTCCATGCCGCATTATCGCCAAGCTTCCGTCGCGTGTCCTCCACAACCACAACCGCATCGACACTGCGCCCACAATCGCAGCAGTGCCCGATATAACCGAGAATGAACCAAAGAGGGACGAGGAAAGGAAAAGAACGTAGGCGTGTGACAGACAAAAGGAGGAGTGTACTGACGCGTGAAGCCAGCCTCCGCTCAGCCCATCTTGCTCGCGTCCTTCTTCTTCTGTTTGCGCGGCGGTGTCACCGGTCGCCCCATGTTTGCTCCTCCGTACGGATATTTCGCCTTTTTTTCCGCGGGCTTCAATATCTACAGCAAAAGATTAGCAGCTGCCGTATTAAACGATGAGAGCGGGTGACGAACTTGGAAGGAACACAGCAGTGTCTCGTCTACGCTCATCATCGCCCCCGCGTTGTCGAATTCACCGCAGTAGTTGGGCGCGGAGAAGAGCGTCACCAGGTGTCGCTTCGCGAAGAACTCGTATCCATCTTCGACGACCTATTTAGTAGAGATACATGAATTCCCATGCCAGGTCCCACGAGCGACATACGGACCTGATGTGCTCGACAGATCAGGTCCATGTCGTGCTTCTGCAGGAATCTGGACACGACGTCTGGCCCGAACGTAAACGACACTCCTCGGTCGTTTTCTGACCAACCCGTTATGTCCTTGTCCGGGTCCGACCATAGCAAGTCGCAGAGCAGCCCTGGTCGCGGTCCATGAGCGTCGTGCGTCCCATCCTACTATCACCGCTCGCTTACCAGTATCAGGCACGTCGGTTGGTCTCATCACCCGGCGGATCTGCTCCATCGACTGCAGATCTGGAGATAGGCCGCCATGCATCGTGAATATCTTCTCGTCAATGATGGCCGCGATCGGTAGGCAGTTGAAGCAGTCGGTGAACGTCTTCCACAGCTTGATGTTGTAACGACGTTTGCCTGGCCCATCGCATTATTCAGCCACTGCAGATCGCACAAAGACGACGGGACGTACATTCGTCGTAAAAGCCATAAATCCTGTTAATGCTCGCGCACTCATGGTTCCCTCGGAGGACGAAAAAGTTCTCGGGATACTTGATCTTGTACGCGAGGAGGAGGCAAATTGTCTCCAATGACTGCTTGCCACGGTCGACGTAATCTCCGAGAAAGAGGTAATTGGCTTCTGGCGGAAACCCGCCGTATTCGAAAAGCCTCAGAAGATCGTAGTACTGTCCATGAATGTCGCCTGATAATGCATGCAAAGCTGGTAGTCAAGCGGATGGATGGAGAAACGATGCGAGGAGAGACGCACCACATATCTTGATGGGAGCCTCTAGCTCGAGGAGTATGGGCTGGTTGATGAAAATTTCGCGGGCTTTTGTGCAAAGATACTTGATCTCGTACTCCTGGAGCTGCACGGGCTTGCCTGGACGGTTTCCGCGGACTGGGTGGGCACGCGCGTTCGGTGAGAGAGGCCGAGCGGATGGGTCAGCGAGGGCGAACTCACCTTCCAAAAGCCTATCAATGACCGAGTCGAGGTCTATCTCTGTTGCAGAGTCTGCCATGGCTTGGGATTGTCAGGTTTGTCAGGCGTAGTCGTGGAATCGGTCGTAAGCGAGACGTTGCTGGCCGTGAAAGATGGGTTGCGTTTTGAGGCGTGTGAGACAAAAGCGGTGTCAAACGGCAAGTTTCTAATAACACAAAGCAAGCGCCTCGCTGCAAATGTCTGCGTGAAGAGCAGCGTCGAGCGCAGCCGGCGGCGAAATTTGAGGTTGAGCGTACAGATAACAGGCGTCGGATGATGTGTGCTGCTGCCTGCGCCACCGCCCTCGGGCGGAGTCGCAGCGGGGTTTGAACGCTTTTTCCTCCAATTCTAGGCCACAACATGCTCGCTGTCTACATATTCCGAGCCTCCGTTCACGCGTGCTCATCGTCTCGCACGATGCCAGCGCAATGCGGCAGCGGCGAGTTCTTTTCGCAACTTCGCACACCGCGTCGTCAAGCACTCTGACTCGCTTGTCGATGCATCACTGCGCTTGTAATGGTATTGGCCAGAAACCGTCGGGCATCAAATACCTCCAGCACAATCGATCCCCTACTCTTGCTCTATTGGGCCATCTTTCGTCGCTTATGGGTCCAGCCCGTCTGTGCCAACTGAAGCTGGTAGAAGCTGATGGGTCTCGTCAGGTTTCCAACCAGGTGCACAGGAAGAGCGTGCGCAAGGGTATCCAATTCACGGCTATGGTCGTCGGTGGGTCTCGTCCTTTGTCCACGCAGCAGCTGCGTGTGGCTACAACATCGACCGCGAAAGCTTCTAGTCAAGGTGTCGTCATTCTATGCCGCAGTACTCACGACCAATGCTGCCGATAGCCATCTAGAGCAGGTCTAATACGGTATGTGTGGAGACCGAGCAGTGACGCAGGTGAATGTTCGTAACGGGTCGGAAAGACAACCACGCTGGGCCCTCCTTGTCATGTTGCGTGACAGCGCTAAGCTACCGCTTACTCGTTCGTCGATAATGCAGCGTGACCACGCTTTGCTACCCATCCTCTGTTTCCAAGCAGTTGGGAAGACGTTCGGAACGCAACTGAGCTCATAACTATTTCAAAATGATTAGAAAATCAATGTATGCTTTCAAAGCTTCAGAAGTGCGGCACGCTCACGGGCCTCTTGTCGCGAACCGCACGGATCGTTGGCATTGGCACGATTGTATGACACCGGTCAACAACCTACCGACTCTTAAAAGTTTGCAGAGGGGACAAGCCTGGTTCACATGGACATATTCTGCGGTGGTTTGCCGATACATAGCCATTGAACATTGTATTATCTTATGCTGGCTAGACCTACCCTCCAGTGCAATATTTGGTTGTGCAGCACATTTGATCCTCGGAGCCGAATAAATGCCATCGCAGAATGTGTATACTGCATTGCATTTACTCCATAGTCTCAGCGGCATCGGATGAGTGTCGGATTGAGCTGCAGGTGCGGAAGAAAGGCGAGATGAAGAAGCTTAGATAGCGTCCAACAACAGAGTAGCAATAGAGTGGCTCACAAAGGCTGAGATCATTCTCGCCTAATGGCTTCATCGAGAAAATAGACGGTTTCCTTTAACACAGAAAAACGCTCTGTATGCGTAGTCCGTCGTCAAGATGCGTCGTGTCCTTGAATCTATTATTGAATCAATAGATACGTGCCGCTGATATCTCCCTACGCGGAGACTGGCACTGCATCCTTTAACGTAGTGTGTTTGCCTGTGAATATGGATAGCAACAGCGTATAGATGCGCCTCGACAGGCTTTTCAGAACCAGTTCCCATCGAAGAACTTCCTGAATCTCTCCCGCATCGACAACCGCATCTCCTCATTCTCCTTCCGCCTCTTCTCCTTCTCGCTCGCCTTCTCTGCTGCAAGCTCTTCTGCGGTCTTCATCGCCGCCGCCGGCAGCGGAGAGCGCGCATTCCTGCGCGCCTGTTCGAGTATTTGCTCGCGTTTCGACAACTTCCGCACGGAGGGCGCTTCCGGAGTGGGGGAACTGTGCAAAGGTGCCTCTTCGCTGGCGGAGTCAGCAAATGCAGTCGAAGCTGACGACTCGGATGGTGATGAACCAAGAGGAACCCAGGATGGAGGCAAGGCTGCCTCTGACTCCGCCTGCGCAGAAGACGCCTCAGTGATCTGCACTTCTTCGGCTATCGTGACGTCGACTTGACCCTCGGCAACCTGCTGGTCCTTGTCTCTGTGTTGCGGCGGCGGCGGCCCTAGCTGTCGCTTGTTACGCAGGTAGTTCCCGATGCCCTTCTGCATATACTGAGATGGGTGCGCGTGTCGCGACTCGGGTGCATCTGTCCTGGGGGCGCGGTAGAATCCGCCCCACCTGTAAAACGCGTCCAAGAAAGGACTGATAGTATTCCCCGGTACATGCACTCGTACAGGGCGGGTGCTCACTAAGACAGAACGTGTAGAGGAATATCACACAGTGCTCTCAGGAAGAATGTGCAGAACGCACCTGCACGCTCTATCCGGAGATCAATCGTCCGCCTTGAGGGGTCCTTAGGTTTGTCCTTGGCCGCCAACTTTTCAATCTGCTCGTGCAGGCTGACGTAGTCCTGAGAGCGCAGCAGTCCGTCGAGGTCATCCAGCCCGACGCCACCTGGACGCGCGGGGTCGACGATAGGCACGTCGACCTTGAGGATGGCTGGGCCCCATGGAATGCGCTCTTCGGACGCGAGGTCGTGGAAGTGCACCCAGAAGAAAGGTACATAATGAGTGGGGAGTTCGTAGTCCTTAAATGGTCGAGCAGTCCGTTGGAAGATGTACGGCTATCATGCATAAAGACACTCACGCGACCAACGTTATACTCCCGTATCCGTCCGTACTTGCGCTCGAGAGCGCGAATGATGGCGAATAGTTCTGGCATTGATTGAATGCCATCCCATGCTCGGATGAAGAGAGCCGGTCCTTTCGGTATCCCTTCGAAAGAATTTTCGACACCAACCGCTTGGGCAGACGACGTTGGCTCCGACACAGCGGATTGCAATGCAAGCCGTCTTCTACCGCATTCTCGCCAGACAGTAGAAGCAACTGGTGGACGTGTAAGAGAGGTTGCAAGCCTGAGGTCAGCCCGCAACATGCCGATGCGGGTTTTGGCAGACTTTTCAAAGCCGACTGACTTTCGCCGAGGAGAATGCACAGTGTGCAGAAGATCGAATTGGATCGAGATTCGATTTCAGCGTTGATCACGTGGTTGTCAAACCCAAATTATGGCCAGGTTCCGCATCGCGCATGTACTATATGTACAAGTTCATGTACTCTTTTCTTTCTGATTGTGTGCGGGCTTATCCGTCAAACAATGCTGGAAGACGGTAATTCGCCGGAGTTAGCTGAAATCACAGTTTCCTACCGCTTCAGAAGTCCCGCCGGGTCCGCACAAATGTAGTGTCCAGTCGATTTAAATTGAGATGTCAAGTGACTGGAAGTTAAGTTCGTGTGTATGGGCCTCGAAAGCGGTCTCATCACAACTCTGACTTCTGTGGTGCTATAGAACAACTGTTCAGAAAGTCGGAGCGAAGATGAGACAGCACTGGCAGCACAATCATAATTGCGCAAAGTATCAAGTATTTCAAAACCTTGGCAAGAAGTGACGGCATAGTCCTGCGTAGTAAGTTCAAGGTTCTTAAGTGCTATTCTCTCTATAAGCATGCCGGCAACTTTCTGTTCAGTGTTCATACTAAATCATACATGTTTGAGGATACTGCATAATCACATCTGTCGACGAGATCATGCATTAGAGCTGGTGCATCTAATTCATGGACCTCACCTTACTCTGTAAATGTTTCAACATTTTCTCTTGCCTCCAATCAGATATCCTTCACAGCTGCTATTAGGTCTGTTCCGTACCCCAATGTTAAGTTCAGGCTGAACATACATTTTAGCATTCGACATCTGGATGAGCTGCATCGGATAAACGTTTAGCGTCATAGAACTCGACAACACAGGGCAGCAATAAAGACGACATTACTCGCAGAATCCAGCCAAAGAGGTTACTTGCACAGGAATGTAGCCCCGCGTTCAGCTTGTCCCGCCGTTTTATTTCCTTGAGGATTCTTACAACAATATACAACCAGCCGTTCAAACACAACCGCTCATTTGCACTCCCGGCTAATTCTCTCTGGCCCAAATCCGGTTTGCTGGCTGAACGTCCATATTTTAAATTGAGCCTATCCGTTCCACCCACACAATCAATTCAAATTACGCATCCCTTCAGATGACAGAGGCTTTCGTTTGTGCGTTCGAGTAACCGTACTGCTCCTTCAAATTCCAACAACATCTGTCGATGGTATTCAGCGTTCAGCGCTCAGCATCGGTACAAGAAACCACTGCTGCTCACCTCCAACAAAATAACAAGACGCCTAACTTTACAGTACTTCACCAGAATCGCCCCGAAAACTAAATGGATAATTGACGCCTTGTGGGAACAGTAGAGGCGTGGAAAGGAATCCAGGCTAATCGCAGGTAATAGAAGTGAGATAGAGCGATTTGTCCGAAACTCAATTGAAGGGGAAAGTGTCCATGGGGTGCGACTCATAGTAGCCCACCCTACAAACCACGCGTGCGATCCATCTCCCTGCATCGATCCATCAGCCCACCCCACCTTGGATGATCTCCCCATCCACGAGCAAAATTGAGCGCCGCGAGGAACATCTGTCTCACGCACTTATCGAATCCAATCCCGCCGTTGCCCGTAGCAAGGTCCGTCATGAGGACCCTCTTGATCGGCTCTGCTCCGTTCGGTCTCTCGCCTTCGTTCCACTGCCAGAGCGCGGTGAGGAGGTTCCACATGCTGTCGTAGACGAGATCGATGTGCCAGCTGACGTCCTCTGGAGTGCGCATAGTTGAAACGACGGCGAGGACCTTGCATCGAGCGTGCACGAGGCAGGAGGGAGGTAACCTCGATGTCGGCTTTTGAGTACGTCCTGCACGGCGTTGGTAAGAGTCCAGATGTCTTTGTCCACAGAGAAAATTCGGGAGAGCGCCATGTCATACTTGCGGCATATAATTCAGCTGTTTTGTTTGAACACAAGGGCCGTGAACACCACTCACTCACCCTCCATCCATGATCCGAACGCATTCGCAGGCGACACCAAACATTCGAAGGTCCCAAACTCCTGTGCAAGCGCCGCGGGATCTAACTTTGCCTCTTTAACCTTAAAGCGTGACGATACGGGCTCCGGCAAGTCCTTGAGCGCGGCGAGCCAGGAGTCACAAAGCGAAGGTTGGGTCACCTTCGTACGGGGATTGGTGCGTGGAGAAGGAGCAATGAGGACAAATTCGGGCAAAACGGAAGCGTCAGGCTCCATGTCGTGATTAAGTCTTGAGCAAAATTGCTGTATGGCTAAGACACACAAGCTGGGTGGGATATATATATATATATATATATACCAGGATCAGGCGCTTAGGTCCTCAGATACATCAGTTCGGAATCGATCCGAATTCGCCGTATTTTTGGCATATCCACGATATTAGTATACAGAGCCGCTCAATTGCGAACGGCAACACAAAAGAGAACATCCTTAAACTAACCTGAACGTTTTGCAGCTGAAGTCTTCAGTGGGAACGTCACCGAACAGTAGCAAGCAAAACACACGAGTGAGCATAACAATGTTGAGCTTGGCAGACATAATTTGATAACCTTGGCTACAAATTCAACACAACTCTGTCAAATACGTACTTCACGTTTCTCGTCAACTACTAGACGGCACACAGTCATGCCTTGCTCGCCCGCTGGTGCTGTCCAGAAATGGCGATGACAGCCCACTCAACTGCATCGCGATGCCCAAACTGCTGCTCGTCGTGCCCTGACCGCTTCGTGATCGCTTCTGCGAGGTCAGGCTTGATGTGCAACTTGAGAAACGCGTCGCGCATCTCGGACACTGCTCCATGTACATGTCGAGGTCAGCGAGAGTGGCAATGGAACGAGTAAGTATGAAGTAAGCGTACGGTTGTACACATTCGTGAGAGACCCCAGGTTGATGTCCGCGTACCAATGATCTTCGATGAAACCGACCGGGTCCTTAATCATCCGTTCATGCTCACTCTTGTGCCGGGTGGCAAGCTCCTCCGCGTACGCCTCGGAAATGCCACAGGAAGTCAGCGCTGCGTGAGTCGGTCAATGTGGAAGTATTGAGCCTGCCAGCCGGTGGCCTACCCTTGACGGGTTCAGACGCCATGGTTGCTTTTCAGTGATGTCGCTAACGTCGCAATCGACGGGAAAGAGAAAGCGTGTCTTACGATGAGTGCGAAGGGGCAGTACTTGAAGGGGGTTCATTGGAGCGGACGGCTGTCCTATTGTATTAACGTTAGTAGATTACGTAAAGTAGCCGAAGAAGCGGTGTCTTCTAATGAGCCTGGAGTGTTTGGACTTGGAGTGTCTTTTGCCTAAGCCCAGAATGTTTTTCCGTTCCACTCTATAGAGCGGTCAAACCGTATCCCCATCACACCAAACTTCTCGAATATATCCTCAACATGCCAAACTTCTCAAACTCCACATCTGTGCACCGAAACATGCTTTTCCCTTTTTATTCTGCCAAATGAGTCTTTCCACACCATGCAGCTGCGCGTCATACATATATACAGAGTAAGTCTGTTAATCAGAATCAGCCTATTAGGTCTCCCCTCAATAAAACGAAATAAAGAAGAGAAAAAAAAAGGAAAGAAAGTCGCTTTAGGTTCATTGACGTGTTGAATGACCAACTACGGATGTTGGGAAGACAGCTGTTCAGCAGTCGTTCCGACACGTCCGCTCGAGGCTCGAATCTAGCTGGCAGTCTAGCTGGCAATCAGTGTACCCGTGACCACATTCAATTCAATACAAACCTTACGGGACTTCTTGATGAAGACGAGCGGGTCACTTGGCACACTTTGCTAGTCCACGCTCCCCACTGTAGCGGCGGAAGAGGGCCTTACGAAAACACACTATCACTTCTCCTTGATGGAACACGGAAACACTCTGCCAAACAAAGAAGCGCTTCTATGTTTCCCTAATATCAGCGTTTTGCGATATATGTTCCATAGGAATCACTCCTGGTGCGCAGCACTACCATGACCGAGTACGATCCCCACAAGACTACGCGGGAGGAGCTGGTCGAGCGCAAGGCCCCTGCAACACCCACCTTCTACCTCCACCACGGCACAGATGTCTCGTCGGGCATAGAGATCCACGCCGACGGGCTCAAGCTTATCACGGGCAGGTTCCATGACTTCGCTGTGGGTCCAAACACCGCCTTCAACATTTTTTCATGTGAAGGATGATGAAAACATTGAAGGGAGATTAGATAAACTATTAATAATCATTTTATCTCACCACCTCGCGCGATCTCGCCATCCGGTACGCGAGGGAGCGTGCCGCTACGACGAAAGAAAAAACTGGCGCATTGGTGGCCGTCACCTTGTCGCGGGAGGCCGTGAAACTGTATGAATTCGACGGCAATGACATTAAGGCTGAAGTTGAGAAGTGGAAGGAGGTGAGTACCAAAAAGTTTCAAATGACTTGTAGAGGAATGTTGTATTGAAGAGACTGCTGAATTCCTAGTTGGTGAATCACAACCGCGACAGAAAGCGCAAGGATAAAGAACAGCACCCACTAGTCAAGACACACGACGTTATCGGAGGTTGGATCTCGACGGTCAGCAGAGAACGTGAGTCTAACGTATTGGCCCTACAGCCTGCATGCGATACTTGATGATTGATATGGGTCATTTGCACAGATGGCCGGATCCCTGTGGCATACGTCTCCGATGAATCAGGGAAACACCATTTCGATTGGCAGTACGTCGCCATCAGCGTGGCGGGACTTCACGCACTCTCCGACGTGCGTGTGGAATCGGTGTAACTTGCATAAGCGGGAGATGCTGACTGATACGCGATTCGCGAGTGACATTTCGCTTCCACTACCGACTAATGTGAAACCTGAGAAATGTTCCGCAGGAGTATTGACTCACAACTCCGAAAAATCATGAAGGTTCGAGAGAAGTGCTCACTGGCAAAAAAGAAATGTTCGTTGACATCCTCAGCTGTAGCCCGAGAAGTTGCATTCTGTTATGCAATTTCTGAGTAACACCACATTTATATTTTCCTCGTCCACGAGGCATCCCCAGCTTGGCTCTGTGCTCATTATTCGCTGTTCTGGAGCAAGACTCTGTAGTTGCCTGCTGTGCCATTCGTCGATCGTAGGCTACAGCTGCTTAAGACAAGCTTGAAGCCATTATTGTCATTGCTACGTGTTCAGCCAGTTTCTCACTGCATAACTTCGTCAGGGCTTCTTTGCTGAATGCTCTACGTATGGTACAAGGCCCGGAAGTCCTGCCTTACTTTTGGACCTCTTTCAAGTTGTGTCGCTAGTCGGGGCAGATTTTTATAACGTCCGGTGATCGAGAAACTCGTTGCGACTTCAAGCAATAGTCCATGCAAGACGTGATTGGCATGGGACTTATGTTTGTGATGGGATGAGGCGCAATCGGGTCGATTTAGAGTATCGGCAAGCTGCAGTCATTGTGGAATCAGCCTGCGCGGTGACGCCTACGAAACGTCCACCAAGGTCACCGGGACATCGTTATTTCGCAAAAGCATGAATGAATTGATCGTAACTCTACTGTGAGCGAGATGAACCTTTCAGCCACTTCGGCGCGCGACGGTATGTATGCGCCCCACGTGATCGCGTCGCGCCTATCATTGGTGACACGCGGCGTCAATGCACGCTCGTCCTCCCAATCACCTTGTCTTGCTGGCGGGAGCGACTGACACTGCAAGCATGCGGTTGTTCCACCTGCTAGTGCTACTCTGCTCCGTGCCAGCATCAATTGCAGTCAAGTCTTCAGATTTTAAGACATGTTCTCAGGCTGCATTCTGTCGACGAGGTCGTGCGTTAGCCGACAGAGCTGATGCAGCTAGCTCATGGACCTCACCTTACTCTGTCAATGCTTCAACTCTTTCTCTTGCCCCTGATCAGGCATCTTTCACAGCTGCTATCAAATCTGCTCTGTACCCCGATATCAAGTTCGGGCTGGATGTGCGGATTCACGACGATGGCGCCGTCAGAGTCCGTATGGACGAGGAAGACGGTCTGAGGAAGAGATACGACGGCGCGGCGTCTTGGGCACTGGTTTCTGAGCCCGCGATTAGCAAAAACATCAAGTGGTCAATTGGACCGACCGAGGCTCGTGCAAAGTACGGTGAGAACGGAGATGTCGAAGTCGTGGTGGCTTTCCAGCCTCTCAAGGTGACCTTACTGCGCGATGGCAAGGAGCAGGTTGTTCTCAATGGTCGCGGCCTCCTGCACATGGAACACTTCCGCAATAAGCAGGAAAGCGATGAGAATACCCCCGTTGATGCGCCGGTGGAGGATGGCCAAGTGGTCATGCAGGTCAATAACCGCGCTTGGTTCGAGGGTGATAGCGAAGACGGTTATTGGGAGGAGAAGTTCGGTACATGGACGGATTCCAAGCCTAAGGGCCCGGAGTCCTTATCTATCGACATCGCCTTTCCCAATCATGGTCATGTCTATGGCATTCCCCAGCACGCGACACGCCTCTCGCTCCCAACTACTCGTGGAGAGGAAGCGTACTATTCCGACCCCTACCGACTGTATAATACGGACGTATTTGAGTATCTCGCCGACTCGCCCATGTCGCTGTACGGGTCGATTCCAGTTATGCACGCCCATTCCGTGGACTCGACCGTCGCTATCTTCGATGCCGTAGCATCTGAGACCTGGATCGACGTCGCGCATCCGAGACCTGGCGCCACAGAGACCCACTGGATCTCCGAATCTGGCATCCTAGATATTTTCATCATGCCTGGACCAACGCCTGTAGACATTTTTACGCAATACACGAAGCTTACGGGGACGCCGTCGCTGCCTGCACTCTGGGCTCTTGGATATCATCAGTGCAGGTGGAACTACATCAGCTCGGACGATGTACGCCACGTGCAGAAGGGCTTCGACCAGGAGGACATGCCAGTTGATGTCTTCTGGCTAGACATAGAGTATGCCGAGGACCATAAGTACTTCATATGGGACAAGAGGACTTTCCCGGACCCGGTCGACATGACGCATGACGTCGAGGCCATCGGACGCAAGGTTAGTTACTCCAACTGCTGCAGAGTTACTTATCGATTTCTAATGGACGTTCACAGATGGTCGTCATTGTCGATCCTCACTTAAAACGAACGGCTGACTATCCAGTCTACGAGGAAGCCAAAGAACTCGGCGTGTTGGTAAAGTCGGCGAGCGGCGACAATGACTACGAAGGCTGGTGTTGGAGCGGGAGCAGCTCCTGGATTGACTTCTTCAACCCGAAAAGCTGGGGCTGGTGGAAGGGGGTTTTCAAGACGGTGTCGCAGAATGGGCATTGGAGCTGGACAGAGAGTACCGTCGACACATACATTTGGAACGACATGAACGAGGTGAGGGCGGCCTCGCTGTTTGGCTTCGAGGACACACGTTGACGATAGGACTATAGCCGTCTGTGTTCAACGGACCTGAGATCAGCATGCCGCGTGACAACATCCACTATGGCGGTTGGGAGCATCGTGACATTCACAACATCAACGGAATGCTCTTGGTACACTCTCATATATTCCACTACTTTTAAATTGGCTCACAGTTCAATGTGCAGCACAACATGACGTCGCAAGCCCTTATGGCACGCACGGATCCACCGAAGCGTCCCTTCGTCCTGACTCGCTCCTTTTACGCCGGTTCTCAGCGTTTCGGCGCGATGTGGACTGGTGACAACCTTGGCACATGGGAGCACATGGCGGCTGGTGTCCGTATGGTGCTTGCAAACAACATCGGCGGGTTCAGCTTTGCTGGGTGTACGTTGTGTGTTTGTTTCTACTGAAAATAGCTGACAATGACATACCTCTTCAGCCGATGTAGGAGGATTCTTCGGTAACCCGGAGCCAGAGATGCTGGTGCGCTGGTACGAAGTTGGGATCTTCTCGCCGTTCTTCCGGGCGCATGCGCACATCGACACGAAGCGTCGCGAACCGTACCTCCTCGATGAGCCGTACAAGAGCATGATCCGTGGCCTCCTCCGCCTGCGATACAGCATGTTGCCCATGTGGTACACCGCCTTCCGAGAGACGAGCGTCACGGGTCTGCCTGTGTTGCGGCCGCACTACGTGGTATTCCCGCGGGACGAGTCCGGTCTCGCAATCGACGACCAGTTTTTCGTCGGGAGCTCTGGGCTGCTGGTGAAGCCTGTGACGGAGAAGGGCGTGACGGAGACCTCGATTTACCTCCCAGAGAACGAGGTGAGGACGCGATAATGCTAAATCGACGAGATACGTCCGGCGCTGATGTTGATCTGGCACAGGTGTACTACGACTACTACTCGCACGATGCATACAGGGGCACTTCCGCCGGCAAGGAGGTCGTTGTTCCTGCCGACCTAAGCAAGACTCCCCTCCTCGTCCATGGGGGTTCGATCATCCCTACGCGCGAGCGGCCAAGGAGATCCTCTCCACTCATGCACTACGACCCCTTCACTCTGCGGGTGGCCCTGAGCCAGGACGGTGCAGCGCGGGGCGAGCTTTACCTCGACGACGGTGTAACGTTCTCGCATCAGGATGGCAACTTCATCTGGCGAGAGTTCACGGCCGACAAGATCGACAGCACTGCAAAGAGCGTCCGAATCGTAAGTCGTGATCTGGCCACGGCTAGACCAGACGAAGCTGTTGATGGAGTGGCGTTGGCAAAATACGACGAGTCGAACGCGTTCACGAGGGACATAGTCGGCGTGCGGGTGGAGAGGATCGTCGTGCTCGGCTTGGCTGGAAAGCCTACGCGTGTTGAGGTAGCGGGCAGGAAGTTGTACTGGGAGTACGCGCCTGGTATCGCGGCGTCGGACAAAAGGGAAGGCGTGGCGAGTGTTCTGGTCATTAAAGACCCAGGCATGAGCATCGTCAGCGATTGGGAGCTTACCATCCAGGCTTGATAGACAGCAAGCTCCAAGTGTATACCAGATAGTTGAATACCATGTACTTTCCCTATGTCTGCATTGGACAGGGCGCAAACTTGTATCTGTACGGGTGCATGACCAGGCTACCGATCGTCCTACATCATTGCTCTTGGCCCGAGAGCTCCTGAATGCTTCAATTGAGCAGGGGAACGATTGTAATTCTCGGTCATCCGAGCAGGTGGCGCCCTTGGATATGACATTGCATTACACTATTAAAAAATAACCAAACAGATGTGCAAACAATAGGCTGGGCAAATGCGCCTGACAAGAAAGATGCGGGGTATGTTGCGTGTGTACCAATATGGGGGAGCAGCAAATTATCGCTGCACGAAGTATTGGGGAAGGGGAGGGGGGGAATAAGGGGCGAGGGACAATCCGGAGTAGGGATGAAAGCGTGAAATTTAGCATGTTGTCGTATACACATTAGCAAGCAAGCGACGTAGGCGTACAGGCATGAGAATACAACAGCTAATAATGCAAGTCGCAAAGCGGAAGGGAAGAAGGAAATTGGACCCATGATCAAGCGGTGGCCGTCGTTGTGGCGTTTTGCCCGGATTCGGACTGTAATGCAATGACGCGGGTGGCGCCGGTGGCGCCAGCTGCGGCAGCGCGTGCTCGTCTGCGACGACGTCTACGAACGAATACAAGTCAAGTCAGTTCTGCCATACGGAAGAAACAGGAACACGCACCGAGGAAAGATAGGTCCTTTAGGCATCGGCCGCTCGTCCAGGTCAAGCGCGACATTCGTCCCAGCCTGTATGCCCTGCATTTACACGCGACTTTGTATCAATCCTGCCACAGTGAAGGTCAGGACGCACCTCTATCCAATCAATGACAGCGGCCACGTCCTGCGCCTGCAACAAAAACTGCTCCCCCTCCACGCGCACTCGAATGACATTCTTTCGCTTCGTGTAATCGCTCGCCAGCCCGCTCTCTGCATGCTGCAGAGTGTACGCACGAATAAGGTCCTTCGGGTTCGGCTCCAGGAGCGACTTGGAGTTTTCTGTCGCTGCGTGATGCAGGAGCCGCGAACGGAGGAACGACGAGCTGTCGTTCGTCGTCGACGGAGAAGTGGACACCGTCGAGCGCGTATTCGAAGACGCGAAGCTCGACTGGCGCGTTGTAGGAGATATTTCGGTGGAGTTGCGCGGGACAGCGGTGATAGCGAAAGGATCTTCTTGCGGGGCGTCCATACTGGCACGTGGGCGCGCCGGACTCACAGCAACACGCTGGTGGCTTATCGAACTTGCACGGCTGTCATTCGATGAATGACCTGATCTGTTCGAGTGCGTCGATCGCGACGGATGCAACAAGCTCGCAGCGAGCTGCAACTTTGACCGCGAAGGTGGCACTGGTGGCTGGGGCGGTGGATTAATCTGCTGATTCGCGTTGGAACCAGCATCAGACCCATCGTCAGCATCCGTCTTGCCCGGACGCTCCCCGCCGCTCCTCTCCGGCCCCCGTCCTCTCACTGCACTCACCACGATGCCAGATTGCGTGACCGCCACCGTGTTCGTCACCGTGATATCGCCCACACCCACCTTCTTTTCCCACCACTCCTCAATCGCGCTCACGCCCGCCGCGCCCGGGGGACACTTGTACACCCTGAACGCGGTACCATCGAGCACGCACAGCACCCGCCGCCACTTGCGATCCCGCGCCTGCACGCCTGGCTTGACGAACTCGAGCTTGCGCGGCATAACCGCCGCGAGGTAGATCAAGTTTGAATAGGACGGTAAGCGCTCCTGTCCTTCTTCCTCGCGCGGCTGTATTGGAGGCGCCCGACGCGGATGGAAATCTGGGTAGGGCGGTGGGTCAGACGACATCCTGTATGTCGGCAGCGAGCGTTGCCGTCGGAGCGTAGGTGTGTCAGGTTCCTCGGGCTCTGCGCGTACTTTCGGTGCCCTCTGCTCACTGTCATCATCTGTGGACGGACCAGGCAGCAGCTTGCTTCCGCGCTGCTCAAGCATGTCGTCTATGTCAATCGTCGCCGTCGCCATCTGGTCCCTCTCTCTCTTCGATATCGATAGCAAGTCCACCATACTGCGCGATCCCAAATGGTAGAGGCCCGGTCGCGGAGACCCTGGAGACATAGGGGCGATCTGCGGCACATTCCCCAGCGCCGGGGTTCGTAGTCGCGAGCTGCCAATGAAGTCTGAAGGACGTGGTGTGCGTGCTGCTGAGGAGGTATGGCTGGTGTGTGGCCGTTTGGAGGTGAAATAGTCCGATTCGACGGGAGAAGAAGATCCAGGACAGACGAGGGACGCGCGTAGGATATCAAGCTGTGGCGTGAAGTTTCCTCGGTTAACCTCGAATTCCTCCGTCCTCGATGTTCGCCTCGGTGAAGAGTCGATCTGGGGAAGACCTGTTAAGCGATCTCCACGTGACCGGGGAGTATCGGGTGAGGAGTACATCTCAGTCGCTTCTTCCGCGCCTTCCTCGTCGGTTGCTGCTGCATCCGCATCGGCTTCGCGTTCAGGACTTGCATCAGGATAATCCTCGCCTTCTTCGTCCTCTTCCTCATCGAGCATCGCGTTATCGTGATCACCCTGTTGTGCGCTTTCGCTAGGCCCTCGCATGGGAAGCGCTGGAATGCTTCGAAGTGGAGCCCGTGGAGGAGGATGGATCGGCGAATTCGGCGTGATAGGCGGTAAGGTGGGCAGGTTCAGAATAGGCATAGGAGGATGGCGTGTGACGACTGAAGGGGTTAGCCGTGTGCTTCCATTCGCGGTGAAGCTGGCCATCATGGGTGGAGGAAGTGTCGCCAGCCGAGGCGCGAGGATGCGGCGATCGGACAAGCTAGGCGAGATTTGACCGGATGATAATGACTGTCGGTGTGCTGAAGGTGTCACCGCCATCGTGGGTGTCGAGACCGACGAGGCGCGGTCGTGCAGAGCGGCGCGTAAAGGCGCGTCCTCGGTGGTAGGTAGCTGTACCACATCATCATCATCAATAGGCGAAGGCACGTCATTGATTCTGATCTCAGGCGACGTAGACATTTGCACCGTTGGCGCGTATTCCGTAATAGATGGTGTTATATGAACTGACCGTTCCGTCTGTGAAGCGCTGTGCATCCCATCCTGCGGTGGAGCCTGCGCGCTTTCGAGCGCATGATCTTCCATCGTTCTCACTGGTACGGGTGGCATAGCGTCGTGACTGGTCTTGGGTGTCATATCAGCGTGAGGTTGGGTCGTGATTGGAAGGCTATTGTGAGACCCATTCCTCAGCTGGGCAAGCCCGCTGTCAGAGGAATCCGAGGGCGTGCGAGAGTGTCGGTCGATGTGTAGACTCGTGTGTGCGTTGGCCAACATCGCAAGGTCCTTTGCACCCAGGTCCATCGAACGCGTACTGCGTTCGAAGACCGTCGCGTCTTTATGCTTGGCGTCACCGCTCTTTCTCTTGCTGCCACGAAAATTAGACGCTTTCTTTAAGAACTGACTGGTGCGTATCTGTGAGAGGTTCGTGAGGGGTCACGAGCTCATCGAGACAGACGACTTGCCAGAAACTGAGAAGACCTCACATCTGCTGCTGAGTGACTCCGAGGGACTTCCTCGGCTACTGTTCCTGCATGACTTGCAGACATTCGAGATGCGTCGTTGACGAGCTGGCTGGCGGATGGTGCCGCCGGATTCCGCTGCAGGCGGAGGGCGTCGTGAAGGGTAGAAATGGATAAAGATTTGACATGCGGCCAGCCGCAGCTGGCAGTCGCTGACGATGTGGGGCACGCCGGGTGGAGAAGAAACGCGATGTGCGGCACGGCTCGGACTGGATATTACGATCCTCGACCGTGATTGGGTAAACCGTATATTTTGCCGGCGTCTCTCCCTCTCGAGGTGGAACGTTGCTCGAGGAGGTCGCCGTCGAGCTCCGCGGCGCGGGTCCGCTCTGGACGGGGTCTGTGGAAATTACCCCTAAAATCTGTGGAAACCAGTCGGAAATTACACAGGTTAGCCTATGGTCTCATTGGCTACTTCAAGAGGGCAGATTAAAAGCGAGCTCACCGATGAGCTCGCTGCAGCGAGAGCGGAGGACAACGGGAAGGACGACGTCAAGAAATGTTATTCTATGTAGATGATCTGATAACTTATGTTATCAGACCAAAAAACAATTATTAAACGTGGCCGGCTGTATTGGACCTTTGCCGCGAGATGATGCTGCGCCATTTGTGCCGCCTACTAGAGTCCGACTAACTACTTCAGGAATATGTCAGTATCGTCATCACGAATTGTGCCGGAGCCATGTACCAGGTCCAAGGCGGGGCGAGTCCCGAGACGCCCACATAATTTAGACAACGGTCTGCGCTTGAGGAGAAATCGTTTCTCGAAGCTAGCGATCTGGACCAAAAGCTCTAATCCGAGAGCCCACACGTCTAGGCTACATTCAACGAGGAGGATGCACCATATCGCAGTACCGGTTCGGTTATTGTGATATCTACCGGCGGTTCATTGATTAATCCTTCACAGTCATCCTGAACCGCAATCTCACAGATCTGAACATGCTTTTCAGTTACAATGGTTTATCTTCCCGCCTGTTGCGATTCCACAACACCAACGCCAGCTTGATCAGTCGCGTCTACAATGCGCGTAGCTGTTTGCGAAACACTCATAGTGCGGCTTTGCCGACGGACAAATTCAGAGTGCTGTTTATGGGTCGCGACGAGTTTTCTTGTCTAGTCCTCGAACAGCTATATCGCGCACGAGGTTCGGTGCATGTCGGATAGATGGTTCATGCTGGTTGAGCTTACATTGCATACAGACGTTTGGACCGAACTTTTGGTCGTGACACAGCCTGACGTGAAGACGGGTCGACGCGGTTCGCAGCTCTCTGTTTGTAAGTGGTCATTTCTTCCGATACAAAAACATTGCCACTGCAAATGAACTGGCGAAATTCTTACTTGGTACGATGAATGGTTTCACATCAAGAAAACTCAAATCCGGCTTATAACACTTTTATCCGCTTGAAGACAGTAAGTTCGAGAAAGTCTCAGGACCTCGTTGTTTTGAACTTTCATCTGCATTGAAAGCTTCTTATTGCGTGCTTATCGGCTTTTACAAGCCAAAATTAGCAAGAGCAAGTCAAAAGGGAGGTTCTCGAGCCACAAGTAGATTTGAGTTTTCCTGATGCAATAGTGCTCGGGTAGGTTTTGAAATGTGCTCGCATATTAGGATCTATCCGAGTGCTGACATGTCTCGGATCATCGAACCTCATGTTTCATGACATACAAATACATGTCGAAAGATCCTGGGGCGGGATCCGTGTTTGGTGTTTGTTTGAACACAACGGTTGGATGCAATACCTCTATGCGTGGATGGTCATCCGATTCATGCTGCTAATCCATTTCTCCATACTTTCTCCATTGCTTGGCTGCCACCGAACTATACGTACTAGAAGAACATTTCACCGTGCCCTCTATATGTATTGCCGACTGGTTCCATCCATTGCGTCTCTGCTTACGCATCTCGCACTTTGATCACCATTAATGTTGCGCTTTAGCACCGCTCAAAATTCTTGCACAAGAACTGGACCTCCCCGTTCACTTCATACCACCCGATAAGGCAACATTCAAAACCTGGCAGGTCTTGATAATCTTGCTATGCCACTAGTGTCATTCACTCATGGACCCTCCTACTCCCGCAGCTACCGCCACCCTTTTCGCTCGCCTCGACATCAAACCCTCCATCATCACATGTCCTTATCACAGCGTCCTTCGGGCGCATCCTCCCGGCCTCTATGCTCAAGCTCTTCTTGCCCTCCAGGCGCCTGAACGTCCACCCCTCACTGCTCCCCGCGTACCGCGGCGCCGCGCCCATCCAGCACACACTGCTAGGCGGGCAAAAGGAAACGGGCGTCTGCGTCATCGAGATGATGGAGCGCAAGAAGGGCGTTGACGCGGGAGCCATCTGGGCTCAGAGTCGTATGGTGGGTGGTGCGGGTGGTTTTGTAAATGTGGGGAGGAGCTGAGCACGTCGTACCATAGGACGTCCCGGATGGGGCGACTTTCGAGACAATGAGGGACATACTTTCACGCGAAGGCGGTCGACTGCTCGTATCGGTCCTGCGTGACACGTTGGCAGGGAAGGTCCGTCAGCTTCCCTTTTCTTGGATGTAAAACAAACGGATACCTACAATGTACGTTAGGCGACGTCAACGCCGCAACTCTCCGACCCGTCGGCTTCGCGTGCACCGGCTATCACAGCGGAAGACTCCGCAATCGACTTCACCACCATGTCTGCTGAGCATATCGTCAGACGGTACCGAGCGATCTCACATCAGGTGAAGACATTGCATGTTACCATAATCTCCCGCCTCATGCTCATCCGATACCGTGTAGAAACCGCTCATCGCACAGCTCAAAATAAAGAAGAACCTCCAGCTGCATTCGCCTTCCATTTGCGCTGAGGTCTCAGGTGAAATCAAAGCTTCGCTTATGTCACCAGGACTAGCGACCTATGATCCTCGCACCCAGTCTCTCATCATCCGCTGTGCTGACGATAGCTTCCTGGCCGTTCCACAAGTCAAGCAGCAGGATCGTTCTCTCTTGAAGGCGAAGGAGTGGTGGAATGGCGTGCGACCCGAGATGAGGGTCAGTGGTGAAGGTGAAGGTCCCGTAGAGTTCGTCAGGTGGGATGTTAGCTAGCGTAATCGAAGCAGAAACTTAAGTCATTCGCTGAACGGCAAATATCTTTATGTCGCTTGGAGGAAATCTAATAGCAATTCGTGCTCAGAGAAAACTAGTCTTACAATTTCAACTGAGAAACAGCATCATAGTACGCGCCACCAGATGAAAACGAGAATAGGCCGTCATTCAAAATCGTGAGATCTAAGTACACGTTAGGAGAGTATCTTCATAGGTCATAGCGTGTCGTAACAGCAAAGTCGGGAACCGCATCCAGACTGGTCACAATCATTGATTCCTTTACGCTGAGGTGGTCTTTAACGCCTCCTTGCCCTTTCCTCCGAATCGCCAGGTACCGCCATCTCTCCAACCGCACATCAAAGGACGACCCTTCTTCACAGAGACGCGCCGTGGTATGAGGTTTCCCGGCAAGCCCTTCAGGTCTTCTACGATGACCGGCAGAACAGATGTCTTGGGAGCCTCCTCAATCTCCGTGGGGACCGGCTCCTTGGGCGCGGGATCCACGAGAACCTCTTCGCGTACGTGCATGCTCTCTTCGTGGAATGAGGGCGGAGGAAACTCGACAAGCGAATGCCCATATGAGGTTGTATAGGAAGACGCTTTGCTCTTTGGACGCTCTTTCTCCGTGCGTGGATGAACGGCGTTGTGCGTCTCTCCGTCTATGCGCACAGGGGCGACATGGTATGCAGAAACGCGTCTCGGGATCGCGAGCGCAGACGCAGGAATATGGCCGGAGGATGGCACGAGGACAATATCCTCTGAGCCGGAAACCCACGAAGGTCCCTCGACAGGCGATCCAGGCATGTTCGTTGCGCCGTCCAACGCACCAGAGAGCACGACATCGGCCACGGTCCATTCACATCCCCACGCGTCGTTCTGATGCCCCGTGTCAGAGCCAGGGTAGGACAGAGCACAGTCGAGCGCGGTGCCGAAGGTGGACGAGTACATGATGTACGGTCTGACGTTGTTAAGAGTGTCAGGGGAACGAGAGTCTGTACCTGCGTCGAGGGTGACGGCGAACGTGAATGCTGATAGGAAGGTCTCCATGCTCTCGACGATCTTCATGCTCGCCTGCGGGTACTGAGCCGAGGAACGCGGCAGGAGGTGGATCAGATGCGGCCGTGCAGTGGAACCGAGCGGACGCGCCGCAGATGGCCTTGAACTGAACAGAGCCTCGACATGCGTGCGGGGAAGGTCCGTCGATGCACGCCTTCCGCTGCGCGATACGCGTAGCGACCCAAAGACCGCTCTCAATTTCTGATACACCTCATCATAGAGCGAAAAGCCCGATGCAGAAACGTTGAGGAAAGGCCGGCTTAAGGACGTGATGAGAATGGTCTGCCTAAGAAGCGCATTATCGGAAATCTGGCCTGGGAGAAAGTTGATGAGCGCATCAAAAGGCCGCTTGTTGCCTGCTTGAGCGGTGGACAGACGTTGAGCCTGATTGGCAGCGGAACCATGGGATGCTGACGACAAGCGGTTGACACCGTGGCCGGATGGCCCCACCGAGTCGTTAGGCGGGTGGAATTCGTCCTCTTCGGACAGTTCGAGTATGCCGGAACCGCCGTACTTGCGCCAATCGTGGGCAACTCGCTCAGCCCATCCCAATATGCTGACAAAGCGCATAGCGTCTGCATTCTCGGTAGTCAAAGGGCTGGAGAGGTGTAGGATACGCAGCGCGGGGATGACGATGTGGGGAACCTCGGGCGGCTGGTCGGTCGCAACGATGACAAGCGAGTGCGCGTAGTGTCCAGAGAGAAGGAGAGGCGTAAGGTCGGCATATGACGGCGCTGATTCCAGCAACATGAGTGCCGGATATCATGTCAAATGGAGCCAACTCACTGCCTACGACAAGGAGGACATAGCAATGAGGAAGAGCGGTCGCGGAAAGCAGATTGTCCATCTTCAGGAACCATATATTGCGGGGCATGAAAAATGCACCGGGAATCAACGGCGTGGTCGCAGCAGAGTTGTTGGCAGTCGTGGGTTTGTCTGGAGGATTCGGGTGGTCATGGGAGCTTCTAACTGCCATGGTGGCCAGCAGCCAACACTGAGGAGCTAGTTTAGCAGCCAACACCAATGGCAAAGACTGCAGGAGACGAGGGTTTTATCCCTTGTACCGGACCGCGTTATGCCCTTCGGTTGATGCCGCAGTGATAGCAGGACCGAACAGCCATTCTTGAATGGAGAGTCGATACGTAGGAGCCGAGGAAGCATCGGGCTTGACTCCAGGCCGAGACGTCTTGCTTCAGCTGCGCCTATCTAGCGACATCGACTATCCTAACAAGCCAGGACAAATGTGACTTACTACAGATACCCTTTCGCTACAGCCGCGAAGGTATACGACCGTCCATATGGATTTAACTTATTCAGACACCAGACGTCATTGTTGAAACTGTCGAAGCGAGTAGAATGACTGCGGACGACCCAACATGGACTATAGGAACTCAATGCTCTGCTTGGTCTGCGACCGTAGTGCGGTGGCGATTTGAAACATTAGTGATGCGCCATTCAAGATGATGTCTCTAACAAAGTCAATCGTCTGCGTCCAGCGTAAGTCCGCCTGTGGAGCATTTTGATCTATGAGCATTGAGAAACTCACTCAACACCCATATCATAGAATTGAGCGTTGATCCGCTGGTACGAAGCAGATCATGTGAGCCTCAACGTCGGGCTCTTCGGTTCCGCGTGTCCGCCTACACTCTGCCAGCGAACGGAGAAAAAGTCAGGATAGATAAAGTGGTGCAACAATGGCACGTACCTGCTGCTTCGGCCATTAGCAAAGGGGTACTGAATTTGGTGAGAGCAAACTAGTGCTTTAGTCGCGTTCAAGCGTATAACGTGCATTGATGGAAGAAGCTCACCATGGATGGCCTTCCGGTTGGGAAGTAAGTGATACAAGTATAGGTAAATAGACACCTCCGAATGTTGTTGGAGGCAAGATTAACACACCGCCACAGAAAAACACGCCAACATGTCAAGCTCTCTATCATATGCAACAACACGAAGCCACATATGGAGGGAATCACAGAATTTCACGCATAGAACAATGCAACCTGCAGGCGGACTTGACCTTTCGCGAGCATCGTATTGAACAACGAGAATATCATGTGAATAGATATAATCCACATTCATCGTGGCTGACTGAAGGAATAGATGGCTTAGCACATATACTAGAACGGTAGCTTGGTGTAGCTCGAGTTCCGGATAGGGCTGAGTGGACTGGGTGTCTTCCGGCGGTATGTCTATTGAGGGATGAAGAAGTCACCGAGCCAATTAAGACTTTCGCACAAGGCAAGGTACATGATGCAACACTTACGCTCCTGAAACGCTCGATGCGTGCCTCCATGCCCGCCATCAATCGTTTCGTCGTCTCCTGCCTCTTCGGCTTCATCCGCTCGTGCTTGTGGCCCTTGAACATCCTCCATCTTCCCGCATACAGTGTATTCCCCACATCAGCACCAGGAACCTCCTTCTCCTTGAACTCGCCCTCCCAGTCCACGTCCTTCGCCCACGATTCGTTCCGCAGTGCGGACTCCCACTCCGATCGTAGAGCTTGCGCTTCCACGGCCGCAGCAATCATCTTTGGGGCGAGCTTCGGACCTGGCGGCAGAAGATGAAGGGTATTACTGTCTCGTGCGTGCTTGACCAGCTCCACCTGGCGACGAAGAGAGTATTTCGCCGGAGCCCATCGCCCAGTGTCCGGGTTTTTGTGTGGCAGGAAAGGATTTGGAGCCTTGAATGGTGCACTGCTGGACACTGAACTGGAAGCCAGCAGGCTTGCCAGCTCTCGCTTGCGGAATTGTTTGATGGCCTGAAGGGCTGCCATGGCGAACAAAAGCCACCCAGGTGCTCGCAGAGGTCTTCGTCAGAAAAGGCAATGTCTTCAAGGCCGTTGCACAACAACAGCAAACAATATACATTGTAAGCGATCCGCCACTACTTTCGGAAACTAAATGCTGAAATGTTGGCGGAAATCCCGGTCAATTATGAAGCCGGCAAAGTCCGTGTCGCCTCTCCGAGAGTAGCCGAGAGAATGATCCGCCGATCCCAGCAGATAAGATCTGCTGACTAAGCATCCTGACACGTCCTCGAGCAGATCGTGCCAGCCATGCACACCTGGTCAGCCTTGCGCCAGCAAAACGTTCTCCAGCCTCCTTCGGCGTGTTCTCTTCCTCCATCTCGCTTCAACCAAGCTACCCAGTGCTATCCGATACTTGTCGGTGACCCCGTCTTTCTGGTTTGGCTTGCAAGACGGCTCATCCATCTCCAGCATCATCTGTGAAGTGTGAAGACGTGCTATCATGGAGCAGCAGGCAAAGGCGCCGCAAGACATCCGGAATGTCGTCAATTTTCTTCGTAATAGCAAAGCAGGAATCAAAATACGCGTCGGGATCCTCAACGGAAAGCGGATAGACTACTTCAAAGGTGCGTGGCTGACTGATTCGTTCCGGGTGGCCCAGTGTTCGCTGACTTCTTCATGACGACCAGGCAAAGCAGCGGTCAAGGCACTCACTTCCCCGGCATACTCCAAGTTGAAAAATGTACCCCCAATCAAGTCCGAAGAAGATGCCGTCAAAGTCCTCCAGTCCATCCTTCCTTTCGCCTTTTTCCTTCGCGTCGAACGCGGCAACCCGTCCTCCTCATCCAGCTCGCCCCGCATGCTCAGCATCACGCCGTCGCAGGCATTGCAGCCTGCGCACTACTATGCCTGGTTCTATGAAGGGGCCCAGTGGACAACATACGTTGGCGGCGTCGTAATGGTCGCCGTCATGCTCGCCGGTGTCATGTTCCCTCTGTGGCCGCCCATCATGCGCATGGGCGTGTCGTACCTCAGCATGGGCGTGCTCGGGATCGCAGGGCTGTTCATTGCGCTCGCCATTGTGCGGCTGGTATTCTACATCATTACTATCATCGTCGCCAGTCCCGGTATCTGGATATTCCCAAAGCTATTTGCAGATGTGGGATTCGTGAGTACCCTATGCTCCACCGCCTATTCCCCTCCCACATTCCCGCCCACCGAACTAACCACTCTTCTTCGCGCAGGTTGAATCCTTTATTCCACTATGGGAGTGGGATCTGCCGAAAAAGAAGGGGAAAAAGCGGCATATCGAGAAGGAGAAGGAGAAGGAGAAGGGCAAGGGCAAGGCGCCTGCCGATGGTTCAGTCGTCGACTCCCCCGAGTCAGGCAGCTCCCGTCCACACAGCCGAACCGCACGGGTGGAGGAGGTGCCGGACGAGTCGTGACCGGGCGCGATGTGGCCCCTACTTATTTCACACGCTGTATCTATGTGCCAACTGCGTTTCTTGGGATAGTGGTATGGTGGAACGGTGTCCATGTATTCATTGCGAGGTGACTGGCTGTGTACCCATAGCAGTGTCGGCGCTCCGCTTGCTAACGCGGTCGAGTCGGCGGAGGGCAGCCTGTGCCTCTATGACGCCTTCACGCATTTTGATGTTCCTTGCTTGTTCGAGACTCTGCTTGTATAGTTCCTTGGATTGTTTGACATCACCATCCATCTATAGTGATAGTCGATGAGTATGCTAAGATCTCGATCGGAGCACCATCTTGTACCTCTAGTAGCGATCCGAGGTTGAACAGGACAGCAGCCAATGCTTCTTCGCACAGCATGAGCCCTTCCTCATCGCCTCTGGCAGAGGCCTTCGTCTTCTCAATTGTCGCCAGTCCCTGTCGAGCCCACGCCTCGGCTTGCTTCCGCTTTGTAGCGGTGGGCTCATCACGAATAGCGAGCTCGGCGAGGTTGTTCATAAGCTGCGCGCCTGCAAGGAAGAGTGAGGGTCCATGGCATTGTCAAGGCTAGGCACCAACTGACCTCGACAACGCTCCTCTATTGTCGAGGACCTCTTGGACGATGTCGGTGGAACAAGGATGCTGATTGCCTGGAGGTATAGAGGAACTGCATATCTGGTCCGTCATGAGGTGAATGACACGGGAACAGATAAATGTCGTAGACACGTACTCAACGTTCCCTCCCCTTGAATAGAACCTGCCTAGCGCCTCCAGTGGTGCACCAAGGTCAGTTTTTGTCACCCACGGCGGCAGATCCAGTTCCGCAAGCATTACCGGTTCCTTCTCCTGTCCTTCGTGTTCCCCCTTCCCCTCCATACCCTCCACTGCGAGCGTCCCGTTCCCACCTTCATCCCTCACGATGTGCAGCAGCTCCTCCACCGCCCACGTCAGCCAGCGCTCCTCCTCCGCGACCGGCAGCTGGTATGTCTCCGCCATCTCGCCGAGTTTCGACGCGAGCGCGACCGCACGCATGCGCTCACGGCCCGTCAGGGACTCCTTGGCGGACTGGATCCGCGCAAGCGCGTCGACGTAGACTTCATATGCGGGCTGGGGCCGGTCGTCATCCTCGATCACGGAGGCAAGCGCGATGGCGAGGCCTGAGAGCTTGAGGTGCGGCGCAGGGGAGAATACGGAGAGTGGGAGGGAGAGAGCCTTATCGTATGCTCTGCCGTGGAAATGCTTGGTTGGTCGAGAGAAGGTAGAAGTAAGGTACGGGCACGCACTTGCGCAAATATTGCTCGCTCAGCTTGTAATTCCCCTGATACTTTGCTTTGATTCCTGCTCGCAGGTCCGCGCGCAACTCTTTAGGCCACATCGTGAACATCTGGTAGAATTTGTATCTTTTTAAGGCAAGTGAGTCTGAGCCTCCACACTTGGCGCAATGTATGAGACCTACATCCCGAATGCGGTGGATGCGACACCGAGTGCAATCAGGGCACCAAAAACAGTCGACACTCGCGAGTTGGATTGCAGCCACGTCCGAGGAGACGTCGCATATCCCCTTTGTAGTGCGCGCGGAACCGTAACACGTACATGTTGTGGCTTGAATAGACGCCTTGTCTCTCTCCTTGACGCGGACCACAGATAGCAGGACATTGCGGGAAGAGCGAGATTTCTCAGTATTCGCACGGCAGTTCCTACGCCGGCACTGGAATTGGTCGCGACTCGCGGACGCTTGTCAACAAGTTGTAGACAAATGTAGCCCGGCCGGGTGGATCTTCTCTCCTGCTTCTGTAGGCCGAAATGGTTCGAGAGAGCGGTTATATTTATTCTTCAAGATGTACCGACGCTGATTATAAAAAAGCTGAGAACGTTCCGCAGAGTTGATGAAGCAACAGCCAGCCCGACCAGACAGCTAGGAAGACGAGCCCAAAGTTGGAAGCTTGGGTGCGCCACGAATCGCATCACATGCGCGAGGCACGCTTCACGTGACCGTGTCGCTGTCCCGCGCCACGCCGCCAATAACACCCCGCGCATGCCCCACCTTGACAAGTTGAGTACTTAACGTCGCAGCCATGATTTCTGCTACTTTATTGGCTTGGCATTTGATTTTACTAGCGGCGATGCTTGACTGATGGGCATATTCCTCTTCGAGGATGTCATGACTGGAGGGATGCGTGCCGCTCAGTGCTCGTGTAGAATCGTTTACGCCGGGATCGTAGCCCTCGTTGATATCCAGTGGAATTGCATCAACGTCACAATGAGTTCTTCTAGGGCTCAGGTGATCGTCATGGGCATCTAATTCCTATTGAGCAAGCACAGCAAGGAACAGCGGAAGGATCGGGATGGGCGACGGCTCGAAACTCGTTGACGACAGGACCGGACAGTGGGACTACGCATTATTTTGGTGAGCGTGAAGGCGAAGATGAGTGCGGTAATGCGGCGTCGGTCAGTTGGAGCCGATAACAGGAACCAACGTGTCGAGAGGTATGACTTGTTGCTGTAGGTCGCGCGTACTGATGAGGGAGCGGCCATCTATGTTCGGCGAGGGCCGCGATGTGGTGCGACGAAATGGAAGCTTCATGATTTGCGTAACAAGGAGGGATCTTTCGGTCAGTACTCGGCAGATGTTATATGCAAATGTAGCTGTGCTCACACCTTGGTGTTTCCATCAGTGTATTCCGGGCTCCCACAATGCAAACATGCCGACTTCCATGAAACAATCGACGAGATGACGCTCGTATGAAATAGATTACAACGTCGCGCGGGATGGCGCTGACAATCGATTCCATAATCCCGCTTGAGAACGAACATAGTACGTGGACCAATACCGTGTCGCAAGAGAAGTTCTTTTCTCGTATTCTTTCGATGACCCGAGTCATGACCCGGATGGCGGCGATAAAGATGACAAGATGGAAAGAACCAGCATTTCGACCGCAGTGGGAGCAGTAGCCTGGGTAAAGCAAATGCACATCCGTAATCCTCTCAGACTAATTAGCAGTAGTTTCCCTGTTATCTTCTTCTCCAAGGTTGAGCGCAGAGGGCACAGCAGAGTATAAGAGACTCAGTCAAACAGCCACGCGATGACACTCATTCAATTGTCTCTGCAGATATCCGATTCCGCTGGTAAAAACAATCCGCGATAGATTGCACAAAATGAGTCATAGATAAGCAATGCTGGTTACGCGACTCGTGTACTCCTGGAACGGAAGCGTACACAGCCGACAAGAAAGGAGACGAACGTCATTTCATCGCGTGACGCTGCAATCTGATCCAACTCCCTTGCAATGAAGGCGTTGAGACATGACTTCCTCAACTGCCTGGAAGAAAGGGCCATGATATGTGGATGAAGGCCGGAGAGAACGAACGAACGTACTCCAACTTTCCTTTGTCGCCTCTGTCTTTACACTCCTTCTCTGCCATCTTCCATCGCCGCAGAGCACGTATAGATCTACGCGTCTGCGCGCGTCGCATGGCGCAACGTGAGTAAGAGCCTCAAATTTGGAATATTCCTTGTCCGACCAGATGGCGGATAAATGCTTCGATAGCCGATAGGGCTCCACTTCGATCGCGGAAATGCGTCAAGAGACTCGAAGTCTCGTACTGCTGTAAGGGCTTGAAGCTTCACATACCAGAAGCTGAGGCAGAATTCGGTTACCCACGTCTTGGCGCAAGGAAGCAAGCCATGACGTATCGTTTATCCGGTACCTTGAGCTCTGACTTCAGTTTGTCCGTCCTCTTCACCACGCCATTGACGAGACATGACCGAATTGTCTCGTTTATGCTTGAGCCAAAGAAAGCGATCTTCCCATCAGTCTCCTTCTTGAGCTGCTGCTGCGCTGTCAACAGCCTATATATTCATCCATCATCTAGCCTGCCCGCAATCAGAACTGTCATCGAAAGTTGGCCGTCATTATGACATACCTTTGCTTGGAAACCACGTTCCTTACCCTCAGAGAAGCACTTCCGTGCTGCCTTGTTGGATGAGATCCTCGAACTAGGATCGTAAAGGATTATGAGTTGTGACTGTCAGTGAGAACAAAAGTTAACGCCACCGATCACCATTGTTGCGGCTTCCTCGAGACGGAGAACAACGCTCTCGATGTGCCGATCATCCGAACAGTAGAAGTCATGGAGCATGACCCTGCTTTACGCACGTGCATAGATTTGAAGCAACTTGATTACTGGCGTGAGTTGCGGTCCGCCCTGTTCAATAAGCTGGAAGAGCTGGAAGAACGAGCCAAGTGCCAATATCTTTTGCAGATGGAGAAGGATCCACGTTCGACAGCCTTTGTCAGAGCAAGCGGTCTTCTTTCACGCTGAGCAGCAGCAGGACCTGATCGGACGCTCGAGGCTCGTCATCTAGAAGCTGTAAGGGAGATCTTTCATCAAGGAAGATCATGTCAGCGGAAAATACTTACCTTCGTGGTTAAATGTGCTCGCCTCACTCCCCATGCGCGCTTCGCGATGTCGGCGTAGCTAACATCACCTCCGCCGAGCTTCTCAAACTTCTTCAGAAGGGAACGGCAAACAGCATCATCACCATCTGATTCTGCGTCCCTCCCCGAATCTGTGGCAGTCGGCTTTGACCGCATGATCTTTGCACAGGCCCAACGCATGAACACTGCATCAGTTTTGAACGATAGATACGATGAGGTAGGAAGATCAAGTACACGCAGGGTTGCGGGCTGTTAGGCGATTGATCAGGTGATATGGACCGACTTTGATATATCTATTGGCGTGAGCTTTTGTAACATCATCACTGAGGAGTGATACGTACCGAGCATAAGTTATGGGTATACCGATTTCATAAAGCGCACAGCATTGAGTACTTTGAGAGTTTGCCCCATCTGAACGAAATCCGAGGGGTCATACAAATTCAAAAAATCCCAGTCTAAATTTTGCCGCCTGATGATCATTTGATGAGTATCATCTGATGGACAGTACAATTGGACCTCACGTTCAACAGCCGCCTTTGACAGAACGACTCCCACTCCCGGCCGGCAGCGTCAATGCATTCATTGACAGCAACGTCCAACTCGGGGCGAACATTCCTGATGTTCTCGTCCGCCTTTGGTGACCAAAGTGTGAAATCCTCCCATGCGTTACACAGAATGGCAGATGGAGCGATCGACTCGAGCCGAAACACAGAGAGAGAAGACGCTGGTGGGCGGTGGTCACCATGATGCCTCCATCGTAAGAGAGGCTACTTTCGCGAGACTTTCTGTATGGAGCCGCAGCTATCCGGTCCCGCGATCCGCGCACCGTCAGTCTCAGTGATGGCAAACATCGGTCCTGAATAAAAGTATCTGTGCGGGAGTTCAGTGAATGATTGACAATCACAAATCATCAACAGACTATAATGCGTCACCGAATGGTCCAACGAGCAAAGCAAGCGAGTCCCATGTCACTAGCACAGCATCATTCCCGCACGATCCAACCTGTCTGACGTGGCCATCTGCACCAGGGACGTTCATTGTACCTAGTTTTGCGAGGCTCCGCTGGAAAGCCATGGCGACCACCCGAACTCAGCCCGGAATACGTGTGCAGCGCAAGCGACTTGCCGTTTGGAGAGGGAGATACATGTGTGAACCGACCACGACAGACCCGCTGGTCGATGCTCTCGAGATTGTCCACGTTGTATATTGACGCGTCAAGTGAGAGTAGAACCTCGACGTGCCGTGATATTGTGCGGTCGGGCAGGATGACAACCCATGAGTGCAGCAGCTGGGAAAGGCCTTCCGCATATTCAGTAAGAAAATAGGGCAGAGAAACAGGCATATCTGAGTTCACAAGCGTGAGTAGCTTGCCACCTTCCCAGTCATTTACTTCCAAGAGAGTCAATGAGCCCGTCAAAGCCACAGCGTCACTCTCATGTACCCGCGCGCCGAGAATAAAGACCGCCAGCCTCCGCACCGAGGGGATACTGTTGATAGTCGTCCTGAAAGTCTTAAAGGCGATATACGCCTTCTTCGTTGAGTACGACCAACGACTCATCGCCAGTCCAGCCAAACCTAACGATCTTCCGCTGGCCCTACTAGATTGCGAGAACGTCAGCAGACATATCTCCCTCAAGCTAATGAAGATGACCACACTGAAGACCAGCAGTGGCTCTCCAGCTGAGGAAAAGACTTGAATCTGCGACTTGCCGAATAAAGATGTCTCACTGCCTAACGCGACCACCTCCGTCGTATCGCGCATGATTGCTGCATGGCACGCACATCAGATCATTCATTACGTTGTATAGAATACTCCCCAGGTATCTATTGGCACTGCATAGCGGCAGCCAGCGACAATGGAGATCACTGACATCGGGTAGCTTTCCGGGAATCGAGTAGATTTGGTGCCGCGTATAAAAGAGATCTCCGTCTTGCACAGCTTTCCAACAAGCTGTAGGATTCTCTTCCATGTTTCACAAGTGGAAAAAAAGGCCTCTAAGATTGCACGGTCAAGGTGGATGTATGCTGTTGTGGGGACTGCAGCAAAGCTTCAGTCCAAGTTGCCACAGGTTAACGCGTCCCACGTGATCAGACGCTGGACGCCACAACCGCGCTCCCTAGACCGCTCTACGCGCACCTCAATCAGAAGCCAACTTCATGAGGTGTATTGCTTTGGATTTCGAGATATTGATAAGGTATGTAGGACAAATTGCGTGGTCAACAAGAAGCGACTAAGTATGTATGTTTGAATACTATCTGATAACATAACGACATGCAGCAGAGAACGGAACGGGCCTAACCAGCAAACCCTCGAGCATGACGAGCAGATGCAAGTAAATCATAGATGTTCGTGATGAAAATTGTGAGAGTTCTTGCTGGAACGTGAATGATTGATCCTTTATAGAACACGAATCGGAATGCGAGCTCTCAACTCATCTGAGCCGAAGAGAACCGAGACATCCAGGAAGTACTGCGACATTCCCCGTCAGAAGCAGCCTCCAGAAGTAGCAGCGCAATACTCACCTTTACACTCAAATCTCCCCACTCGATTGATGGCATCATCTCCTTGTTGAGCTGCAGCTTCGATTTGTACAGGCCGTCCGGTAGTTGCGTGTGAGCTGTCAAGGACGGATGCTGCTGGCCCGGATCCATACGAAGACGGGGACGCTTCGGAAAGCCCGCATATATGTCCATGAGAATGGTACGTGTGTTTGAGTATCCCTCAGGAGCTATCTCAGGAAGCGGCTTGTTCACATTGAGGGGCGGTGGAGGCTTTGGCTGTCGTCGCGAGAGAATTGGGGGCGCACTATTGACCATTCTCTTCATGATATTGGTTTTGTGCGTGAGGATGAAGGCAGATGCCTCCTCGATAGAAGTATTCGAAGACGACGGCGAGACGGGAGATGCTGAAGAAGACGATGGAGAACCAGGGGCAACGTCGATGTTGACCTGTCGGACGAGTGCTACGGTGATCGTCGCATCTAGCACGATTTCTCGCGCAAGCGTCGCAGACCGAGGTTTTGTCGTGAATACGACGTAGTACGGGATGGACGCTGAGCGCGGAAAAGAAGGCATATCTGGTAGCGCGGCCTGAAGAACAAGATTAGTGCTACTTGCTTGCGGGGTCATGGACTAACTGCTTACCACACAGGTGAATGGCAACGGTCTGTCTGACCGCAGCTGAACCTCCGCCCACGATTCAGGCTGCAGTTCTCGCCCATCTAGAGACTCAAAGTCGGCGTCGGGCTCGAAAACGATTGGTGCCTCGACTCTGCACATGTGCAGTCCTCAATATCTCATCTGTGGCAAGAAGCAGATTCTGACTTACGATATCTGATCACTCCCAGTGTTGCTGTCCCATGTTGCGATCAGCTTGTATGTGACCTCCGATCGCTCGACGAAAGCTCGTCCCCGTATACCACCAAGGCCTTCGGCGACTGAACGGAACGTAGGCGGCAGCTCTTCGCCACGTCTTGTTGGCGTCGGTACATCAAAGGTGAATGGGAAGGGCCGAAGAGCCCCCTTACTGGCGTTTGATTGGCCGGGCCGACGTTCTCTCCTGCGGGACCGTACGCTGGTGGTTATTGTGTCTCGAAGGGACTCTCGAAGGGACTCTCGAAGAGATGAAGTCGAGCGACGCGCTTCAATAGTGCCGTCCATAGGGATCGTGTGAGTCGAGTGCAAGAAGACATGCCGGTGCATACTAGAAGTGTTTGCCATTGGCGCTAACAGTGAGGTGATCGCTGGAGGAGCGATGAAGACAAACGCTCCCTCCAACTGAACGTCCTGATCAGCAAAGTGCCTCACATGTGATAAGCATACCAACCGTGATGGTCAACCGCCCAGAAGCAGTATACAACGATGGATCGAACATGATTGTCCCATGGACCTTGTTGTGATGGTCGTATGTGGGCAAAGACCGAGCAACTTCATAGCCTGGCGGCCGAGTCATTTTGACGGAGGGGCTTCGAACGTGTAGTTCCATCTGGCTAGAATCGCTGATATTCGGAAGCAGGTAAGTAGATGCGGTAGGTATTTAGCTTCCGAGTTGAATATACAGCTCACCGAAAGATCGTAGAATGAGGATACACAGGCTCCGTCGGTGCGTCAACGGGAACATAACTTGACGGTGCGGTGGGCTTACTGCCCGATTTCTTATGTGACAAGAAGCTATCAAGGCGCGAACGCAGAGGAGCACTGGCAGCGTTGGAGTCTGCAGGCCTCGAGCTCTGCCCGAGGCTATTAGAACGCAATCGTGGAAAAGCTCGACCAGGCTCCATGGGGCCGGGGCGTCTTCCAACGCTGTCAGGGCGAGGTCGGTGGGCATTCATCTTTCAGTGCGGTCAGCAATCGAGGGTCTCATGCAGCAAACATAGAGGACGGGTCAGGGCAGGCCGTGGAAAGCTATGGAAAGGGAACAAACGAGAAGGCGGCGGAAGAGCCAGATCAACATACTGTACGGCAGGCCTTATATTCAGTGGGAGCTATCATCGTCAAGACACCTAGGTCCTCCGTGCTTCCTTCCCTCGCTGATCGCATTGCCCGGAGAAGCGGGTCAGGATCACAGCGTCCTCGGAAAAGGTTATGATTGGCTATGATAGGGACCGCGATGGGTGGAAGGCCTGGTTGAGACGGCGATTGGCTCCCGTTCGACGTCCGTCAGAAATCCCGAAGATCACCAAGGAGATCTTAAGGGTAGAGAAGGGTCGAGATGATGGCAACTGTGAAACCCCGCTGATTCTTGCAGCCAAGTGCCGGCGGTTCATGCGATTCTCTCACACTACCTTAGGCGTCCTCAGCCGCGGCTTACATCCTACAGGAACGTAGATTAGCTCTGAGGAGCAATGCGATCTTTGCTGATGGTTCCAGAAGGTTACGGTTGAAGTTCAACCGCACTACTTCGCATCCGGTGCGTAGGCGTGTAATCATAGGGCAGTCACGAGGCGAAGCGCCATCGCATTCGCTTACTACCCCGGTGGCTTCTTGAGGTGCGAAATTACAAACTATTGTCCTGGTCTCCGCGTCAACCATGCCATGTAGTAATGCAGCTTCCGCATTTCGTAATGGGTGACAGAATGCACAGAAGCAGACCTTAATGTGAATTACGCGTAAAATGAACGCGCAACGAAAAAAAATGGGGATGCACATTGCAAGGTCGCAAAGCCGCTCGTGGTTGTCGAATAGGCAAGTCAACGATATACGATCAATGATGCGTAAGCAAAGATGGAAGGCAGACAATCCTAATGACATCGCATATCACTAACCATGGTTACCACGCGCAATGTCATGCTGGCCGCATCCAACGGCGAGTTGAACGATCACTTGCCATCTTGATCTCATCCAATTGGAAAGAAGCTACACACTCCCGGACGCCCAAGAAGTCACTCACGGCTGGGAAAGCACGGCTCGTCATGTAACGAGCAATGCAGCAGATTCTATGTATTGCGACTAAGACCAATGACCCGATAGCATTACAACGAGTTGATAATCCTACGAATAATGGTTAAAAGGGAGTCCATCAGTAAGGAGCAGCAGCTGCCTGGCACTGAGGAGAATAAAGATGCACGTCAGCTGGGGTCGCGGAGACGGGTGTGTGAGAGATACTCACAGCCTTGAGCTGCTCAAGATACCATGTGCACGATGGCAGATCCGCCTTCTCGAGGCACTTCGTGAAATCTGAGAAGAGACGAATTAGTCATGAAGTCGGCCAACCGATAAGAGCAAATGTAGGCTACTCACCCTTCGCCTGAATCTCGCAGCTAATACCCTGGCTCTGGTAAGTCTGTGCGTACGTCTGTGCCTCCTGTGCTGGGAGTGCCTGTGCCTCAGGAGCCGGTGCCGCGGAGGAGCCGCCGAAGAGCATGTGCGAGAGACCATGGCCGATGGTCGAACCTACTGCAACGGAACCTGCAGTGGCGGCCATTTGCGAAAGCATACCGGGCTCCTTAGCGGGTGCCTTCGCTGCAGCAGGAACTGGCGGAGCATGGTGCACTGGAGTAGCAGCATGGCCAGGGAAGGGCGCTGCCGCGGTATGGGCACTACGGCTCTGGGCAGGACGAGGAGCGGAACGAGAGCGAGATTGACGCTTGAAAACACGGAGTCAGCACAGTTTTCCGTGTAACTTGGGATACATCAAGCTTTACGTACCGCCATTGTTCAAGCTAGAGAGATGCGAGGAGATGGTGGTGGTTGCAATTGAAGTGCACGGATTTGCTGGTGCCTGCCGTCGAGGACGCGCAACAGTCCGATAGAAATCCGGAAAAGCACGTGACATATTCGGCATCTACCGCTGTCGGATATCGAGGGCGGCGACGGCGTACGTTGTCTCAAAATTCTCAATGTCCTCGCTCGTCTCGCACAGATGCAGCAGCTTTGCCCTCCGTAGCTTGCCGGCCCGCAGCAGTAGCTTGCAACGACCATTGCTTTCCGGCCTGCTCCTTAATCAGCGCCGATGCTATGCTTTGAGGATAGGCAAGCGCCAGCAAAAAAAGGATAGGACCGAAGAGGAAAATGTACATGACATCGAGACCATGAAATATATGGCCTCCAGGCTCCCTGCAGACATCTATGGAAGTTATGCGAAGCTGTTGGGTAAGTGTGGCGTCACTGTCTCGTCTCTTCACCTTGAAGACAGTACCATTTGACTGGAAAAGCTCTAAGACTTGCATATCCCAAGCCTGAAGTCGCCTAAGGAGGATGCAAAAATCTCTGACCACATATATGCTACTCTGAAGACTATGCGTAATTGGTTCAGGAATGCTCAAAGGTGCGCCGCATGTGTATCTGACTGCACCGCTTCTGATCTTTTCGGCCGTGTCTCTCCTCAGCATGGCACAGATGGCGAGCTATAAGGGCTTTATTGAACGAAAAAGACCATGGAACCCGCAGATATTCTGTGCACAGTCGACTCGCGACTCAGCATGGATCGCACCGATTCGTCAAGCGGCACTCGACACGTATGTCAAATTGAATGAAGCTGTCGCCAAGTTAGTAGCGGCGTTTATTCTGCAGTGACTGGCTGATCATTGGTGTTTCAGTCGGGACGAGAAGACGATTAAACGCTTGGCTGTTGACGAGATGGAGAAAGACTATCTCAGGCTCGCCCGTTCCCAGGATCCATCGCGTGTGTATGTGTGGAAGTTCCACGGAGAACGCTCGCCCTGTCGTGTCCTTAGCATTCGATCGCGCCATGGGCATTTTGGAACGACTCCAAACAAATTGAGTCCTCTCGTTGTGCAGGTTCTGGTCAAGTTTGACACTCTGCAGGTGTGTGCTTTCTGCATTGACTCTCGATGATTCTTCACGACCCAATGCTCCTCTGTTGTAGAGTGTGGAAGGATACTCCAAGAAGGGCACTCTGTTGTACAAACAGGATCCGAAGCCTGTTGTTGAGTATCTCGTGCTGCAGAAGCGGATGTGGTACGACACGCCTTGGGTAGTCAGAAACCGCTTTTACAAGGAATTGGACAGCACATTCGAAGACGTTTAATGGAATGTGTTAAAAACCTATACCGCACATCTTTTCTGTCAGTCTGTTGCGTCCCAAATTTGTTCCTTCCGATCGGCTCTCGTGACAAGAGATGGCATACGTCGTCAATACGACTCGGCTCAAATCGCCGACAGACTCCATTGTTCCTCTGGCTTGTGCGAGCTCCCAAAGAGAGGGACTTGACGGTAAGTTTTCGTGTCATACAAGCGGAAGTCCTCTCGTTATAGTGTCTGGCACAAAAAGGATCCGTTGACACCGAACACGTGCAGGCGCATCCATCTAATTGAGCTTGTAAAATGACTTCCCTGGCTTCCCTAAGCATTCGAGCGACCCTTCTCTGTCTCCAGTCAGTCGGTCATGGCGCTGCTCTTTTGCCCGAATGTCCTACACGAAGGCAGGATATTTTCCATGTATCATTGAGCAACAAATGAGCAACATGTATAGCGTCCACAAATGGGGTACTTCGTTCAACAAAAGCTTGATGCGTTGTGAAGGAAGACGGGAAACTGCGCTCGCCACAGACCGGGCGTTATTAATCAGGCGCTCGCACTCAGATTGCCACGACCTGCCACGACGCAACACTTCCGAGCCTGAGCCGTCTTCCGCAACGCTCTTGTACACGCCCAGACAGTCGAGCAGCTGCGATCCAGATATTCATCATGTATCTGTCGTGATATATGCCGTACCAAAGCATCACCAGCGTGCCCTACCCGTGGAGTTACTTATGCAGATCGTAGAGGAGGCAGTCAGAGATCACCACACCGCTCGCGCCCTCTCTCAAGTCTGTTCGTGGGCAAGACAGATTGCACTGCCGCGTCTCTACAACACACTCTTTTCCATCACAGATACTCGCGACCTCACCAATTTTCCGTCCCATCTTAGGCCATATGTTCAGAACGTGTGGCTAGACAAGTCACCGCCACCTACCATATCCGACAGCATCGCAGCCAGAACCTCCTGGCTATGGTCCACGGTGCGCAACCTATGCGTTCCACTGCAGTTCCTCGAAGCATGCGATGCTTGTGAGCACCTGCCCGAGAAGCCAGCGCCGTTCACCGTTCGGACACTCACGATCTTCGACGCGAAGTTCTGTTCGAGTGGCCACAGAGTCGGCACGTTGCTTTCTTCAGTGACGCATTTGCGCGTAGCTGGCAATTGCTCCTCTTGGGGATATGTCACGCTAATCAGGCAACTGACGTCCCTCAAGTACCTCATGGTTCCCTTGGATGAGTCCAACGGCACCATTCAGGTGATCTCAACAAGTATGCTCGCTAGAAGGCACCCCACGCTGCAGAAGATAGCACTATTGATGCACAATACGGGCGTAGGATTCACTGCCCGGAAGTGGTGTACGACTGCGAACATAATCATGCAGCTGAATGACAAGCTCTACCTTGTACCCGCCGTCTGTACACAAGATGAGGAGAGAAAGGAATGGGAATCTATCGCAGACGGGGAGGAGTTCGAAGATACCGCTATCTGGCAGAAAGCAAAGCGAATGCGTGCTGCAATTCTAGCTGGCGATGAGGAGGAGGTCGCTCGAATTTGGTGAGACCTCTCACTCGATGCAGGATATTATTGCGCAACTCATTTTGCTCATCGCTGCTCAGCGGGGTCTCAATGTAACATACCTTTCCGGACATTTGGGTTTACCGGGTGTGACTTGGTGCTATGATGGCCCTTGTATGATAGCTGCGTGCAGTTGTCTACTATTCACTAGCACTGCTCAGACGTCAAGTCAAATCTGGTCATGCATTGCCACTTCCTATGATCCTGTTTTCACGCTCCATATCTAACTTCGTACAATTGGTAGAGTGCACTATTCAATAGCAATCGACAGTGCGTTGATCGATTGATCAGCCATTGCACTGCACAGTAAGGCTCGTCGAAAGAATCAATCACTGCCACGAAACGTATTTACAGTTGTTGCTCGGGAGCCTCCACAGTGCCTCCACTGCATTGCCTTTCACGGGCGACTAACTCCTTCTCGCGCTACGACGTCCGATGAGCTGTCTAGTACTTCGCTGCACCGACGATTGGCAGTGAAGTGCCAGTATGACCCAGGAGCAGATGCAATACAGGATGGCCGATGCTCGCAGATCACATTGGGATATTCGATTGCCATATGGTCATAAATAACATTCAAGTCAACAGTTGCCAGTGCGTTGGGCCGATATGCAATTGACTTGTAGTATCGATACACTTTAGATGAAGGTAACGTGTATCTCGCGGCTTCCGATGACCGCACCGAACTCTTGGCACACCTACATTTCGGGACTCCTTCCTACTCCTTCGAAGGTGCTGCATCGAGGGACCAACATCCTAAGGCAGTCGAGCATGAAGATGTCGAGCGCAAATTGCTGTGCAATGGAATTTGTTGGCATACCGAGGCCCAAGGTATCTAGTGAGTCATTTCGTAGGGTTATAGGTTCTCGTGTTGCGCGGTTGACACGACACATCCCCTCCTCTGCCCACCGTCCTCATGGTGTGACTGTTGAGGCATCCAAGATGTGCTTCACGGATATGGTAATTATGTACATATATATTTAGTGTAGTGGTTGCTCGACGTTTGAGCTGCATGCCTAGAGCACTTCGGTAAGGACGTCGGATGTCTAGCGATTAACGACAAATTAATGTTATGTTGCACACCAAGATATCGGGAGTCTTCCGCCGTCAGCGGGACAAGGAAGTGATTCGGACTCCGCGCGAATCTTCGTCAGCTTCTATTTTAGTACGACGCTTCAGGCGACAATGAACAATTTCTATTTTGTAGGTTATCAGATATACAAGTTGTGCGATACATTGAACGTTACAAATGCAATCCATGATGAAGCAGTGGACGAAGAAGAGATTAGTACAGGTCCCAGGAAGTTGCGAAAGATGCAGCAATATATGATGAGGAATGGGAAAGTGGAAGCTGTAGATAGTACAGTGATGCCTTCTTAAAGTCAGACAGAGAGGTAGAATGAGAATGATAGAGGAGAGCGCAGCATGCCGTCACACATTCGATGCTGGCTACTTGTCCTAGAATTCAGGACATTGAAAGTATGCGGGATGCTCACGTAGATGCTGGTGGAGATCTTCAAGCGACTCGTATGGCCAACGCGGGTCCTCGATCAAATGCTTCACGCAACCCCTCGTAAGAGCCTTCCAATGTGATTTGAGACAGTAATCTCTCCGGCTTGAAAAGTCGCAATCGGTCCACGGGCAGTGATACAGAAGGAGCGGGGTGCACCCCATCGCCTTCCGGTCATCACGGTGTGATCGATCCTCTTCGTGCCGCTTGAGGTCCCTCACACCGTCGAACGTCCACCGACACCCCTGCGCCCTGAACCGGCAGTGCAGCTTGCGGTCGAGTTGGACCTCCTTCTTCCGGAAGAGATCCCATAGAACCTTTGAAATAGATGGTCAATGATACGCCTCTGAGAATGGAGTGGAGTGCTCACTAATTCCCCTTCATCCGCCTGCTGACCATGGGAGACCGGTGGCTCATTTTCATCATTCTCCTCTCTGTGCTTCCGCTTACGAGACGTTACCGGCGTGCCAATCTTGGCCGCCAACGCCTCGCTCCGACGTCGCCGAACAAATTGTTCTGTCTTGTTCGAACGACCGCACGACGAACTTGCCTTTGAGCTAGACCCTGCCGGGACGAGAGGAAGCGAGCGCCGCCTCTTTGCAGGCCTGGGCTGGACAGCGTCAGACTCTGCGGTATTTTGCGCCTGAATCTGCAAGAGTGTCGGCGCAGACGGGTAAGCTGGGGAGTCCAAGGGTTGGGTGAAGTCAAAGTTATATTCCACAGGGGCCAGAAGCAAGTTATTGGGGAGTTGAGGCGCAGGACTGTAGCGCGGCGCCATGCTGGACGACGATGGCCCAGCATCTGGAGATGATACATTGGAGGATGAAGAGGTGGGTCCGCTAGGCCAGCTTCCTGCAATGCCTGTGGGAAAGCCTGGGGTCGTATACGCCGTGGGAGGAATGCCGGAGCCGGTAGGAGGGTAAGTAGTACCAGGCGATACGGGAACCGAGTCGAGTCCGTAGCAAGGAATGTATGAATGCTCCTGCGTGAAGGGAGACTCATCCCAGGGATAAGACAAGGAGAGATCCTGTGGCATTGGTGGCAACGGATGGGCGACGGAATCAGAGCCGGTTTGGACCGTACGCGGTGCTGCGGGTGGCACATCAATGGGGCGACTAGTTCTGGTAAGAGGCAGCCAACCCCACTCTGGCGACACTGTGTGTGGCATATCAACCTGTGAGATGAGGATAAATGCGGCTAGAAATAACGACGCACAAGGAGCGGCGGGCAAATCCATGCTGGCGAGAATGCTCGTTTCGAGAGCATAATTGCGTTGAGATGGGAACGTTGATGGCAATCCAGTTCCGAGATAGTCGAAGCTTCCGGTATCGGCGAAATAAGGATACGTCAACCATGCATCGGAATCATCAGCAGAGGACGGTCCGATGGCCTTGGGCTCGATGCAGGAAGATGACGGTGTTAGCTCATCGTCGTACCAAGGGAAGAAGTCTGGTGTGCCCGTAAGAAGCGGGTGAGCGAAATCGTCTGCGTCGACTAATGGCTCCGTAGTATTTTGATGCATGTCCAGAGGCTTTGCAAGGAAACAGCTTAGATATATTTATAGCCGTTACCAATGGCCACAAAAACTTACATTTTGAATATCGGGAGTCAGCCGACTTTCGTCACTAAGTGAGGAGCTTGGAGAAAGTCGAGGGAGATCTGCAGCGGTGAAGTCGTATCCAGACATTGTAGACGAGGAGGTAAGGATGAGATGCTTGATGCGGTGGTGACTGGGGCGACGAAGCTGGGGAGACGGATGTGGGACCCTTGAAGTTATATACCCCGACGGACACTCGGTCGGTCGCCAATCATAGCCTCTCGTCCATCTTCCAAGTCCGCGAGGAATTCCATCACGAAAGTCAATACATTCCGGGTCGCAGTGCTTCGGGATACAGCTACCATAATGGGCGAAATTCGAGCCACCGCAATCGGCCACTGGCCTCGGAACCTTGCGAAGAATTTCGAGGAACATTCACCCGCTAAGCAACCACGAATCATCCGGAAGCAAATACAATTGCCTGTGGCTGAGACGCGTCTTCTTTTGAACGCGTCGCGCAGGACACGGTGCTTGGAACTCCCAACAAGGAAAAGGCTGATATTTGGCCACCGGGAGTCTGATCTTGCGGGCGGCCCAGCAGCTGGACCTCAAATGTGCCGCTCGGACCTTTCGTAACAGCTGTCCGTGTTGCCTGTAGTTCTGGGGCGACATCTCGATGGTGTGATCAACGAGTGGACAACACGAGCTTGCCACCACCACGCTACAGGATGGTTCCGCGTGAGAAAAGCGAAATGGTCTCTCTATTGACCGTCGCCGCCGCCACTTACTCTTCACCTTAGTCATAGAGCCAAGGAGGAGACACGTGTTCCATCTGATGGTCTTTGTCGTGGGACGGCCCTGCCTGGATCCGCGGTACCGCTGCCACAACAGGTCTGCTGCGAAGACCACCGTTGCATTGTCGACTGTGTGACGCGCCATGCTACCACGCGGAAACCTGTCTTCCTTCATGAGCGCACTTCACTAACCTGAGCTCCTAGACCCTATTAGAGATGGCCTACCGATTGAGATCTCCGCTTCATGCCTTTGTGCTCAACTTGCTTGTCCCGCCGCGTTTGGAACGGATATCGTTTGGAGAGGTGGTATGCCACTTCCGTGATTCTCAGAGCCATCGCAAGACATTCAGCATCCAGAGCGTCGCCAAGTAGCTCGTTGTCGTCGTCGCCACCCGCCGAAGTTTCCGCGAGTGGCAATTTTACCCCTTATTTCGACGCAGAGGACTCGGTTCGCGGAGCGGTGAGGATGCCTAAATCCCTTTGCTGCTACTTCCACAGAGTTGAGGCGTCCGCCTTTGTCACTTGTCTGGCTGATCAACGTGCTCGGCCTGCGAACGCCGAACAGTGTCGCCATCGGTATGGACGCATGGTCGGGACATTCAACGTTGCAAGGAATCCAGCATCAGACTATCCAACTCACCGAGTGTCAAAAAGCCACCCATTAGCCGGTCCGTTTCGTCGGCCTCTGATCAAAATCGACCGCCTTGTCCTTTCTTCATCGACAAGATTGGACCATTCTCCACGTGAACACCAGGTCTATCCCATGCAGCAGTACTTCTCTATAAACGCACAATGCAAGTACTTCATTCGTACTACCGACGCACTGCTATCTGACATGGTTGCAGTGACTGTCATGAGAATGACGAGGTCTTCCAGCGCTGCTTGAACTTGGACAGGCGACGGCGAGGAGCATGCATGGGTGGGGATGCGGAAAGAGCTGTGGTTGTACATGACAATCATTACTTAAGGTGCGTCTCGAAGCTCACTTACAAGCATTACTGCTTCACGAAGTCGCTGTATTCAGGGCCCATCACCGTTCTGCCTTTGAGGATTACGTAATGATGTAGTGAACGCACCGTAAACGGAAACTTACAGAGGCTGTTGGACAACAGCTGCAAACATCTGCCCGAGCCGTCCCGTTCAACCACCTCCCTCCCCTCGCAGTGCATCGCGCTTTCGGGTCTTGGTCACTAACATCGCTTTGGTTGTCACGAAAAGAAGTACATGCACACTGTGATGGCACTGGGTTCTCTGAGAGGCAGGGCAGCAAGAACGTGAGTTTTCTAGCTCTATTTTGTGGGCGTCGATGCTGGCGGGTCGATGGTTACTGGCAGCAATGACCGTGATTTGTGGAGAGGATGGGCTTGTGGTGAGAGTGAGGATATTTGGGTAGTAGCGTGCGGCGGCACACCCGCCCGTTCGCGTTGATTGAAGGCGAGATCGCTGTTATCGCCATCCTCTTGATCCCCTCAAGCGGGTCCGAACGTACGCGCGTATTGGGACCATCATCCACGTCCCGGAGACGTGCATCGGACCGGAAAGGGATCAGCTGGGACTACTTGACGTACAGATCACGGGCATAACCTTCGGTGTCACCGTGCGACATTGTTACCGTGCAATGATACCGCGTATCATCCATCGCCTCGCTTGTCTTTGCCACGATCTCACATGCCATTGTCTTCCGTTGTGCAGACACAGAGCTGCTTGCAGCGTGCGCGTGAGGGCTCGTGGACGATCGTGGCCGTTGTTCGTTATGCATGGTTCGATCCGTTCATACAAGCGAATCTGATGTTCCGGGTTTTCATAGCCGAGGCGGCGGTTCGCGGGATCTATCCTAGCGACTGCTCACCTAGGTCAGCGACCTCCGACTCGGATGGCATAATCGATCTACTTACTGTCCATAAGATCTCCGTCACCATTTCCGCTCTCTGCGCGTAAGTAGCTCGATCTCAGAGGCAATCTGCGTGGACCGTCGGTCCTTCGAACGCCGACATCGATGCCAAATTGAGCTGGCTTTAATCGTCTTCGGTCGAGTATTCCCAAGCAACGGCATTGCGAATACCACGTCACGATGGTTGGGTCGCGTTCATTGTGGCCATCACCGTCAAGGTTCAATAAAGCGTCCCAGCTGGATCCAGTGCTTCCGAGCCTCACTGCAAGTCTCCCGATTCCTGAAGCATCCTCCCAAGCCATGAGGAACAGTATAAGACGCTATTATGGAATCATCAATTCTGAACATATACGGTATGGAGTTCGGAGCTCGGAGGCACGACAGATTCAATCGTTCATTGGTAGACTTCCACGTCGATCCCTCGATCGGTCGCTATCAACTGACCAGATCCTGTACCTGCTGAAAGGGTTGAGGTGCACTGCTCTCTATTTCAGCTGTACAGACGGCGGCGTTGGTCAGATAAACGATCAGCAGAGGTGGGACTTGGGACTACATGAAAACTGGTACACGTCGTATGGTGTCACTGTGCCCAGGCACCGGATCGCTGCCCATAAAGGAGTTCGCAAGTCTGTCACCCCCTTTTCACCGGCCAGACCCTGTAGAGCTTCTCTCGAAGCTCGCAGTAATTGCGCAGGAAGCTCAGAGCGTGTTACCACGCGCACGAGCGGGTGAGCCGGCTTGAAGAGTGGCGGGTGTAAACAGCTCATGGAGTCAGATAGGAAGAGAGATGGTGAAGCATGCAGAGGCTGCCGACGTGCGATTGCGCACCACGAAGCAGGCGTGCCGCGTGTGCAGCGCCTAGCAGCACTCGAAATGATGCCCCTCGAAGTGATGTCATGCGCCCAAACGTTCACCCCGTTTCAACTCCCGAAGGACCTCTGACACAGTATGCTGGACACTCTGCGCCCTGAGACATACAAGCTGCGCCCGTGGCAGCAGCCTGCAGCCTCACCAGGGCCCCGTCTTCTTCTTCTTGTCCTCTTCCCGACGGTCGCAGCCGCAAGATCCCCGGGGACATCGACCTTCTTGACGTCAGTGATCGACACACGCGCACCTTTAGCGAGTGATTTTGCGCGCAATGTCCTCCAGCGCCGGCCACGAGCGCGACACGGTCCTCGCGCCGCCTCAGCCCATCCAGGACACGGAAAATCCGCAACAGGACGTCGGACGCCCTAATTCGCACTACGCCGAGTCTGCGACGAATGCCAACGCACCGTATATACCCAACGCATCGGACTCAGGCATCCTCCCCGATTCGTCGATTGCATCGACACCACGCGTCGCCTCGTCCTACGGCACGCCTACGGTGACACCAAACGAGGCCTCCTCTGATGCACTGGGAGGGACCGCAGCGGCTGCCAGGACTGCAGCTGCCACAAAAGAGGCTACGGACGTTCCTGGGTCAAAAGAAGCGCTGGCGCACTCCGGCGCAGCACACCCAGCTAGACGACCATGGTACAAGCGGCCGGTCTTCTGGCTGCTGGCATTCATCGTGTTGGCGGTTGTTGTGCTTGTTGTAGTGTTGCCGGTGTGGTTCGTGGGCGTGAAGGGACACAAGCACAGCAGCTCTTCCAGCTCTTCCAGCTCTTCCACGTCTAGTGGAGGTGGCACTACGCCTAAGTCGACGGTGACTACAACTGGCGGGAATGGCAGCATGGTCACGGCGGACGATGGTTCAACCTTCACCTACGTCAATGAACTTGGCGGTTTCTGTAAGCTTGCCTGTTGTGTCGGATGGTGTGGCTTCACTGATCTCCCGCGCAGGGGTGTCTGACCCGACCAACCCATTCAACAACTCTGCTCGGCCAAATTCATGGACGCCTCCGCTCTCCGAGTCATGGAACTGGAACAAGGACCGTATCTTCGGCGTTAACCTGGGCGGACTGTTCGAGCTCGAACCGTTCATCAGTCCGAAACTATACCAGGCAAACCCAGGTAGCTTGGACGAGTGGACGCTTGACGTCATGCTGCGTGCAAACGGCAGCAACGGTGGCGAGCTGGGCGAGGAGGAGTATGGGTTGCAGGATGCGATGGAGCTGCACTATAACGAGTTCGTCACCGAGCAGGACATCGCCGAGATTGCGGGTGAGTGCCATGCGCCTCCGCACTTGAGCGATCCCCACTAACTGTATGCTCTCTTTTACTGCTCCGTCCTTCTGCTTGGCCCTTCTGCAGGTGCTGGCTTGAACTGGATCCGTGTGCCTATTCCGTTTTGGGCCATCGAGAGCTGGGGCAATGTGGGCATGGTGAATGTGACGACTTCGATCAGCGAACCATTCCTGGCCAAGTCCTGCTGGCCATACATCCTTCGCCTCTTCGGATGGGCTCGCAAGTACGGATTGCGTATCAATCTTGACCTGCACACGATCCCGGGCTCGCAGAACGGTATGTATCTGGCTCGCTTGGCGTTGGTGGGTTTAAAGTCCTGACTGATCGAACCAGGCTACAACCATTCGGGAAAAGACGGGATAGTCAACTTCTTGAATGGTGTGATGGGTGTGGCCAATGCGGAGCGTGCTCTGGAGTACATCAGGGTCATTACTGAGTTCATCACGCAGGTGGGTGTTCTATTCTTCAGCCGTCCCATATTTCATGACTGACAGATCAACTTCATGTTCTGATCATTGGTCAACGTTCTCCTGAACGCCCATCCTTGCACTGTATGCATTGCACGGATTGAACTTATGTCGCGCTCACGCGCTGTAGGAAGAGTACCAGCCGCTGATCCCGATGTTTGGCATCGTGAACGAACCATTACTGGCAACTATCACATTGGACACTCTCACTACTTTGTATGGCATTCACGCTCAAGGCAGATCCCTGGTGTTGACGGAATCTGACGCAGCTATCTGCAAGCATACTGGGTGATGCGCAACATCACTGGAGTGGGTGAAGGCAACGGACCATACGTGTCTATCCACGATGGTTTCATGGGCACAGACTACTGGGCGGGCTTCCTTGCGGGCTCGGACAGGATTTCTCTCGGTGCGTACCTCCTTCTCCTGCGGTGGCATGCCCTTGTGGCACAATCTGACGTGCTCATCGCTTCTTTCTTCTCGCATCCGACATAATTCGCGTTGGCGTCACGTCCGGCGGACCGCTGTGCGCTCCGCGACATGCCGCGAACCGGATTTCGCGATCGCGTCTTGGATGTGGCCGCGGACGTCTGATGGACTCGCCCAACGTCGGCCGCGACGCACGGCCCCGAACGCAGATTCGCACCCTTATTTCGCGTTCGACAACCTGGCGAACACGGAGCCGGTGAACGTCACCGCGGAGGGCCAGGACAGCGCAGATGTGTATGGCGGGCAATGGCCCAAACTGGCGTGCACGTCGTGGGGCCCAGAGATGAACACAAGGTCCGTCCGTCGAAGTCCATCTATCTCCTCCACTCTCCTTTGAAGCTGATGTGCCACTTTTTCTTTTTGCAATTGTATACACTTTCTAACGTGCTGTGGTGCGGTATCCTCATGTCTGGATTGTACCTGATGCTTCGACGCTTTTGTTTGGCAGCCGGATCAACTTCGGAGTGACCATTGCAGGCGAGTTCAGTGCCGCGATCAACGACTGTGGGCTCTGGGTACGCGGCGTGAACATCTCGGCCGCGTACGGAGGCAGCTGCGACTACTGGGAAGACTGGGAGTCGTGGAGCGACGAGACCGTCGCGGGCCTCAAGATGTTCGTCATGGCGAGCATGGACGCGCTCGGAGACTGGTTCTTCTGGACTTGGAAGGTGCGCTCTTGGCTCGTACTCTCATTGCGTGAGTTGTGATAGACGAGCGATGCCATCAACAGGTCGACAACTCGTCCACCAGTGGCACCGTTGAAGCACCCTTGTGGTCATACAAACTCGGGCTGGAGCACGGCTGGATACCCAAGGACCCGCGGACGGCATCGGGCATCTGCGAATCGCTCGGTGTCACGGATACCTACTGGAACGAGTCCTTCTCCTCCTGGGCAACAGGTGGCGCAGACGCAAACGAGATCGCCCCATCGTCTATAGCCACCTATGGCGTGTGGCCGCCAGCATCGATCGCGAACGTGGCATTCGCATCACAGTCGTATTTGCCTCAGTACACGAGCACCGCGAAGATCGTGAGCCTGCCCGCGTCGACGTACACAGCCGCGACGGTGAGCACGGGCGACGGGTGGGCCGACTTGGAGAGCAGCGACACGCGGAGGGCGCCGACGGCGATCGCGGGGTGCACGTATCCCGATGCGTGGAGTGCGGTGGACGCGACAATCCCGACGGCGGGATGCGGCGGGGTGGCGTATGCGAAGCGCGAGGAGGTGCCCGTTCCCATTTCCGAGCCTGTGGTCACCGCGCCGCCTGCGCGACGGTTCCCGTGAGCGCGGCGCTGTTTGGCTCCTGCCTATATATCGCGTGCGATGATAAGTGTCATTGGCACTGTCGGTGCGCAGGAGAAGCTGATCGCTCGGACGGCGTGTCAGTGATGTGGCTCGAACTCGACACGGTCCGTCGTGCGCGTAGATGTGGTGATGTTGGTTGACGCAGGAATGAAGAGGGAAGGCGGCGAAACGGACGGACATGCAATATTGCTTCTCCCTGCATAGACGCTCGCTTTAGTTTCATGACTTTGCTGTCTGCATACACATGCTTTGTTCACGATGCTGGCGGACGATATCACGACGTTCGTCATAGTGCGCCGCGCCGCACTGTTTCTCACGTTCCGTTCTATAATGGTACTTGCTAGTTTGTACACGTAGCATATCAAGATCGTCTGCGGTGTACCCTCGCGGTTTTTGTCAGCAGCAAAGGGTTCGTAGACAAAGGAATATAGAGCACGAAGGCAATAGGGACCGATTTGCTCGTCGCAGTCCTCCAGATCGGAACTGATCAATTGAGGCCAAGATCAATCAAGGAGTTCTCGTTGTATGCACTCAAAATCAAGGCTTACTGAGATGGTCCCAGATGTTTTGGGGAAAGCGGTTCCGAAGTTCAGCTGGCCCACGGATTGCGCGGAGGCATTGTCCTGACTTGTGAAGGATCTCAGGAACTCCTGGGTCCGCTCTCGCCTATCCCGTCAGGGATCTCTAGCTTAAGTGGAGGAGTAAAGACCAACTCGAAACTGAGGGGTAGGCCTCAGCTCGAGCGGGTATATATACAAGAGGGGCCAGACCCCTGGTACCGGGTGTAAGACCCTGCGTACCCTAGGTTTGTAATAATACATCATTATGGCGTGCTATGGCGTGCTCAGGCCTAGGGGAGTCCGCCTAAGTCTAGGAGTGTCTATAGAGTCCAGACCTGTGATGTCACTATGACGTAGGGTCACGTGACTGATACTTGTCCGAGGGATGTCCGAGTGGCGTGGGTATACTAAGATGTACACGTGGAGGCGTAGTGGTACATGCTATATAGGGTAACTGGGTGGATAAATAATGGTCCGTGGGCGCTTGAGACTTGTGGCGCGGAAAAACCGTGACAGTACCCCTCCTCCAGGCCGAAGTGTCCTCACGAGGCTTTTGAATTCTAGTCGTAGATGCGCGGGTGTACGGCTTGTAGGTTCCATTTGGTTTTGGGTATCGGTGTCCGAGTACGCTCTGGGTCATATGTGGTATATTTGGAGACGTCCTCTTCCCTCACCGGGGTATCTTTGAAACGCATACGTTGCCAGGGTATTGGTGCATCATCGAGATAATAGTAGCCGTGAGTGCGTTCCGGGCACTGGATCTTTCCTTCTTCTACTATCCACTGGGCGTTGACTGGGTATACAAATAGATGGTTGCGCGACTTGGGGGTTCCGACGAATAAGACTGTGTGGATATAGTGGTCTGGATTCGCTAGCCAGATGCAGACGATGTCGAACTTCTCGGGCAGCCCTATTTCTAGGCCGATCGGGGTATCGAGGGGTACGTGAAGTACGACATGGGCTTGGAACTTGCGCTTGTACCATCGTATCATTTTGTGATCCCAGTAGATCTTTTCCTTCCATTCTTCCTCTTCTTCCTCCGTCCTTTTTCCTCCCTTACTGTCAGGTTCATCGTCGCTTTCCTCGTCTTCTTGAGCGCGGATCTTTTGACCACCGGGTATAGTAAGGAGATTAGGCGGTTTGGGCGCCTTGGGGTGTAACTTATGGAAGTTATTAAGCAGCAGGATGTAATCCTTTGCTATGGTAGAGCGGGGTATCCAAGTGTTCTCGGTGTCGTCCTTCCCCTTCCATTTGACCAGGTATAGTAGTCCGGTCTTGGATTTTTTACTGTCGAGGATTTGGCTAATGGTAGGGGATTCGCCCTCCGGAACGGGTATAGTAGTATCGTCCTTTTGTACACTAAATTGCGCGAGGTGATAGGGTATTAATAGAGATTCGTGGAAGACAGGGTGTATATGACGCCAAGCGGGTGGGAGCTTGAGTCTGAATGCTGACTTCCCGACCTTTTCTACTATACTAAACGGTCCGTAACGTTTATCGTCCAGCTTCTTGCTTGGTCGAGTGGTTGTAATATTAGTTCCTTCTAATAGTACCAGATCGCCCTTGGTATAGGTTGCATGGTCTGGGTATTTGCCATCGTGGTACTTCTTCATTATACCTTTTGCTTTGGTAAGGTGATTAGTTGCGTCCTTGGAAAGTTCCTCCATCTCCTTCGTCCATTCTTCGGCCGATTGGTTTCGGGGTTCTTTCCTGGTTTCGACTCCCGTGTAGGGATGGTATCCGTGCGTAAGGTAGAATGGGGTATAGCCGGTGCTTGCTTGTCTATGGTTTCGGTATGCGAACATAGCGAGTGGTATCTTGGAAGGCCAGTCATCCTGTCTATAGGAGGTATATATCCTCAAGTAGGTCTCTATTTCCTGGTTCATCCGTTCAGTTTGCCCATCCGTCTGAGGGTGGTAGGCAGTTGAAGGATTTCCCTGGACGCCCAACTGTTGGTATACATCCTTAGTGAACGAGGATACGAACTGTGGTCCCCTGTCGGACCATATCCTTTCTGCTAGTCCGTGTGCCGACATTACATGTTTAATGTACAAGTCCGCATAGTCCTTCGAGTTAATCGACTCCGTGCAGGGTATAGCGATAAAGTCTTTCGACTTCAAATCCACAAATACAAGGATGGAATCGTACCCATCTACAGTAGGTAGTTTTACAATAAGGTCCGTGGAGATGTACTGCCAGTTATGATCTGGAACTGGGTTTGGCTCTAATGGTGCTGATCGATGTTGGCGGTTAGGTTTGGCCTTTTGACAGGTTCCACAACCTTTCACATACGCCGTAACATCCTTGATCATCTCCGGCCACCAGTACGATCGCTTGATTAATTCCATGGTCCTTTCTATTCCTGGGTGTCCCATGAATGCGGCATCGTGGTGGGACTGTATTACTTTGCCGATTATTTCTTGGTTATTTGGGATTATGAGAATTTCACCCCCCCTCCAGAGTGTGCCGTCCTCGGCTGACTCGAGCTCCTTTTGAGGCAAAGTTTTCCATAATAAATATTCGGACGAATGTGTGGCGCAGAGGTCGCGGATGGCGTCTGTCCCTACAACTTTGGTGCTTCGGAACAATTCGGCAGGTAATACGACCTGATTATCCAAGTGATCCATACCGTCGTCATAGTCTGGTCGTCTGCTAAGAGCGTCTGCTGCGCTGTTTTTCTTGCCTGGGATATGATGGAGTTCGAAATCGTATTCAGCGAGGAATGACATCCATCGTGCTTGTCGGGGGTTAATCTTCTGGGGTTTCCTAAAGTATGTCAGATTAAGGTGATCAGTGAAGATCTGTACAGTATGTTTGGCGTGTATTAAGTAGTGTCGCCATTCTTCTAGACAATCTACAATAGCGAGAAGCTCTCTATCGTACACTTGATAGTTCTTTTCGGCGTCCTTGAACGACCTACTGTAATATGATACTGGTACCCAAAGATTATCTTGCTTCTGCATAAGAACTGCCCCGAGGGCGAATTGCGAAGCATCTACTTCTACCATAAACGGATCCTCGTCCGTAGGTATGTGTACAATCGGGGCCGATGTAAGGAGGTCCTTGAGACCTTGGAAGGCACTTCGTTCCGTGTCCGTCCATTCCCATTCTCGGTTGCCCGTGAGGTCCGAAAGAGGCTTGGCCAAGGAGCCGAAGCCTTTCACAAATCGTCTATAATAATTACAAAATCCGAGGAACTGTTGCACGTCCTTCTTGGACCTGGGTTCTGGCCATTCTGCAATGCCCGCAACCTTTGCAGGGTCCATGCGAAGTTTCCCATGGCCAATGATGTGACCTAGGTACTCGGTTTCTTCAACATGGAACTCGCATTTTTCAGGTTTGCACGTCAACTTGTGCTCCCGGAGTATTCGAAGTACTTGTTTTACAACCTGGCGATGTTCCTTCATGTCCTTGGTGAATATTAAGATATCGTCCAGGTATACCATAACTTTTCCAGTGAGGATTAGATCGTGGAAGATGTCATTCATCATCATTTGGAACGTTGATGGTGAATTAGTGAGTCCGAAGAACATCACTAGGGGTTCGAACAGACCTCGGTTCGTGACGAACGCGGCCTTTTCCTCATCTCCTTCCTTGATCCTTATGTTATTATAGCCCCACCGGATGTCGAGCTTAGAGTAGTACCGGGCTCCCTTAAGCCGGTCGAATAAATCATTGATTAGAGGGAGCGGGTATTTATTTTTCTTCGTGACTTCATTGAGCCGTCTATAGTCCTGTACCGGCCTTAGTTTACCATCCTTTTTCTTGACAAAGAAGAAGGGGGCGCCCCAGGGGGATTTAGACTGTCGGATACGACCAGTCTTTAGGTTTTCTTCGAGGAATATATCTAGAGCTTCCTGTTCTTTTACGCTCATTGGATATACCTTCCCGCAGAAGGGTTTCGCGCCGTCTACTAGTTCTATGGCGTGATCCCATACCCTTCGTTCAGGGAGCTGATCGAATTCAGCTTCTTCGAAGACTTCCTTATAATCCCAGTACTCTTCTGGAACAACCTCTTGCATGCTCTTGGCTTTAGTGCTTTTGCCTTGAGCGATGGCTAGGTCGGTGGCCTTGGTGGCTCGTATATGTTCGTATTCGGAAAATTGCTTCCGAATGTAGTCGCTGTCCAATGCCAGCACCTTGTCCCCATCTTCCAACTTGAGCTCCCCGCAGTTACAACGCGTGAAGCGAAGCGTGCGTTTAGCCCAGTCAATGTCCGGGTTGTGATCTTCTAGCCAATCGAACCCGAGGAACATGTCGTGGTCCGAGAGGGTAGTCACGTTGAATGATCGGCGCTCTCTATGGCCTTGGATAACTATATCTAGTGATACATAGTGGGTCATATCGCCATCTCGGTTGGGGGTCCCATCTGCGTTGAACACGCGGAGTGGTCGATCGAACGGTATCTTAGGTATCTGGAACTTAGATACGAATTGTTCGTCGATGCAGCACCCGGTGCAACCTGAATCTAGAAGGGCTTTGGCGGGTATATTCCTATCCCCAACTTCTATTGTTACGGGTATATCGATCTGGCGATGTCGTCGTACTGCTCGGACGTTGAATTGTCCTCGCAGTTTAGTACCGGTCGATCCGAAGCCAGCAGTCCCTCTTGCTGTTTCTGCTATCTCCGTCACGACTTCGGTAATAGGGGTATCGTTTCGTTCCAAGATTAGCTGGGCGACTCGGTCCCCATACTCAATCTGGAACGGGGTATCAAGGGTATTGATTAGGAGTATTTTGACTCGACCGACATAGTCAGAGTCTATTACTCCGGCTCCTACATCTATTCCATGTTTTACAGCCAAGCCTGAGCGTGGAGCGATGCGTCCGTAGCACCCGCTGGGTATCATCAACTTCAGGCCGGTATCTACAAGGAGACGGGAACGTCCGGGAATGACCACTTCCTCCGCTGAATGCAGATCGTACCCTGCTGCGCCTTCTGTTTGACGGGTTGGTACGATGGCTTGCGGGTGGTCTAAAAATACACGCAGAGTGGTTTTCTGTGTCTTCTTCTTCGGTGTACGCCTTGCCGATGTCGAAGCTTCCACCTGCAGACTATCCGGAACTGAAGAAATGTTAGAAATTGAGCTATTCACGGAATTAAGCACCGATGCTTCTTGATCCGGCCGAGCTCGATCAGGCACCACTAAGGTCCCGTCATCCCGAGACCCCGTTTTCGCTCCTACTGCTGTTACATTAAAGTGGGCACCACTACTTGTACCCATATTGTCCGCCGTAGTGCTAGAAGTACAGTTGAGAGTAGAAAGAATAGAAAATTGAGATCCACTAGGGAGTGGTGGTGTGCTGTCGTCTGCGTCAGGGGTACTGAATTTTCCCTTTCCTGAGCTTAGACCCTCCTGCCCACATCCCTCCAGGGTGTTTTCAGGTACGGCTTGATGGCGCTTCTCAGGCTTTGCCTCCACCACCATCAGCTCGACTCTCCCTGGGGACCTACCTTTTGGTGACCCGTCTAAACCATGGCCCTTCTCAGGTCTCGCGACCTCCGTGACCATGGAATGGCCGTTAATGGTCAGGGATGACCCGTGTAAACCAGGGCGCTTCTCAGGCTTTTGGGCCTCCACCACCGAGGAATGTACGTTACTGGTCGGGGAACCTGAAATGTCCGGATCGAGTCGTGAGTCCTGCAAGACTTGCGTACTTAAGCCTTGCCGAATTGAAAACCCGCCTGGTTGAGCAGAGCGGGGTTGGCCGCGATGGCCGCCTTGAATGCTCGTACGGCCTCGGTTTCTTCTACCGTACTGGCCCGAGCTGCAGGCTGGGCATCCTTTTTGCGCCAGCACTGCGCCTTCCCGTCGTAGTAATGGGTGTGCCATATATCCGTGCACGACCCCTTCTCCGACCTTTCCTTTCCGCACGTACCACACTTCCGGTGTTTGTCACGTTCGTTTTCGACCCCTACCGTTTCCTTGTGTGGTACTGCTTTTCCTGCCTCATCGACATTTCTGATGGGCGCCCTTCCCATTGTCCTGACCGCGTTTGCCGTTACCGTTGTTGAACCTTCCTCCTGGTGGACTTGCCGGGTTTTGGAGTCCTTGGCTTTCCCCTTGCCCTTTCGGTCCTCAAAGGTGGACGCCCATTGCTGCTGCTGTTGAAGGTCCAGCCGAGCTGCAACCTGTTTCCACAGGCTGTAGCTATTGACATCCCGGCTAATGCCTTCAGACGACCATACTCTGTCACAGAGTTCCTTTCTCATGGCCGTTCTAAGTAATTGGAGCAACAGCTGTTCGTCCTTGTACCCTGAGACCTTGACCCAATGTTCCCATTCGGCCTCGAATTCCTCCCAAGGCTTGTACCTTTGCTGCATGTTGCGCAGCATCCGTTGACCTTCTAGCTCCGGGTTCGCGGGGTAGTACATTTTCTTGAAGTCCGCGATGAAGTCCTGGAGCGTGGCGTATACCGGTGGACCTCCCATCATCCTTTCTAGGAGGGAGGCTTTCCAGTGGTCGATTTGTGGTCCTCGGATATAAGACATTGCCCAGCGAATTTTACTTTGCTCGTCTTCAAACTCACTGGGTTTCATGACGATGTAGTTCATTACATCGACAAGCCATGCCTTTGCCTTTGCCTTGGTGCCATCGAATGGCTCCGGGAGATTGACCTTTGGTCCTCGGAACGACTTTCTGTGTACCTCGTCCGAGGATGCCGGTGGCGGGGCTGCGGAGCGACGGTCCCGGTCTGGTGGTGGGACCGGCTGCTCCGGGGGGAATGCGAATAGTGCCCCTGCCAGCTCGTCATCTTCATCTCCCTTGTATGAGTGTGCCGGGGACATTGGGGGCGTCTGCACCCTAGAGGGCGGCTGCTCAGGGTTTGCCTGGCGTGCCGGTTTGAGCCCACTAGGGCCGGCGGTTCCGCCGACTCCTTTTACCCAATCCCGAATATCCTGTTGCCCGGGATTCTGTCTGCCCTTGCCCTTGTCGACCGGTTTCCTGGGTGATCGAATAGGGGAAGGCGGTGGTGGACGCGTCATGGCTTCTAGGAGGTGGATTCGGGTTTCTTGAGTCTTGTTGATTCCTTCTAGACCCGTTACCCTTTCCTCGCTGGACTTGAGTGCTTTCTTGAAGGCTTCCAGTTCCGTTGTTAGCTTGTGGATCTGGTTGCCGCGCTCTGTTCGTGAAGCCTCGTATTCGCCCACCTGCCTCATGAGACGGTCTCGGGTTGCTTCGGCCGCTAGGCGTCCTTCCCGTGCTTCTGCTACCTCTCTCCGTGCGACGTCGAGTCGACTACGTAGTCGATTGTAGTCGTTTTGGAGGTGCTGGTAAGCACGCCTCATATCGGTCGGTTGAGTCCAAAATCCTGGAACATCATCGTTTGGCGGGGGGAGACCGGGTCGTGCCATATAATAGCTTTGTCTGTTATCAGGGAACCTGTATCGTTCGTACCCTGGTGGGGTTCCTGATGCATGACTCGACCAGACATAGTCTTGTCCCCTTGCAGCCCCTCCATGCCTTGCTACCACATCTACCGGTTGCGTTCGATATCGCTGCCTGTCTTCTACAGAGTGTTCGCGGGCATGGATATCATATTCCCATTGATGGAAGCGTCTCCCTGTCCTTGGTTCTTCCGGGTACAGGGCGGCGAATTCGTCTACCAGCCTTGCTGAAGGCCCTCTTCTTGCGGGGAGTGCTTCCAGCATTGATGACGTCATGAAGTATCGTGGTGTGGGGGCGAGGATATCAGTATTGTTGAACGAGGATGGGGTGGATACCCTGGGATTCGGATTTTCGGGGTTCAGGTGTCCTTCTACGGAATGCTCAGATTGTGCGATGCCGGCCATTTTCGGTGTTGGTACCTGGTCGGGGTTTTGACGACCTGTTCAGAAAGGTTCTTCTTCGTCGGAGGAGATGCCGTATTCTTCGTCAAACAGGAGGTGGTACAGCTCCTGATCGTCTTCGACTGGTTCGAGAGCACGGGGGGCTTCTCGGACTATTCTATGTGGCTGATATTCGAGCCTTTCGTAGTAGTCGATGACGACTTGGTAGCGGTAGAGGATGAAACGAGCTTGGGCGACGTGGGGTTGGTAAATGAAGTCTGTCCGGAATATGACGCTGATGTGTTCGTATACTTGATCCCACTCTACCGGTCCTGGAGATACGGTGTATATGGAGGTGTATCCTTCCAACGAGAACCTTTGCATTCGATGTTGTTATCTACTCGCGTGCTTGACGAGTTGTTCTTCACTAGGCCTCGTAATGACCCAGACGCAGCTTTAGAGTCCTGCTACTCCTAGTAGGTCTAGTTACTACGGAGTCCTGAATGGTGCGGTTCGCAGTCGCAGAGGGGTCTTTGTGGTCTTTGATTATTTCACCACCAGTGTCCAACTACCTCTGAAGGGATGTAACCTTGGTCCACCTGCCGTTCCAGCAGAGCTTTCCGAGAGTTCGTCCCACACCAAACGACTATTTGTCTACGTATGTACTGGTAACTAAACCCCTAAGTAGATCAGAACTGCGCAGGGGTTGAATACGCGTCTGGTGCCTCTTTAGCACTGAGCAAGTAGTTTTATTCCCTCGCTACTCGAGGTTGTGCAGGTCTCGCCGAAGCGGTCCAGAAGTGTTGCTGATTTACAGCTTCAGAGCCTTTTCAAAGGTGACTCGTTCCTCCCGCAAGTTCTCCCTTGTCTGCGGTTGTTACGTCTGCTACCCCTAGACCTGGTGGCTAGGATGGCGACGTTAGAGGATAAATCCTCCGTATAGCACGGCAGCTAGGCCGAGGATAGTTTATATGGACTAGCAGCCCCACGCTTCAATGACACGCCTCTACGGGGTCTATGGGCCTGACAGTAGCCAGACCAGACAGGGTCCCCGACGGATTAGCCAATGATAGTGGTACCCTTTTAAGGAGTACTGCGTCCCTTGCTCCTAGCGGTGCTGACGTCAACAGGCACTCCTGGCCCTTCTTGACAGCCCTAATGCGGTTTTAACCACTAGGTTTCAACTGGCAAGTCCCCTTACGCCTGGGGTCGCGGCAAGATTTGGGACTGTAGTATGTCGCCCACTTTCGCAGGAGGCTGGTTTAGGGCCTATGTATCCTGACTGACAATCCGCGTATTCGCTTCACCGAAGAGGTTCAGCAGGGCGCAGCTAAGCCCGAGGAATGTGGAACGAGGCCCTGACTGGGCACGATGAGGATGGAGTGATCGACAGTGAAGTAGCAGTCTGAGGCGTCGACCGGTGCCCACAGACTATAGAGAGAAGTTTCGAGTTATGTGAAGGATCTCAGGAACTCCTGGGTCCGCTCTCGCCTATCCCGTCAGGGATCTCTAGCTTAAGTGGAGGAGTAAAGACCAACTCGAAACTGAGGGGTAGGCCTCAGCTCGAGCGGGTATATATACAAGAGGGGCCAGACCCCTGGTACCGGGTGTAAGACCCTGCGTACCCTAGGTTTGTAATAATACATCATTATGGCGTGCTATGGCGTGCTCAGGCCTAGGGGAGTCCGCCTAAGTCTAGGAGTGTCTATAGAGTCCAGACCTGTGATGTCACTATGACGTAGGGTCACGTGACTGATACTTGTCCGAGGGATGTCCGAGTGGCGTGGGTATACTAAGATGTACACGTGGAGGCGTAGTGGTACATGCTATATAGGGTAACTGGGTGGATAAATAATGGTCCGTGGGCGCTTGAGACTTGTGGCGCGGAAAAACCGTGACATGACTCCCGTCCTTCTTGTCGTACTTTTGTACTGCACCGGCGCACCTTTCCGCTTCGCGTCAAAGTGCAGGGTGGGAGGCGCGAGTTCACCATACTTCGCAACGTCCTCGGGCATATGGTACCTCTCATGGCACCCGATATGCGTGTGACTCTCATCATCACCATACACCAGTGGTGCACGTAGTACTCCGTGCCGAGCAGGCTCTCTGCCTCGTCGATTGTCACATCCATCAGCACCCATCCGCCTCCATAGCTGAGAGTGACGCGTTCGTGCCCGATGCCATTGTCAACGAGCCATCCAACGACGGTATTGACCGACTCTTGCGTCGGGCGGAACGTCCGCGCGACCCTGGCTGGACTCCGCCAGCAGCCGTCGCATGCACACTGACTATCGAAGGTGCGTCTCGATGCATCGACACTCCGTCTTCGCTGCATCATGCCATAGGTGCCGTTCAGGTGTACGAGTTTACTCCAGAAACATACGCACAAAAGTTGAGTTGTTGAACGAGATCAAGTACGAAACCCGCTGTGCTTGTCCGACATACAGCGCATGGCTGAGATGTTTGCAGCTGTTGTCTAACATCCTCTATAGATTTCCGTTTACGGTGCGTTCACTACATCATTACGTAAGCCTCAAAGGCAGAACTGGTGATAGGCCCTGAATACAGCGACTTCGTGAAGCAGTAATGCTTGTAAGTGAGCTTCGAGACGCACCTTAAGTAATGATTGTCATGTACAACCACAGCTCTTTCCGCATCCCCACCCATGCATGCTCCTCGCCGTCGCCTGTCCAAGTTCAAGCAGCGCTGGAAGACCTCGTCATTCTCATGACAGTCACTGCAACCATGTCAGATAGCAGTGCGTCGGTAGTACGAATGAAGTACTTGCATTGTGAGTTTATAGAGAAGTACTGCTGCATGGGATAGACCTGGTGTTCACATGGAGAATGGTCCAATCTTGTCGATGAAGAAAGGACAAGGCGGTCGATTTTGATCAGAGGCCGACGAAACGGACCGGCTAATGGGTGGCTTTTTGACACTCGGTGAGTTGGATAGTCTGATGCTGGATTCCTTGCAACGTTGAATGTCCCGACCATGCGTCCATACCGATGGTGACACTGTTCGGCGTTCGCAGGCCGAGCACGTTGGTCAACCACACAAGTGACAAAGGCGGACGCCTAAACTCTGTGGAAGTAGCAGCAAAGGGCTTTAGGTGTTCTCACCGCTCCGAAAACCGAGTCCTCTGCGTTGAACAAAGGTATAAAATCGCCACTCGCGGAAACTTCGACGGGTGGCGACGACGACAACGAGCTGCTTGGCGGCACCCTGGATGCTGAATGTCTTGCGAGCTGCTGTGTACAATATCTGGCTCTGAGCATCACGGGAGTGGCATACTACCTCTCCAAATGATATCCGTTCCAACCACGGCGGGACAAGCAGGGTGAGCACAAAGGCATGAAGCAGAGATCTCAATCGGTAGGCCATCTCTAATAGGGTCTAAGAGCTCAGGTTTCTGAAGCGCGCTCATGAAGGAAGACAGGTTTCCGCGTGGTAGCATGGCGCGTTACACAGTCGACGATTCAGCGGTGGTCTTCGCAGCAGAGGGCCTGTTGTGGCAGCCGTACCGCGGATCCAGGCAGGGCCGTCCCACGACAAAGACCATCAGATGGAATACGTGTCTCCTCCTTGGCTCTATAACTAGGGTGAAGAGTAAGTGGCGGCGGCGACGGTCAATAGAGAGACCATTTCGCTTTTCTCACGCGGAACCATCCTGTAGCGTGGTGGTGGCAAACTCGTGTTGTCCTCTCGCTGATTTCACCATCGGGATGTTCTCCCCGAAATACAGGCGAAAACGTCAGCTGTTACGAAAGGTCCAAGCGGCACATTTGAGGTCCAGCTGCTGGGCCGCCCGCAAGATCAGACCCCAGTGGCCAAACGTCAGCCTTTCCTTGGTGGCAGGTCCAAGCACCGTGTCCTGCGCGATGCATTCCAGCCACAGGCAATTGTATTTGCTTCCGGATGATTCGTGGTTGCTTAGCGGGTGAATGTTCCTCGAAATTCTTCGCAAGGTTCCGAGGCCAGTGG